CCCAGCACCTCCATTGCGCTTCCCATCTCCGTCTCTACCAGTTAGCAACCAACAATTCGCAGAACCGCAACCTGATCACCTCGTGCGTTCCGATCCGCCAAGAACTTCGCTGTGACTGATTTCGCTCTTCTCTACAGCGTGCTTTTGTACTTGATTATCTCTGCCATAATTGTTATACCAAGACTGCGCAGGCATTCGCTAGGGATACCGCCGTGAGGCACCTTGATAAGGATGGAGACGAAATTACGTCGCCCGACAGAAGGTTACAAGGGACCTCAGCAGACCTAACGGATGAGGGCCTCCGGAAAATACGGCGTCGTGAAGGTGCACTGAATATTTGGTGGAGTCTGTCAATGCTAATCTTCTTGTCCAGAAGTACGAACAGAAATCCTTTCCGGACGAATTGATGAGGCTACTGCCCTCCTCAACGAGCACTTCCCCGATGTTCTTGCCCCATCAAGCGTACCATCCTCAGAAACGTCCTCTTCCGTCGATTCTTCCCCTGACCGTATAGAGTACAACTCTCGTACTGTTTTAGACCCGACACTCCTCTCACTAAACCTCCGTATTCATGCGTTCATCGAAGCCTGCCGCACGATCCCTCTTCCCTATGTTCCGCATCTTCAAACCACACCCATCACAACACCAGAACCCACGACGAATCTTTCCCGTGACCCTGATCATATGGCTGATGAGCGTTATCAGACAGCGTTAATACTGCGTGCGCAGAAGCTCTATGCGTTAGTAGAACTATTGCGGAAACCAGAGGACCGAGCGACGTATTTGAAGGAGCTGGAGAACGTCGGCGGCCTTCTCGCATATAAGGTGCCAGAGATGAGCCCTATGTCAAAATATCTTGACCAGGCGAGACGAGAACGTGTCGCAGACCAGATAAACCGTGCAATACTCTGTGAGTGCTTTATCGCCTTGTGGGTGCGGTATGCTAAGATCTGTCTTAGATCACAGCAATTTACTGTCTGTATCTCATTTGGAAGTTGCTGTGCGATATAATTCTGCTCTCTGGGGAGCTTTGAGTGAGCTGCATATCAAAGTTCCCACAAACTCTAGCAGACCTGCAGGAGTTACCCTCCCACCAAAGCCTACAAGCAGGAGTGCGCCAACTTCAGGAGAGAAGAAATTGACTGGCACTGTTGAGGTAAGTTTTATTGTAGCGACATATTGCCTGCGAGATCTAACATAGAGTGCAGTACCTGCCACCATTTGATCTGAGCTTATTCCTTGATGCTCGGGTATGATTTTATTTGCGTTCCACTCAGGCTCCTGTACTTCCGTATACCCACTGGCAATCTGTACTATTCTCTCCGGTCCAGATTTCCCTATGTGTGGTTCGATTCATGTATATTATATACGTAGATCGTCAATGAATGACCTCCACATCATCCCATCGACCTCTATTGACTTGCGACAGAAGCGTTGATGTAACGCGACACCCTCGTAACCCCAAGACCTTCAAGTGGCGCAATTTCGTCCACGGGTAATCTTGTAGCAGCTTCTCCCCTGATGCTGGAATGAGCCAACTGTTGTAAGACAGGTCTAACAGTGAAACCAGAGGGCAGTACGATGGAAGTCGTTGAAGGGACACTAGTTTATTAGGGATATTTATGAGTGTGAGGCAAGTGATTGTGGGCGGGAGGTTGCTCAAGGCAAATGTTACCGGTGTGGACAGTAGGGTAAGGGAGAAGAGCACACTAGGCTCGCTCCCCTGTGTTGCAAAGGAGTCCCACGTATACTCCTCTGCTGTACATTCCTTAGGCCCAGATTCTCTTGAGGAATGTATGCGCCGGAAATGGTCGCTGCGCAATGTAGCATGCGGCCCAACGACTACGAGCTCTCCGTCTGCATGCCCTTCTTCTCCGCATATTGCATTCAGCTCAATCTGAGAGAGGGGACAGTTTATTGCGCTATGACGCATCAAGACGCGACGGAGGTGAGGTGGGATATAGGGCCTGATTTCAGCCAACTCGTATCCGCTGCATTCCATGCGAATGACATGAAGAGATAGTAGTGCGAGTGTAGGGAACTCGCCGGTCCGAAGGCTACGAAGGGATGCGCTAGTATCTGGTGAACGCACTGACGCGTTACCAGGGGAGAACGCTATGTCGAGGGCATGTTCGCGCCAAGCAGGGGAGTTTATGTCCGCCAAGTCTGTTTCCCTGATCTTCGGAGACGAAAAGGAAAAGGTTGTCCAACTGCGAGGTGGATCAGGTCCTGCGACCCGGACAGGTCTTGTAGAATGGTGCCCTGAAGGAGCAGTTGCATTCCGCCTGCCGTCTTCTGAAGGATAGATCAGGCTTATCGGAAGGGTTGGGAGGTTATTGACATGGAATGACGTGGGTAGGCTGGCTGGGATATGCTGCGCATTGCGTGAGTGGCGAAAGTGCTCTCCTCTGGACGAAGGAATGAGGTTGCTTCGTTCGATCTCTTGTCACCACCCGCAGCGCACCTCAAATTACGAAGGATGTTGTTTACTTGATGAGAAGTTTCGCTTGTGTCCTGTGGAACAGTTCGTGCTAAGGCCATCGCAGAATAGAGGGCGCTACCGTGTCATCTCGTCCAACTGGCATCCTCATGGGTTGGCACTGGAACCGTGGTAATCCTATTTAGGTGCGAACTCCACTAAGCTGACCTGCATTACAGCAACGTAGAATAATACACGTCTTAACATGCCAATTGAATATTTGAATGCTGAAGCTGAAGTGTTGGAAGAAATCCATACGCGTTTTCATAGTGCATACATGGCAAAAATAGAGGAACATGATGAATTTCATGCCAAGCATACCTTGCGACTACTCCATCTCGCCACTACCCCACCGTCGGACCACAATAAAAAACACACTCAGTTCATTTGGCGGATGAGCTTGTTGATGTTGGCCTCTCGGTCACCAAAGTCACCACCTTGCACAAAGTGCTTGAATTTGCGCGTCCTCCAGCCACCGTTAGGGTTTGACAACTTGAATGGCCAGAGGAAGTTGGATGCCTGTTCCGATCTGTCAGCAGAAGAAAATATTTATGACATGGTCGTGCTGACCTGCTTGAAGTTGGGGCCGGCAGTAGCGATCTCGTGAACGAGATCTTCTATGGAGAGGATGTCATATTTGCCGAGGGACTCCTCGATAATGGCATTGTTTGTCAGGGGAATACGCTGTTTGTTGACCTTCCCGTAACCGCGCTTGTAAAGGAGTTCGCGGACGGACTTGATATTTGGCTCGCTAAGGGAATCCGTCAATCTCCGTGAGTATTCATAAGCAGTCGACTTACCCGTATGTAATGTAGGGCTCAACCAGTCGGAGCATTTGCTGGGTAGCTTTGGTGACCTTCACGAAAACACCGTTGTTGATTTGGAGGAGGCGGAGGAGCTGTAAAATTTTACGGGGTTTGGGTGCAATCTCGTTGATACTACGCAGATATGAGAAGAATAAATGATCACGAAGGAAGCTGCACGTACCCACGAATACGGACGACGAAGTAGACCTTGGCTTCCGCAGGAACGTAGAAGTCACCAGATGTTCGGGCAGCACGCTTCAATCGGATCTCCTCCTTCTCCTTTGACAGATACTCCTTGACATAGCTCTCCGCCCGTTTGAAAATCACCTTGCGCTTTGCCTTTGATGCCTAGAACAAAATTTAGTATGCGATCGGAAATAGAGCGATTTGAAGGTGAAAGATCAGTCCCGAAAGATGGTTAATTTGAAGGCGGCACTGCAGAACGAATCCCACTAGCCATTCGTTCGAAATAATCGTATGCATCATACATAGAGCCAGGCCCTAATTAAGAGGTTGCTACGAACCTTACGTGCGGCAGTGGCTGCAGCAAGGCGCTCCTCCCGTGCCTTTTCATTCTGCTTGCGCTTTTTAAGGAGAGTCTCCGGAACTTCGATGTCCTGTGGCAGAAGTTAATAGATTCCACATAGATTGCGAATACACGAACGAACCGAGACTGTGGGGACCCTGGTGAAGATGTAAACACTCGTTCACTGTGCAAAAACTTAGCAGACTCACGTTGTCGAGGGGGCCATGGCGAGTTTTGAGGATATTGTCGGCGCTGTAGGCCTTCGCCGAGACAACTGTGGAAGCTTGTGGTGGCTGGCAACTGTATAGTCTTAGTCATATATTCTCACCGTAATCATTCGTGTGAAAAATGAATGACCCGTCGAGTGAGGTGAACTTTCTACAGCTGCGCAGCACGCTCGCAGTTCAAGAAGCTTTGGCAGCTCAACGAAGCCACATCATTGACAGCCATACCTACTCTGACTGTCCCCAGAATTTTCCGTCCGCGTCCCGTTCCGCATTGTATTCTTCGACCGGCCTCGCCCGCCAAACGCGCTTCATCCATTTTTGACAATGCTTAAGTAATCCCATACTCTAATGCATTGGAGAACATCCCTGAGGCCTGAGGCCTTCAGGCTGAAATCGCCCCTCTGGCGCATACTACGGCAAGACAACGGCGCAACTACGAGCCGGTTATGTAAGGTGGTTGAGTGACGAAGTACAAGACATACGACGAAAGGAGAAGTGGAGAAGCTCTATGTGTCAACAAACACAAGGTACACTGTAGTCCCATTTAGGACAGGTTTAGTGACGCTTATCGCTGGCTCCTAAGTTACGACTTGCAAACGAGAACAACATTAATATTCTAACCAAAATCTCGCGGAGAACAGCACAAATCCCACGCATGGGCCATATGTAGCCAGTTCGGACTGGAAAATTGACTGTCCTATCCTGCTCGCAAACGAGTCTTCATGTACAGGAAATGGTCATCAACAGCGGTGGGCCTTTTTTTAATCTACTCGCTGGAATGAAGGGGCATTTGAACTATCGAAAACACTGGCCCCCACACTTCTAATCAAGCTTGACGCGTGACAATTCAGGTGGACAGTTGCCGGCATCGCCTCGAACTGCTAGCAATGTGCCATAATTTGTAGGCTTTGTCTCCCCATCCTTGTTCTTTTCACTCCCCATCCTTCTTTCTTTCATCCATCATGCTACCACACCGAGCCAAGCTAAGGTCGTCAATAGTGGTCCTGGCAGCAGCAGCGCCTGTACCCAGAGGTGCCTCTGCGCAGACATCCACTGTGACATGCCTGCCCTCCTTTGGTTGGGTAATAATATATTTTTATTCATGTTTTAGGTTTCAAGATATAGATTTTGATTCATGGTATGTAGATGAACAACACCCTCGGGCAGGACCCTTGCGTCGTTACTTCCTACCTCGAGAGTGTCTGTGGAGGTACGCCTTTTTCGGTATGCCTTAGCTTTGTATAACTGGTCTTGGTACAGCTTTTACAGTTGGTCCTTTGCCTCCCAATACCTATTACGGACCTCCCTCGGCCGCTGGAGCAGACTCTTGCACATGTAATACAGTAACCTACTCGATGATGGCCGCTTGCAGCGATTGTCAGAATGCCACATATGTATCGTGAGTCATATTCAAGTCTTATCGAGTATACTCGACCCCACGAGGCCCCTATTTTCTATTAGCTGGTCTTCCTGGAGCACCAGTTGCGCTCAGATGTCCATCAGACAGTCAGTGCGCAAGGTTGTTGATATTCTGCAAGCTTTTCTAATACACTTGATTGGCAGATATCCGATGGACATTCCCACTGGTACCAAGGTTCCGAATTGGGCGTATCTGAACGTTGGTGCACGATTACCTGTCCCAATTATTGTAATCTAATTTTCGCTGAAGGTGTCCGGTGGATTCGACCCTGTCGCAGCACAAAATAACGGAGGTTAGGATTTAGGCATAACTTTTCCCAAGAAACCTTTTCACTTACGATCTTCTAGACCTCCCGGAATCTACCGCAACCAATGCACAATCTACTATCACAGTCACTTATTCGACCACGTTCTCTGCTTCTTTGACCAGTTCTTCGACTACATCTACAGGACTTTCTCCCACATCAACATCTAGTCCGACAAGTCCAAATGTTGGAGTTATAGCCGGAGGTGTTGGTGCAATTTTGGGCGCAGCCATCATAGGCCTAGTGATTTGGTTCTTTGTCAGACGCCGTCGCTCCTTCACAACGCCATCAGCCGCTTTCAGCGACCCAGGCGGAGGTCCGGGCCACACTCAAAAATTTTACTCCACTAGCGCTAATGCATTCCCAATGGCACGGCAACCACGTTTCTACGTATGTTTCTCATAATTTTACGATACATCCAACCCGTCTCATCCCCTCGCACAGGACCCCTCTGACCCGGCCACTTTCCCAGGTCGTCCTCACTCCTTCGCCGACCCAGTTACCTCATCTAGCAGTATAAGCAAAAATCCATCGATGCCCTCACCCGTCTTTCCCCGACAATCGCGTCTTGGACAGTACGCTGGCGTTCCAGAACTCTAGGGTTTAAACTTATGTTACTTTATGTCACTTACTTTTTTGGTAAACGGAAACTTGTAATGTTACTTTTCAGACTTGATGGGATACTACTAAATCATCATGCAAAAGTTCTTAGGACGGCGGCCTAATAGATGATTTGGTGCTCACCTGCAACTTGCTCCAAGGTTTGCCGTGGCAAGCATGGCTGCTTTCGGCAAAGTGTCTGTACCATAGTTAGCGCTGAGCTCAGCCTTTAATTGGCTACAAACACCCACTTCATGGCGCGTCGCAATGACCCATGGATCGAGCTTATTTAGTGTGAACGGAAATAAAGTTTGCGATGCTGAGCGCTGAGCATGTGGCACTTCCTTTGTGACCCACGATGACTCGTTAGCGCGAGCTCGAGCACATCGGGATGAGTACGGTAAATCTTGGAAAAAAGTGGCAAGATTGCATTAGAAAATCACGGCGCGGAGACAGTAAGTACTTGCAAGTACATACTCGTAACAAGCCGCGAATGTAGTTGCACCGATCCACCGATACGACAGATGTGAAATGTGCACGAGATACTTCAGCATATGTTCGACCAACTGCTAGGTTGATATTGGACAACTTCCCAGTAGGATACTGATTAGAAACGGGAAACCATACTCCATAGAACCCATGACACTTGTGTAAAACACATGACCATTGATGACACAATCGAACTCCCACTGTCATAGCGAAATTCTTCCTCAGATATTGCAAGAGCAGCCCGACCCAAGGAAGTAGAGAAAGGCAGAATATTGTCATGAATACATATTCGGAAGTCCGCGACGACGCTGGACTGAGTCATACCCGCCGCCGGGTGTCCTGTCTATACATAGGCTGACAGCGACGATAGATGAGGGGGCGACCATGAATGGATGCATGCTAGGTCTCGGAGATAATGTTGTACGACACCGGAACGAGCTCTAGTATGAAGACGATGGTGACTACTCCTCCTGTGATGTCGGAGTTGCCAAGATAATTAGATTGTGCCATAGCTGCACAGTGCACCGACAGATTGTATTTTCGATAAAGACACTTCAATTTGACGGCTCACGCTCATGCAATTTGAAGGCCATGATGGATGGTACCAGTGATCAGTGTCCTGCAGTTCTCAGAAAACAAAAGGGTTGCAAGAGGTACAAATTATTACTTAATGAACAGGAACGGGTTCAAGGTCCGACCCTGATATAGTTACACCTGACGGGCTGTGTCCGCTTGCAGATAATGATTGTGGCATGTGGATCGCGGCGCTCAAGCCAACTTTATGCTGCTGAAAGACGAGTTGCCATGGACAGGAAACGGATATTATCAGTGGCTGCATGTGAGCCCTTAAGTTCCTGACTTCATATCGATGGAATGCGTTTAAATTTGCACTTATCGAAAACCCTGAGGCCCTCGTTTTCAAAGCTGTGTTCATCAAATAGTAATGTAGCCGACATCACGTCGAACTGCCATAAGGAACAAAAGCGCCTAACTAATACTATTTGTAAGTTGAAGGCTTCTGCCTCGTTCTGTCTTCTTCTTCCCTCTACCTATTATGTCGCCGCTCTTCAAGGCATGGTCGTTGATAGTGGTCCTGGCAGCAGCAGTGCTTGTACCCAGAGGTGCATTTGCCCAGATGTCCAATGTGATATGCCTGTCCTCTTATGGTTGGGTAATGCTCTTTTTTATAGCTTTAGGGCACATTCTGATGCATGATTGGGTTATCTGCAGATGAACAACAGCCTCCAACAGAACCCTTGCGTGGTCGCTTCCTACCTCGAGAGCGTCTGCAATGGCGGAGGTACGCAGTTTTCATTTCTTAGTGTGCTTCAAACTTGCTAACTAGTTGGTGGCGCAGATTTTTCAATCAGTACTTTACCTCCCGACTCCCATTATGCAGCTCCCACGGTAGCTGAAGCCAATCCTTGCGAATGTAGTACGGTGACCTACTCGCTGGTTAGCGCTTGCGGTGCTTGCCAGAACGCCACGTATTTGACGTGAGTCAAGTCAAAGTCAAGTATGCTCGACTTCACAGAGCGCTTATCGCCTTGTAGCTGGTCTTCTTGGAGCTACAATTGCTCCTCGGTATCCAACCAACAGTCAGTCCGCAAGGCTATTTATATTCTCCAAGATTTCTAATCCATCTGATCAATAGATTTCCGGATGATATTCCGTCTGGCACCGCGGTTCCAAATTGGGCATATCTGGCCGTTAGTGCATGGCTAGTTATCCCAATTACCATAATTTAACTTTTTTGAAGATGACCGCTACGGGATTCGACCCTACCGCAGCGCAAGCAGACGGAGGTTAGCATTTGAGCATAACTTTTCTGTCGTTGAATCACTTTCACTCGCTTTCTGATAGATTCCCCGGAATCTACCGCAACAAAAGTGCAATCTACTGCTACAGTTGCTAACCCGAGCAGCGCGTCTGCTTCTTTGACCGGTTCTTCGGGCGCGGCCACAGGATCTTCGACCACATCATCAGCATCAACTAAATCGACAAGTTCAAACGCTGGAGCTATAGCTGGGGGTGTTGTTGGTGGAGTTGTAGGAGCTGCACTCATCATAGGTCTTGCGACTTGGTTCATTATAAAACGCCGTCGCTCTGCCACAGCGCCATCGGCCGCTTTCAGCGACATTGGCGGGGGTGCAGGATACACTCAAAGTGTTTATTCCCCTAACACTCATTCGTTCCCAACGCAACCCCAAATGACGCAACAACGTCTCTACGTATGTTTCTCATGATTTTATAATGCATCGACACTCATTTCATCACCTTGCGCAGGACCCATCTGACCCGTCCACTTTCCCAGGTTCGCCTCCCTCCCCCACCGTCCTGACCACCGCATCTAGCAACATATACCAAAACCCATCCATACCGTCACATGTGTTTTCCCAACAGTCGCGCCCAGGGCAGTACAGCGGTACTCCGGAGATCTAATGCGAGCCTGAAGATGAACGACCATTGGATATGACCCCCCTCATAATTTGATGACATTGCACTAACAGATTTATGTAACTGTGGGTTCGTCTGTCATTTCTTGCATCAGTACTTATTATTGTACATTCACTTGAACCTCGGTATTGGCTCTCAATTATCCATTGGAACTTTAAATCTATTGTCTAGTAGGACCATTGTAACATGAAAACGAAAGTATCGTGTACTCAAACGATCATGCATGGAGCCGAGCGGAAGCGCTCGACGTTTAGATTCTTCGTTATTTGCCATGGAGGCATCCTGCCAACGATCTATCTAGATTTCTAATACCAGGAAGTTATGACACAATCATATTGCATCCTCCCTTCTGTCACGTCAGCAATGGATCATCATTGCTGCTGTTAGTCATAGCCGTGACAGTGTCTACAGCTGAAGATGATGACTTTACGCAGAATGCAGCAATGTTCTGCCAGGGTATCTCAACCACATGTGCGTCGTCATCCTAATTAGAAGTGACATGTGCATGTGATGGCTGGCCTGCTGTCATCGGGTCTATTCACCGTGGGGTTAGCTCTACTTTGGGACTGAATGACTTTCCGTAGCCAAAATAATCCAGAATATTGTAGTCTTCCAACAACGATGATATGATACCCCAAATCTCGAGTCCAGCCCTTGCAAATTATCCACTCCCAATCTCCGTCGCATGATTCACCTGGCGGGTCACCCAGACATGTTCGGAGTCACTAGCAAAAAATGGTATGCAATAAATTTAGTCCAGGTCCTGAAGGACACCACAATAATATTGATAATATTAGATCGTGTATTTCAAGAGAGTAAAAAATATCAACTGTTGGTACACCTGGTGACCGAAGCGTCCAAGAAAGTTAGGACGGCCGGCCAAAGGGTGGACCGTACTCATCTGAGGTGCTACGAGATGAAAGATTGCCAGTAGTACAGACAATCGAGCATGTGGTATACAAGCACCTGGAAGTTGTTAAAAAGATATCCGAGCGAAAATGAGCCGATTAAATACACACGTTTTTCTTTAGGGCTGGTCTATCGATACGCAGGTCATTCTTGTCTATGCATATGGGTGTGCTCGCCGGGCCGCGCTAAGAATATATACCGCCTGTATCAATTGCGTTATCGCACCTCATCTAGCAGGTCATGTTACGGAGACCCGCTTCATGAGTACTGAAGTGGTTCGAGAAACCGAATATAAAGCATCACACAATAACCGGATTCCGTTCAAACCATTTTGCAGGCAGATCATCCATAATGACCGTATCTACACTCCCTCTGAATGACGGAAACCAGGTTCCCTGGATAGCTTTTGGTACTGGTACTGCCCTCTTTCGCAAGGACGCCGAGGATGCCATCCGCCTTGCTCTCGACAATGGCTTTACGCACCTCGATGGTGCGCAAGTCTACGGCAACGAGGACACATTGGGAAACGGGATAGCAGCTTCTGGCAAGTCCAGGTCCGAGCTCTTCATAACGACAAAGCTCGGAAAATTGCAGCCTGGTGCAACTCCCAAGAGCGCACTCCAGGAGTCCTTGAGGCAAATCAAAGTGGATTACGTCGATTTGTACCTTGTACACCAAGCCAACAACCATGTCGGGAAGCTGAAGGAGATCTGGAAAGGGATGGAAGAGGCTCAGAAGGCGGGCTTAACCAAGTCCATCGGAGTTTCTAACTTCACTGCTGACCACCTGAAGACTATATTGGAAATTGCCACTATACCCCCTGCGGTCAACCAGGTTGGTTTTATAAGCCTGTTGGTGTGATAGGCCTCATTTAACCATCATTAATAGGTCGAGGCTCATCCATATGTATGGCAAGCATTGCAGCCGAATCTTGCCATCCACGACCAATACAAAATCGTCACGTCATCATACGGTGGTTTATCACCTCTGTTCCGGGGAAAAGGTGGTCCACTAGATCCTGTGATTGAGCAAATCCGCGCTCGTTTGGAGAAAACTCGTGGCGCCCCTGTGTCTGATAGTCAGGTGTTGAACAAATGGCTTCAACAGAAAGGTGTTCTTGTGGTGACGTGAGATTTAATCTGCACACCGATGTGACTGTTTTCTAATACTTGAACCATCACAGAACCTCGTCGAAAGCCGAACGTATCAGGGAATACCTTGACACACAGAATGTGCCGGAGCTTACAGCTGAGGAGATCGCGCTTATAGACACTACTGGAGGAAAACTTCACAAAAGATACTTCGTAAGTTTAGAGTTTGACAATGACTCACGTTCTTCTGCTCATATTGCATTTCAGCCCGGAAACTGGCCGTCCGAGTAAGTCAGTGATTAGTGTGGTGGGACAATAAATTTTTCCACAATTCACATCGTGTCGTCGTAGAAGCCCAGCTGGATCTCACTTGTAATAGCAGTTTTTGTAATTTGAATAGTGTTGAATCACGTGATTTTGAGGCATTGTGGGCAGTGGCTTTTGTTATTTCTGTATATATGTAGTGTCTTGCGTTTGTGGTGTTGCCAACAACTATGTCATCCCCAGCTCTGTCTGCGCTGCCAACCTATTCATCAACATCAAAATCTCGTCTGCAGTCGCTGTATTCCGATATTCACAGACAGAAATATTCCAACCCTTCTTCTTTCCATACTTACGTTGACTGGTGGCATGGGACACTCAAGGATGTCACTTCGCGAGGTTGGCAGGGAAGCGACGGGTCTGACGGGACAAGCAACAAACTTATTCTAGGAGCACGAAGAGTTCTGGTGGATAAGTTGCGCTATGAAGGTGTTGGCAAGCCTCTCGGTCTCGGAACCACCATAGTGCGTCATTAGGCAGCTCTTACACTTCTTGGTATTCGACTCACCGCACTGCACTAGTAAAGGCCGAGATGCGACGAAATAATGACATAATACCACTCTCCCAATTTCTTACTTCACAGCAGTCTGTGTACGACCCAGGCTGGCTCCCATACCGACTTGCTTCCTTCGTGGTCGGAAAACCACTATGGTGGGCGATGGAGCAGCTTGACATAGTCCGCTCAGAAGATTCTTATACAGAAGCTGAGATGTGGAAGAAGATAGAAGGGGACTATGTCATGCTTGGGCTTGTTGCACAGGCCGCAGATACCCTTGAAATCATGCGAGACGGTGCCGGACTCAACCCAGCTGACAACCTGTACACTTTCGAAGATTTTCGCAGAGAATTTGGGGCCAAGATATTACCCGGAGTTGTGCTGAGCGAGATAGATACCAAAGTCCTGATCAAATTTCTCGAACGGGAAAGACGTGTGGTTGTACAGAATGGCGATGTAGGTGTTTCAGTCGCATATTCTGACTCGCTGACTGACATCACTGTAAGGTCATTAAATTTGTGACAGCGAGTCATGATCGGGAAATCACTGCTGTGGATCGAGGAATTCTACAGCTCAAGACAGCAGTGAGAAATCTCCGTGAACAGGTTGATAGCATCCAGAATAAGATTGATCAGTAAGGAGCGCGTTTTTCCGCAGCACGTCGTTGAATGACGCATGTATACATCTAGGACCACTTCAAATATCTCAAGCGCCCTGCGTCAGCAGCGCAAGTCAATTGCACTAGCAGAGTTGCGGTTTAAGAAACATCTGGATGACCTGCTTTCAAAGCGTCTTGGATCCCTTCATAATCTAGAGTCAACATTGATCAGCGTAGAGACGGCCGCCGGTGATGTGGAAGTGAGTTACCCCTCCTCTTCTGTAAATTTCGTGTTACTCACTAGTAACCTCTTCAGATTATGAAGACGTACGAGAGTTCGACGGCAACATTAAAAGCAATCCTAAGCCACCCCTCCCTTCAACGCAACAAGATTGAAGAGACAATGGATGCGCTTGCGGCATCGACTGCTGATGCACGTGAGATAGATAATGCTATCAGAATGGGCGAAGACATGTCTGCAGCAGACGCGGGCATAGATGATACAGAGCTAGAAGCTGAACTAAACGTGTTGGTGGAAGAGGCAGAGAAGGAGAGTGCTGTAGCAGCTGAACAGGTGGTTGTGGAGAAGCTTCAGGGCATTGAAGTTCGTGTCCCAGAAGGCACACCAGTTCAGGTTGAGGCCGCTCCCAGGCGGATGGCAGAGGCAGCATAAGAGGACACCTTACATAATATTAGCAAATGTTCCTTAACTTGATGACGCAATATCCTTATGAGAAGTATGAAGTCGAGCTCTAACACCATCTTGTACATTTACAATCAATGGCACCCATTCGTTTGCGACATCCCAAGGGCATCACGACGTTGCAGGTTGACCTCGATAATGCTTTAGTTCAAGATCTTCAGCAGGAAATATTTGAAGTGTCCGAAATCCCACCATCGCAGCAAGAACGTATGTACCCTGCAAGCGCCTTCAACAAGGTCATTTAAACGGTGATTTTGATGCATGTTAGTCAGGTCGGGGTACCCACCGCGATCGCTCACAATTGTCCCGGAGCTTCCGCTTTCGAGCCTGGGATTAAAGTCCGGTGATCAGGTCATTGTGAACCAGAACATATCAAGCTCGGTGCGCGCCCCGCCTTCCCCACCTAAGGCCAAGCCGGCATCTTCCCAGCCACCTCAAACCTCTTTGTCACAACCGAATTCAAGCAGGCTCGCACCGAGGAGCAGCGGTCCAGACTGTGTTGAGACACCAAACGGCGCGTTAGTGCACAGGGTAAGTTAATGCGTTCTCATATTGATCGGTTATCTGTCACACGCCATAGATCGTGCCAGACGATAACTCGTGTCTTTTTTCGTCTATCGCCCTCATTTTCGAGCAAGATGCTCGCAAGGCGCAACAGATACGACAAGGTCAGCCATCACATTGATTCAGAATCTATCAGATGGATTGATTGGCGATCCCCACATAAGTCGTTGCAGATGGCATTCGAGCAGACATGGAAACCTATAATGAAGCTATTCTTGGGTAATTGATATCACTGCATACCACAGTATGAAGCTGAGCTAACTCGAATTTGCAGCATGAGCCGAGATGCATACATCGCCACCATTCTGAAGCCTGCGACATGGGGAGGTGCAATTGAACTCGGAATCCTCGCCAAGCATTATGGCACGGAGATTGCATCTATTGATGTCGAAACCGGAAGGTTTGATCGTTTTGAGCCTCCATTAGAGGCGAGCACGGGCAACCGGTAGGCACCTTGTGTGACCTTCGTTTAGACGCACTTTTAACGCATTAGTACGCAGTTGCATCGTGATCTATTCCGGCATTCATTATGATGCCGCGTCATTGGCGCCTATGGCTGATGCTCCACCTGAATGGCATCAAACTGTCTTTCCAATCGTGAGCGCTTCAGTATCGTGCATGCCATTCTAGGGTTATTTACTCTTGATGTTAGATTTCCACGGACGACGACGATCCAATTTTGTCTGCCGCTAAAGCATTAGCTACTATCTTACGGGGAAAGAAAGCGTATACTAACACCGCAACATTTGATATCAAATGTGAAGTAAGCAGGCAATTTCATCGAATGATCTGCACAATGAATGATTGATGATCCGCACAGGACTGTGGCAAGGGATTGAAGGGCGAGAAGGATGCAAGAATGCACGCCCAGGAGACGGGCCATGTACGATTCGGAGAATATGAATGATATCCGGATTCCAGACTTGTCCATACCATCACCCTGATGTTTCATGTATTTCACTAGGAAACCGTGACGTGCGCAACATAGTGGATATTCGCATATGACGAGTGCTACAGAATTTAGCTTCCCGTAATGATATCGCTCTCTATTTCCATCACCACTGGCACATGGTCTGATGCGCCGTAGATCTCACTTCTAATCTCGCACATCTTGACCTTTTCCAGTAGTCGCTCGCTCACCACAACTACGCAGATGGATGCTGATTTAGGATAAGCCAGCTAGCAGAGATTGTCAACTTACACATATCCAATCTCCAACCAAGGCCTTTGGTCCGACAATCAAAACGGTACGAGAAATATGTGTAGTGTTTGTCTTCTGGATGATTCTGCCTCCAGACATCAACAAATTTGCCAACTCCAACAGCAGATTCAGGAGGATTGAGAATATTTTGAAACGCTTCCGTTTCATCTTTTGTGTATCCAGGTGTCTTATTCCAATTTGACTTTGCATTTGCCAAGTCTGAATATAAAAATGTAAGATACACTGGACCAAAACCGCAGACGGTGTGAATCGTGCACCTATTGCGGTTGGCGCGACGTTGAGGTCACCCATCCATATGACAGGTTTCTTCTTGTCCAGATCCCGGATATACGTGGTGAAGTGCTCATTCCATGTGTTCTTCTCCTTCAGCGTCTGGGATAGATGAATAAGTGTGCACACCATATATCTGATGATCTGACCTTGAGCCCCTGACCAGCGTTCGTCACGTATGTAGCTACAATATAACAACCAGGAAATTCCACCGTAACGATACGACCCCTGACGCTATTTGGGTCTGGATGTCCCGGAAGTTTTGTGTCTACAGATAGAGGCTTATGCTTGGAAAGCACAGCTGTTCCTGCTGCGTCGGGTCGAAATTAGAGAAGCAGGGAGCTAATGAAGGTCATTTACAGTAAGTCTTCTTGGAAGATATAGCCCAGGTACAATGAGGGAATCGCGACGTCAGAAAAGGGTCTACAGGAACTTCGTTCACCTAATATGAGAGTATTAGCAAGACAGGGACTAGAACATGCATATCATAGTATGTACCTTGGTCTCTGTTAGCACGAGAACGTCTGGATCCTCCGCCTCGACATAGAATTTGAATCCCTGACGAGATACAATACCGAAATGATTAGAAAGTCAACACAATATGAATTCATCGCGCTCACCTTCTTGGAAGCCGATGCAAGCGAACATATGTTCCACGTTGACAAGCGAACAGTGCCTGATATCCGGGGAGGAAAACTGATGTTGACAGGCAGTACTTTATTAGTAGGCTGGCCATTGCTGGCAACGGCAGACCCTGGCGAGTCTTTCGATACTTTGGCCTTTTTTGAAGTAGACTGTGTGACTTCATCATCCGATTGTGACTCGGATGCCGCTTTACGCTTCACTGCAGTTTTCTTTTTGGGTGGCATTAGTTGGCGGGTCAAGAAAGACACGTGAAGTTGGCGAGATGGTAATGGAGCTAGTCGTAGGCCAATTGTGGACAATGCACAAAGTTGTGGACTGCAGAGTGTTAAAAATACCATGGACCCGACTAAGTGTTATTTCCTAATCGAGCATACTTGTGGGCGCGCATTTGCCACAGGTGCTTAATTTAAAAACCAACCTTGCTTAGGCCTTTTGCGACTTGAACTTTCGCGCTTTGGACAGGGCAACAGCTTTGTTTCTGTAGCTTAGTTTGTGTGTAAGCTAAGCCAAAGCTACCAGTGCCAATCTAGTTATAAACAGTCCACCTCTACTTTGAGGCTCTCAACACGACGCGGTACAACCTTTATTTCTGGTGCTTATTACAGTCCTTAATTAACTCATCATCCCTGTCCTCGAGCACAGTCAACATCACCCAACATGCTTACGCATCGTGGATTCTCCGCATGTATAATCTCTGAGGGCAAACCGATCCCCGAGTATCTTGCTGCTGTTGTCGGCGAAAACCCAAAGACAATCTCGTGTTGGATCCCGAGTGAGGTGGGAAAGGTAACTCGATTCGTTCATCTAATCACGACGTGCCTCACCGATGCCACCAGACTTTTACAGTATACTGGAGAGATGAAGGGACAAAAATGCATTCATGCGCATTTATTACACTTGACGGATTCGTAGTTCCTGGTCGGTTCTTGTTTGGCGAAGGGGAGACTTGGAGGAATGGCGTAAGGTCAGGTCCGCATACAGAAAGGCCCTTCATGTTTGCACAGAGGCCAAGCTCGGGTCAGTCATGACAAACAATGGGTACATTGGCATGAAGGCTCATGTTTGACAGGTGCAAGTGAGCAAAGCATGAAGGACGCTGGCTCTATCATGCTCAAGATTCGACTTGTCACGCTGGATGGGTCGAAGGCAGCAAATCCACTGCAGAATATTCCAGATTTGGACTCGCAAAGTCACCTAGGCGATCATTGTATTGGGTGCGCATAAGCAGGGCCTGTTGATGTTTCCGTGTCTGACAATTTTGAAAGGTACGGCCAGGAGATGGACACATACAAGCAGTCACCCATAACGTGGAAGGTGAAGGCGTCCGACCAGGGCAGTAACAGGTCACACGTTACCTTTCTGTTCCGGTACAGGTCTCCCGGTGAGTTTTGAATCCCTTGTGAAGATTCATCCTAATAGCAACAATTTTAGAGTGGCTGATGGCGCAAGGAATAATGCCCACTGAACTGCAGGTGCCAAAAAATCTTCCTGTGAAGCGACGGGTCGCCAGCGCACCCGTTGCGCAATCGGTGAACGCGCCGATTACCCCAAGCCCAAGTGCTTCCAACTCGAAAAAGGCTGAACGGTATGAGCGACTCGTGAGTATAACTGTTTCGTCATACCATCCAACTCACATATTCGTTTGTCACGTAGAATGCAGAACCAAAGAATACCTTATATCCAGAACAAGGTCGAATGAGGCCTGCACTCAGTGTCAGGACCGTGAGCGTCGGGGGCCGAGTTCGGCCCAACAAATTTGCAGGGGAAATGCTACTCGATTTTCAGGTTAATCCTCCACTCGATCCAAGTAGGTTTATGCAAGGCCCATCCAGTGCGTCTCAAGAGTCGGACAGCACGGTAGGAAATTCAACGGAGCCAGGCGATGAGGGCCAGGAAGATATGACTTAGAGAGAGCACATTATTTCGTTCTGTTGTTTGCTTTGACGGGCTGTCTGGTATCTGTAGAACTATCTCTTGAAGAATACGATCATTAGGGTGTCTGTGCAAAAATTGTAAAATAGTTGACCATCAATATCATCACTTACTACAGCCTCATGGAAATATAGTACGGAGGGCGTTTCATTGTGAATTACTGAACGACAGAGGAAGGGTTACTGCAACGATTTGTGTTCACAGCAAGGGCTGCACAGACAATGGCAAAGCGAGAGTATTTGGATTTGTATGTACATGTTGAATTCTAAAGCCGTCGCCAAATAACGGCGTTCAATTAAACAGTACTTCTTCTGCTTTCTCGGAAATATAATGTCTACAGCAGCTACACAGCCAACCTTGTTATGCACGCTGCACATTTGGCCTTCTAGATGGAATTTACCATCTATTGACCCCACATGTATTGCAGCGGTTTTCTACCTGCAATTGACTATTCCAGGGAAATTCGAAGTTGTAGAATGTACTAACCCCGACGTGTCCCCTAGTGGTACGTTTATATATCTCGTCGCTTGGGCTTGCATCTTATAGCGTTATTCTGCAGGAAAGCTTCCCTTCCTCACACATGGCCATGCCACAGTGTCATCCGTCCCAGCCATCATTTCCTTCGTTTCTTCGCTGGCAAAGTCTACTTCATCAGGTGCAAGGGATCTCGACGCGTCTCTAAGTGCACTACAAAGAGCAAAGCGAACTGCTTGGTGCTCGCATGTTGAGGCGAATATTGGGGACCTCGTAGTGAGTACATGCATAACATTTTTAGGCCGTTCAATGGTTGATATTCCCATAGGCATATTCGTTCTATTCTGTGGACGACAACTTCTGGAAACTTACAAATCCAATCATGGCATCTATGCTTCCCATTCCGCAGCGCTACTATGTACCTGGCCGTATACGTGAAATGCATCGACCACGCCTAGAGGCTGCAGGTTTGTGGACACAAATAGCCTCTGAATCAGAGAAGGACTCATTCGGGAAACGACAAAAGAAAGACGACCCTAAAGACAACTATGCGCGCGCTTTTGAACGGGACAAAGTGAGATACTCTTTATTTGCTTAGATAGACCCGACGTTTACTACATTGCAGGTATCTGCGCTAGCGAAGGCATCGTTTGCTCTTTATGCGAAGTTACTGAATGGACAGAAGTTTTTCTTTGGGGAACGGTGAGCGATACTAGCGTTTTTTTTTTCCTTTTGTGTTGTCTGAGCTCGTTATTAGGCCTACGACTCTTGATGTTTACCTAGCTTCGCACATTCTCCTGTTACTTGATCCGCCATTCCCGGACCATTCAATGCGATGTATTCTAGAGGACTCATACCCGACGCTCGCAGAGCACGCGCGCAATGTGCAGACAGAAGTCTCACAAATACCGCGGCAGTATCTTGTTGCTCCTGCGCAAAAACAGTCGTTGCTGTCGTTAATACCGCGACCCCTGACCAACCCTCCCAAACCCAAGGAGAGCCGAATGGATGAAGCAGACCTTCGGTTCCGTCGCATGCGATGGATGTGGCTTGCGCTTGCCTTTGGCGGTGTGGCGTGCTACGTCGCTCAACTCTGGATAAAGGTCACTGTTGTGGAGGCCAACAGGAGACCTCGACGTGTGCAGAGACATGAGGCTGATCAATTTACAGAACATGAAGCAAAGGTCATGGACGAGGAAGAAGGCAAAGAAGATGAAGATGAAGATGCGAGTGTCCAGGATGGGGACGAGTAGGATGATCCTAGGCTCCAGAGTCTACATGCGCTTGCGGCTTTAGCTTCGGCTTGGTGCACTATATTCATACTGTGACGATGCTCGCCTCGTCCATAGAACCGTCACGGCGGTACCTCCTGTACCTCCAAATTCCATGATTCCATTACTGAATATTAAATCCACGTGCTTGTCAATTCTAACAATCCTGCCATCATCATCAAAGCTACAATATGTCGTGGCCAGAGCGCCAGAAATTGTATATTTTATTTTCGTCGACTCATGTGAGACTTATTTTTGGACATCTATAGCGCTATGGCGACGCTGAAGACACTTTGTGTTTTTCCTTGCCTTATGGCTACTAGTTCTTCATCGGCCCATTCTGTTGGCGATGCTTTGGCTCCGGATCCGGTCGCTCTGGTGGTCTCAAGTCAAAAACTTTTTGATGATGGAAGCCCCAGACGAGCGATACGTTACCTTCTAGCTATGATCCTGAATTGCTATTCCATATCCAGGACAGTACGCAAAACAGAATACGACACCAGCGCAGTCTCCAAAGTATTCAAGCTCGAGAAAGGTGAAAATAATATGTCAATATGAGTCGTTGGACTCCCACGCGTGCGCCTCAATTCTCAATGCACGATGTTATTTAAGTGATAGAATCTCGCCTTGAAGCTGGTAAGGAACTACTTAGACTACTCTTTTCCATCATAATACTTCTTCTCATAGATCCATGCCTCGCAAGAAGCACCGTCCATACATCGCACTCCACCATCGCAACTCAAAGCCAGGATTTCACTTCGCTCTCATGCTCTCACCCAAGCAAGAAACTCGCAATACGTCCATCCATGACTGCCACATATACCACACCGTCAACACAATCCAATCAGGCGTTAAATTCAATCTCAACGGCATGCCAGAATGGCGATACGAACATAAAGCTGCCAATGGTCTTCGAGAAGGCATGGTCATAGGAAGAGTACTCATCGCAAAGCTGCCTGCACACGAACCGTTGGTCACGCAGGCAGAGCGCATAAATGATATCCTTGCGCAAGTCCCGCTCGTGCAGAATGATGCACAGTGGAATTGCCTAGTGTGGCTTATCGAAGCATTAGCTGCGCTGCGAGCCAAAGGGGGCGACTTTAGCACGATTCCAGAGGTCACAGTCGGAGGCCAGACGGAGGGCAAAATAAAGGCGTTCGGCGACATGGCCAAGGATAGCGTTTTGAAGAGGTCAGGCTCGCTGCCTGACTGCGCTAGCGATCTGCCGCACATCGACATGAGAGTTCGTCAAAAATGAGGAGCGCCAGGTACAAGATACCGTTTATAAGAAGATGTATGCCCATTTGCATAGGTGCTTGTCGTATCAAGATGACAATGTCCGCCATGTGGATAGCGCACATTTAGTGACTTTGAGTTGACTCAATCTACCTGGCAAGGAGCGATGTATTATGGTCATTTCCCGTTTTTACTTTCACCTTCTTTCTTTCTTTTCTTTTAAAAGAAAAATGTTTCACCGGTACCTTTGCCACCTGCAACTTCTTGTTGACGAAACCACTATCAAGGTGCCAACGCTCTTCCAAGTTTCTCTCCCTCGTCAACCATGTCCGTGTTCCTTGCACCCTCTTGCACCTCATCCAATACTTATTTGATGAAAAGAATCACTCCGGTGTTTGTTCGGTTTTGGTTTCTTTGTTGCCAATGTACATGCAGGTCAATCCTTTGGTGGATCCCGGACCATACTAAGGTGGGCAGGTGAGTCATGTAGTTGAATCCTGGTTGCACAACGACCTGCTCATACTCACTACATCATAGGCACAAGTCAAGCCACCGCAGCATTCGCGAGATTTTAAGCAAACGTGTGACTGGGCCGTACATGCACTGACAGACATAGATGCTGCCAAACCAACAATAACGGCGAGGAAAGAGAAACGCATATTCTGTGCAAGGTGATATGGAATATTCTGAAGGGGCTCTCGATTGATATCTCTGAGGATGAGGAATTACCGATGGACGACGACGAGCTTTTATATCCTGCATACACCCATGGGCACGATTCTGATCGATTTGGCAGAATTGGTATTGCTGTCGTATGGCAGAAATTCCGGCAGAACATGCAGGAGCATGTTTAATTCATTATGACATAACCTGCCGGTACTGGAATTCTATTGTGCTAGGGGTATCATGGTTCATGATGTGTAAGTCCTCCCGCATGAACTATTGATTTGAACCATTTCTGAATCCGTCTCTTGGCAGCGCTCTTGCAATCCCGAAATACAAATTGCTCCACTTGTGCTATTTGTGTACTGCCAGTAGTAAAGAATTGTTTCATATTGTGACCTTGCGTCCCCTGCCTCAATGTCCGTGATACTACTTCCCTTCGGCGTTTGCCATCACTGATGCTACACACTAGCTACTGTAATTTTTGCATCACCCGTATGATCGTACAGTGACCCGTACTGTACCGTCGAGGGTATCGAGGACACCATATGACATATGGTACGATACGGGCGGTAGCCGTATTTGAATACCAACCGTAAAACAGGGATATTGATTCGTGTGAGCTAAGCAGTGCCCAGCGCGACCCGGGCCCGGGCAGTAGTCCAACTCAAGGAGCCGATTATCGTCATAAAATATACCTCCCCCTGCGCTAGCACCCCTGCACGCCCCTTCACCTGATTGAGATCCTCAAAATTCCTGGAGCATGTGGATATTCACCTGGTGTTCATAACCCGATATGAGCACTGCAAAGGACTCCACTATCGACCACCTAATGCGAGGATTCAATGTTTGAATTTCATAAAGTGATTTAGAAAAGCTAATTTCTTCTCGCCACATAAATTGGCACCTGCAGTGGCCCAAAAAATCAAGGGGACGACTCTGCTGATCAGAGAACGCCATCTTTGTAACGCTAGCAAACCCACACAAGTACCCAGATGAACATATCGGAACTATGACGATACAGGTGTTTGACTTCGCCTCCTATGTGGTGAGATGATCAAGCGCCATGAATAGCACCGTACCTGTGCGCTTGTTGCACTCAAGACTCGCTGCAGTCGGCATATCATCATTGCATAAAATGTCCATTACAGTATGCGACATCATCTCGACGACTGACCGCTGTGTCAAGATGCAAGTATATATCTATCCTTTTGAAATTGGACATTGTACTCAGTGCACCGCTGCTCAATGAATCAAACTATTCAATCGTTCATGCACACGAACAACCGAGCAGTCATTGCATTGTTGAAAAGGAGAATGGGCGCAATTGCGCAGGTCCAATGACTCATAATAACATATTTCTCGAGTTTGAATACTTTGGAGATTGCGCTGCTGTCCTGGATATAGAATAGCAATTCAAGATCATAGCTAGGAGATAAGGTATGCTCTGACAAACAATCATCGATTCATCGCGCAGCAAATGCAAAGGAGACTTCTGTAGATCCACACGCTTGAGTTCGCTGGCACACACATTAATGGCACAAATGGCACATGCTCCTCTGCGTCGAACACTTGGATTCCTTGATACTTCTCTTCAAAAGTTGGTCGGAAACTTTGGGTCTTCGTGAACAACAGAATCAGGAGAGCGCGGATGACATTTCACGAGTCCGCATCTACAAGCGTTCAATCCCATCAGTATGAGAATGCTTGGCCAGCTGAGCGCGATGATCAAATGCAAAAGGAACAGGCAAGATAAGACAAGAAAAATCACACCTGGAAACCCTCAAGTGCTTGAAAACAACGAGATTAGGTGCACGATAATGATTGCAGACATGTACACACAACAAATCCTGCACATACACGAGGATCCCGGGCCACCGGTGCGACATGGACAAAATGAGCACGCGCAATTTCGAAGTGTCGTTCCTAAGTAAAGGTCTAGAAATGATTAATGATGCGGCCAAGACCAGGGACAGTGGCTGGCAAAAGATCACCCAACCCGGGAAACCGGTTCACAAATTACAAACGAACCCAAAATACGCACGTCGACACAACGGGGCTTCCATCATCAGGAAGTTCTTAATCTGAAACCACCAGAGCAACAGGATGAGCCAAAGCATCGCCAACAGAATGAGATGATGAAGAACTAGTAGCCATAACTTAGGCAAGGAAACAAAACTGCAAATTGAGCAAAGGGACCTTTAGCAAGCAGATGACAACAAACAAGAAAGGAATAAAAGGTCCGGGATGATAGAGCCAACATACCGCAAAACCAATCCCTTACAGGCTGCCATCATCATCAAAGCTGTTCGAAAAATATGTCACGGCCAGAGCACCAGGCCCCACCAGAAATTGTATATTTTATTTTCGTTGACTCACAGGCGATGTGAGACTGATTTTTGGATATCTATAGTATTATGGCGACGCTGAAGCCAAAAAATACACTCAAAAGTATGCTTATTCGCATGTACATCCCCTTGCTCTTCTCAGTGTCATACAAGCACCCGTAATAAACAGATCCAGGCGGATATGACATACCGTGCTCTTGAGTTGCTCAATCTTCCTTCAGATGAACCTGCTTTTCTGTTAGATATAGGATGCGGATCGGGGCTTTCAGGTGAGATCTTGGAGGAAGAGGGACACATCTGGGCAGGCGTAGATATCGCGCCAAGTATGCTCGGTGAGCTCCAAGGTTTTAGCATAGTAAGAACTACACGTGGCTGATCATAATCAGAGGTCGCACTAGAGAGGGATATTAACGGCGACCTTTTCTTGCAAGACATAGGTCAGGGATTTGGTTTCCGACCAGGAAGCTTCGATGGAGCGATAAGGTCCGTGACTGGACTTTCTTTTCGTGATGCTATCTTATAGTCTACTAGTATATCTGTCTTGCAATGGCTTTTGAACGCTGAAACATCGCATCCAACGTCTTCACCCCCACACCGTCTTACTCGTTTCTTCACGACTCTACACTCTGCTCTTCGAAATCCCTCTCGAGCAGTCTTTCAATTTTACCCGACTTCCGACGACCAGATACAACTTATTACCTCGATAGCGCAGAAGGCTGGCTTTGGAGGAGGTGTCGTTGTAGATTACCCAAATTCCAAGAAAGCAAGGAAGGTGTTCCTCTGCTTGTTTGTTGGCGGAGGAGGCATGCAGCAGCAAATGCCTAAGGGCATAGATGGCGAAGATGATGAGCAAGTAAGATTTGAGAGAAGAAGGGAAAAGGAAAGGAAGAGGGATGTAAGTGGGAAAAGAAAGAATATGAAAGACAAGGATTGGATCCTGAAGAAAAAAGAGGTAAGCCAGATGGAAACCGACCATGCCTGTTTGCTCAGTGACATCATTAGCTGTATCGCCAACGAGGAAAAGAAGGGGTACCAAGAGATTCAAAATTCACCGGCCGCAGGCGTAAGCCAATCTTCTAGTGGAATTTACACCAGATCTTTGTGAAAGGATACCATACAAGTACCTACGTCTACTCATGTCCGTCTGTCTACGAATAGCTCAGGGAGGGTCTTGACCGCATCCTGAGCATTGTTCCGGATGAACAAGCCTTGGAGGGCAGCCATGCTGATCTCCCTCCCATTAGACATCTCTTTGACAGTGAATTCTTCCACCTGCCGCCCCATGGGTTCTATAAGTTCCGGTCGGATAGACTCACTACCGCCGTAGAAACGTGTAAAGAGCGTGCGTGCCTGTACGGGTGACGCATTATCAACAAGCACGCTTAGATCAACACGCCCCGGTCTGATGAGTGCAGGATCCAAACTTCCAAAGTGATTTGTCGTCATGAAGATAATCCGCTCTTCTCCCGAGGCAACACCATCCAAAGCGTTCAAGAAGCCAGAAAATGTGACGGAGGACTGATATCTATAGCATGTGATGTTAGCCGTGCGTTCCGAGGCATCAGACTCATCAACTCACCCATCCTCGCTTGTTTGCATGCGTTTGTTAAATGCGGCATCCACGTCTTCGATGAGAATAATGCTACGCTCCGGGGCATTCGATAACAGGTGATTGAGTTTATCGTCGCCGAGTCCTCGTTCCGACAAATTGAGTAGACATATGTCATATGATAACGATCCTGCCAAAGCCTGAATATAGGAAGTCTTGCCTGAACCAGGAGGGCCGTGCAAAAGATATCCCCTTCGATATGGAATGCCCCGGTCCGCATACCATTGGCGTCGTTGCAGAAACGCGTTGACATCCTGTTCAACCTTTTCACTTACACCAGTATCCAGCACGACACTATGTAGTGGACGCTTTCGCCGAGGTTGACCAAATGGCTTCCATTCGATCCCCCATGCGGTTCTGATCACTAGCTTTCCTTCTTGACCGCGGAGAGCAAGGTCGCGTGCTTCTGCGAGGAGCTTCGAGAAAAGATGGCGATCTCTGGAGAGTGTTGTTACTGTCACAGTTTCCCATGGCGTGCCCGACATGAGTTGCATCGAGCGCGTCTCACGTTCTCTTTTCATCTTGATCGTATTGTCATAGTAATGTTATGAAAATATGTTCCGTGTTACACATGATGCGACTGACCTGCATCCAAGCTCCGCCATACTTGAACCAATGCGTTCCTGGACCTGCGACTAGCCTGAATAGAACAGAAGAACTCCCATTACTGCGTTGCTCAACCGCAGTTTCGACACTTAGTTGATGGCTGCGTAACCAAGACTCGGTTCTTCGAGAAGTTGGAGCAGCTGATTGTGCATTGTGTGCAAGCCATGCGAGAAACCACTCATATGCGCGGTCTTTGTTGTTCACCTCTAATGATACGAGAAGACGTCGGCGAAGTGCGGTAGTACCAAAGACCAGACCTTGGCGAAGTACAGTTAAACCAACGCCGACGCCCTGGTTCACGTGTCAAGTGTGAACAAAGAAATTTTGGAAATGTAATACGGACCATGAGACCGAAACCAGCTTGGAAGTAGGGGCTATACTTTCAGATAGCCCTCAGTATCTCGCAGGTCGCTAGAGATATTACGGAGAACGTACTTATCACCTATAAGGCTGCTAATGATGGAGGATGAAGCTGTCCCTGCATCTTGGGGTATTGCGAGACCAGTACTGGCAGTACTTGTCAAGCCTGGTGCATTGGCAACCTGGCCGTCCAGGGAAGGTGTTCCAGAAGCATTGTGAATAGCCATGATGGGCCAGTATCAGTCGAAACCAGAGAATGCTGTACACTTTAGATAGGCAAATTGCCCAAGCTAGTTTCCCTAAGGCAAACTAAATAGAAAAGTGCTTCTTTGACGAACTAAGCTTGAACTAAGCAAAAAAAAAACGGAGCGATTCCCAATTTGGAGCGCGTTTGTTAGCGCGACCTTCACTGCCTGCTTTTCTCGTTATCCTTTTCCATCGTGGTGCCATGGTCAAGCACTCGTCCGTTGCTGAGGCATACTCCATTCTCGGTCTTCAAGAGGTATAAGATTCTTATTGTTGTAGAAACGCATTTAATCAAAAATCATGTTTAGGGTGCCACTCTCGAGGAGGTCAAATCTGCTTATAGGCAGGTGAGTTATCCGGCAAAAGTACATTGACGGCTGCTCCAACAATATAATTTTCAGCATGCGCTGCGCACTCATCCAGATAAAAATCCTAATAATGCCGATGCTACTGCACAGTTTCAGGCAGTTGGTGATGCATACACTGTCCTCCAAAGGCACCTGAAACCGCCTACTGGCCCCAGACGGATGTACCATCATGGCATGGACGACGACGACAACGACAACGACGAATATGACGACTACGAGGACTACGAGGACGATCTCTACAACTCTGAGAACGAAGCAGACCGCACTGCATTTTTCATGTGCGTTATTACAGTCGCTTACATAGGTATACACCTGATGCATTCTTCACAGGTTTCTTTTCTCCCAATTTTTGAATGAGGGACGTATGCGTTTTAAACGGCGTAAGTGATTTATTTCCCCATTTGTTGTTCGATGGCAATAGAACGCCTGGTGTAGCCGACCCTCACCGTAATTATCGTCGTCGATCGCTCTCCCCCGAGACCCCTGAGCAATATAGGGCTCGAATCGAACGGAATCGCGCAGAGCAAGTCGAGGCTGAAAAACGGCGCGCTGAAAAGACAGCTGAGCGCAAAGCTTTTGAAGCACAGCAACGCGAGAAGGGTATGTGATTCGTCTTTAGTCATTACAATTATAAATTACCCCTTTCTAGAACGTAAAGAGGCAGCTGAGAGGCAACAAGCTAAAGTAGCGTCCAAAAAGGCAGAATCTGTAGCCGCTCGTAAAAGAGCGGCTGAGACTGCCGAGGCTCAGCAACGGCGTGTGCAGACCATAAGATCAGAAGCTTTTTCGGCTGCACGTAAGGGAGACGCTGTCAAAGTCAGGAAGGCAGTCTGGGAAGAAAATGTCGATGCTGCTGGAGGCGAAATCAAGCTTGGTTGTGAAACATACGTTAAGAGGCCACCTGAAGATCCGAAGGAAACATTGTTGCATATCGCTGCACAGCAAGGTGATGTCGACCTCGTGGAGTGGCTAGACGCCCACAGTCAGTCACGCTGTTTTAATTACCGCTGTCACGAGTAATCTAACCCCATGTTTTACGTTCTAGGTGCAGATCCGGAAGAGCGTAACGCTGCAGGGCTGTCGGCCTTCCACTCGGCGCTTCAGCAGGGTTGCATCCCAATCATAAACCATTTCTTCCAGTCATATGATCCGAAGCAAGACGACGACCATAGCGCGATTTATAGCCTCTCACCACCAGTGTCGCTTCTTTCTCTAGCTTTGGAATCTGGCAAGCCCGAGGTTGTATGGCTGATCCTCGAGAAGGGTCTGGCTTCCACCCAAGATATCGGAAATGCGTGGACGCAGGTGACGTCTGGACAGACCAATCAGCCACTGTTCAAGAAACTTCCCCGAGATAGTGACAAGTTTTCCGAGATCCAGAACCTTCTGATGACGTTCGGAGGATTCACACCGCCACCAACACCAAAGGTCTCGAGTCCAAAGGATACGAGACATGATTCCCCTTCTCCCCTTTCGCCGTTTGTGCGGGATGGCTCTGCCAAGAGCCGTCAGCAGACTCGCGCCAAAAAACCAAGCGTCGACCAAACCCGTCCCAATACTCAAGCCAAATTACCCCACACCGGCTCCCCGCCTGGCTCCTCAGAACCTGGCCAAATCCATTCGCGGGGTCCCGGTGGCGGACGTGGGCAGGGTCGCGGACGGGGTCGTGGTCGGGGTCGTGGACGTGGAAACTAGATCGTTATTCAGTGATCGCATACCTCTGTTCCGCGTGCTTCCCGGCATCAGTATGTCTCATGATTCTTCCATTTCATTCTTTCATTCCTTGACACATACCTCTCCCTCGCATCAAGCCTCACCATGCATCCATAAGTATCAATTACATCATTCGATGGTCTTATTATAGCTGACATCATGATCGTGAGCTAATGTTCATATCGCAAACTTGTGTAATATTTACTCTGCGCATACACCATGCTTGTATGTAAATTAAATCGTTGTATTCTTTGATAGCCTCGGCCTTGGTTGAGTCATTAATGACTATTTGCTCTTGTTTGATTTCAAAGCTGTTGACAAAGACAGCCAAACAAGCTTGCCGGTGTTTCAACTTTGGTCCTTTCATTACACCTATAGCTATCAATCTTTAACTCCAAAGCACTGACATAATGGGTCGACTAGCGGAGATGCAGAGGAAGCTCCTCGAGGTATATCATTTATCTGGCTGCCGAAGCATTGTCTTTAATTTACGTGTCTAGCAAATGATGGGCCCTGAGGCAATGGGAGTTGCCAATGCCAACCTCGTCTGGTCTGATGATAAAGTTTGCCGGAACTTTCTGTGCGGGACATGCCCGCATGCACTTTTCACAAACACTGTATGTCAATTCGCTGCTTTTTTCGAGTGCTTCAATGGAACTTCTCAACTTAGAAAATGGATCTTGGAGCATGCCCAAAATCACACACGGAGCGATTGAAGACAGAGTTTCTGGCAGCTAAAGAGGCAAACCCAAATGACCCTATATTTTCTCGTTTCCAAATGGAGTATGAGTCGAACATATTTGCTTTTGTGGATGAGTGCGACAGAAGGATTCGGGCTGCGCACCGAAGGTTGGAGAAGACACCAGAGGAGAACGCGAAGACAACCAATTTGATGCGAGAAATCGCTGAGATCGAGTTGGCTATTCAGGGTGGGACTGAGAAGATCGAGACCCTTGGTATGTGTCTTTTCCTTTGGAAGTTTACCAGCTTTCTTACATTCTCCAGGTGAACAAGGAAAGGTCGATGAGTCAATGAGGGAGATGGCCGCCATTGAAGCTTTGAAAAGCGAAAAATCAGAAAAGGAGGTATGTTGCGCCCTCGATTGATTTCTACCATGGGAACGAGATCTCATTCTAGTGTTGGATCTAGCGCGAGCTTCAACAACTCACGGATACGTCTGGAGCCTCCGGCCATCAGAAACTTCGGGTGTGTGACGTTTGTGGTGCATACCTTTCGGTGCTCGATTCCGACCGGCGCCTTGCGGACCACTTTGGAGGCAAGGTATGTTGTTTTTTCATATTTGTTCGCGTGAAGAATGGATTCTCACGCATCGATAGATGCATTTGGGTTACCACGAGTTGCGAAACATGCTAGGCAAGTTTAAAGAAGAGCGTGAAAAGCGTAAAATGCCACCTCCGTCTTCTGCACCTCCTTCCGGCGCAACCGGGGGTGCAGGCAAGCCCGGCGGAGACCGAGGTGGCGATCATCGGCCATCACGTGACGATCGTGAACGCGAACGAGGGTATGATAGACATGCATCGAGATATGAGTGAGTTTGTTGACGGCCTCAATGATAACGTTTAACTGATGGTTCTTCCAGTGATCGTCGGAGAGATCGTGATCGCTCTCGATCGCCCAGCCGCAGACGATATTAATTCAGCAAGGTGTTTGATAGTGTATTACGCTTGGAAAGGGTTTGCAACCGGGGATACGAACCATGATGGGTTGCATCGTGGATCCGGTGAGGCGCCGAACTTTGAGACGATTGTGGTATGTATGTACATATAAGTCGAAAGTTCCAGACTTTAGGACAGGCCGCAGCATACAGTTGAATGCTATTAACGTGACGGCAATACTCGGAGTCTCGGAAGATCCGCTAGACTGGCTTCAGTACTTGGTTTCGTAATTCTTTTGATTTCGAACTAACCTGAAGTAGAGATACCCATTACATTATTTTGGTATAATTATAATGAAATTGTGCCTGTGACAATTTAATCGTGACATTAACTTGTTGCATGCAATCTGCATGTTCCTTCACTTTCTTGTGTCTGCTACTATTTCGATAAAGCCGCGCTTTTATTTTGTGTCCTTGCATCCTCATAAAAAGCTTCTTGCATTCAACCTTATCCCGCGTCGTGGATCTTACTGACAGTCTGTAGCTTAAAATTCGGGCAGTCCATAGCATTTCGGAACAACAATCGCAATCTTTCTGTTCAAAGGTTTTCCGTTGCTTTCAACCTCTGCTGGACGCTCTTGTCGCCGTACCATCTCTTTCTGTAGAAAATCACGCCTTGATCTTCAACTCTTTATACCTTTTGCCATAGTCTTCCATAACGGATCTCCCAGGAACTTTGCTGTCAGCGGCTGCTCACTGGTTCCGAAGCACATTTCCTTGATCAATGATGTCCCCTCATGATACGCGGGACCCAAATGTTCAGATGGACACTAGCTGCCTTCAATCGCCTTCCAATACCCTTTCTTTGGGTTACCCAGCTCACGTTCCTCAACGCCCTGAGGATCCTCTCATACAAAATACCATGTCTCATACTCCGCGTGACGCTATTTCCATCTTCCAACGACGGGGCGACCCTAACGCTCTCCAACTCTCTCTTGCAGATACCTCTCCTTCCACTGGAGTGCATTCAATGGATGTACTTGATACGCCTAGCTCATCGCGTGCACCAGCGCCCGGCTTTATTTCTAATTTTCCTTGTCGAAATTTCTCATACGGCTCGATGTCGCGAATGGATAGTCATCTTTCCCTTCACTCCCCGCAAAGCCCGACCTCGGGCTCCAGCGGTCCTTCATCCGCCGTTCATGGCGTGTCATCTGCATATACCATGAATACCTCGTCCATCATGGTCAACGGACAGTCTATGATTCAATCTGTGCATGCCGGGGGGTTGGATTCTTCTGGGTCTCCGGGGGCTTTGGGTAGTTCAGTTTCTGAGCTGGCGTTTCCCCCTTTAAGCAATAGCTCATCAAAGCCGACACAAGACCCAGGTTTTATCTTCCCGCCCCCAGATGTACCTGATTTGTTCACTGGGCGCGACAGCTCGCCAGAGACACCCGGCGACTCGCACCTACTGGTCGTCGGAGACATACTCAAAACGTAAGTTCTCGTATCTTCTACTTCAAGACCAAGAATAATTGTGTTTGGGTAAATGCGCAGTATTGCGCACACCGCGCAATCAGCAAGTACAGCATGTTCTCGCGGTCAGGGTCTTGAGGCCAACGTCAGAATTGATGAGCTCAAGAAGACTATTACACTGGTCTCTGAGCTTATTGCTGCCACAAAAATTGCGGATACTCCAGCCATATCACGACATCCTTCGCCTCGACGCTTCTCTTTGTTGGGTGCAAATTCCAATGTTTCCCCATCGACACATAGCGCAGTTTCTTTAACGCAAGAGCAATTGGCGTCGGGCATGCACTTTTCCTCTGCAGCAGACTTAGGTACTATGGATGGTCAAAGTAATGGTGATCTTGCAGACATGTCTCGGAAACGGTGTGCTTCATCAATGGCCGGTGACCGTGTTATCAAGGCGCCAAAGCGTGAGCCGCAAGAGGACACGCCACTTCATATTATCCCTCCGCCAGTGTCTAGCCAACAACCTTTCTCTTCTGCTGTTGCGGGCCCCATGACTGACATACGATCTGCGGCTTCATATGTTCCTGCAAATGCGCCTGCAGATTCAGCTTCCCGACCAACAAGCTCCGCCGGTCAACCTCCCATTTCAGGATATGGTTTAATTTCACATCAACCGCCCACCTCATCCATGGGCTTTTCGATACCCGTATCTTCAGCACCGCCTCCCTCATCTACGGAATTCATTTCAACGTCACCGCTATCGACAACCATACCTCATTCTACTCATTTCCCCCCTCCCCCCACCGTCCGGACCTCGTGGTCGGACAGTGCTACCACATTACCTCATCGCAGCCATCAACATTCACTTTCGGGAAGTTCCCTCAACGCCGGCATCAATTTTCATTCGATACCTAGCAATGGCTCGTCTCTCGGACCACTCCCATTTTCAACAACCGGAGCATTCCCTTCATCATCTTCACAGCCACATTCTCTCACGAATACCGGCTCGGGCATTACCCCGCCGATCGGCAGAGTTTCTAGATCCGGCTCATTCACGACTAACAATGTAAATCCATTGGCGTTCGGAATATCCGAGGTAACTTCCTCCAATGCCCTTGATTTTTTGAATTCAGCACCTACGGCACAATCGCTTGGGTCGCATAGTCCAACTTCATCTCTTGAAGGAGAGCATGATGAGTCCGATGTCTCACACAGCCCGCCTGAATCCTCAGGATTGAGGACTATTTCTCATCATTCAAGTTCATCTCGCACTGTCACGGGGCATGACGTTCGTTCAGGTTCTCTTGTTACACGACAATCTACAGAGAATTTGTCTCCGACATCAACGCAAGGGCACAGCAATGAAGTTCCGCAAGAGTATCGCGCGGAAGTTGACCGTATCTTCTTCGAGTTCTTGAACAGTATCTGTTCAAATTGTGAGTATTTCCTCCGAATGATTTCTACTATTAATAACCTCTTTTCCTGTAGTGGATGCCACCGATGCAAAAGGGGAGCCGATACATCAAACACTAATGGCAAAGAAAATGCAACGTCTAGATGAGTCACCTGATTTTCGACCATTTAAATTCCGGATACAGGCTTTCACAAATGCATTTTTGGAAGAGGTGGGTAATCTTTGGAGACACGAGGCGATCGATGAGATATTGACGCCCCTGCAGCTGGCCAAACAAGGTTACCCAGAAGAGAAAATTCCTATGAAGAAGGCTAGCCCATGAAATCGATCATCTGATGATAACTTGACTGAACTTTGATTTCGTGCAGATCCGCAACTATCTGTGGAACCAACCGTATATCTCGCGCTTCAACGAGGATGGTAAAAAGACCAAGTCTAAGGGTAATCATATTTGGAACATAGATGCAAAGAAGAGCCCTCATGATGGCACTTGGACTTTTCGCCCTTTTCATCGGAAAGTGGCTGGCTCACCGCCTGGTGTTGCTTACGTTGGCCTTCGGTGGTCTTGGGCACCTCGTATATGGGATCCACAGGCATCGCGATCGAACTTGATAGTTACGTACACTTCGCCGTCCCTCCCATCCTGGCTATTTTGGGAAGACGATGTGCTGTCAGGAACGCCTCCCCCGGATGCAGAGAGCTGTGACATCACGGTTGTAGCCCGTGTACGTTTCATCTGTGTGGACGTCCATTGTTATCTAATGCTAGCGGCGTAGTATGTTCAAGATGGGCAAGAAGAACTGCTGACGCAGACCTTCCATCTTAATATTGTGCCTGTCTCGAACCTTGACACCTCGTTCTCTGCCTCGCGTCGCGGTTCTATGAATGGGGAGATGCATAAGCCACGTCGGGTGACAAGTGAATCCTCAGTTCCTCAGGCATCTCCCAGGTCAGTGCCAGTCCATATTAAAGGACGTCCACTCTCACGTGTTTCATTCCAGGCCGTTGAGGTCCCAGCCATCATCTGGTCTGGTGTCACCAGTTGCCACGCGTGATGCGCAAGTGATTCAAGTGCTGACGTCAGCTGCTCAGCGTGTCGCTCAAGAAGCTCAGTCTCAAATAATCTCTTCCGCGACACCAGGCGAGCCCGGCCCTGAGCTGCAGGCCCTCGCGAAGCAACAGCATGTGTTGACAATTACCGCACAAGCGTTCGACCAAGAAGTGACTGGTCAACAACGGTCGGAGATCGGCCCACAGGCAACTACTGTGTTAGCAGCAGCAGCACAACAGGTCGTATTCCAGGCTGCACGCCAAGTAGTTGCGGATCGCTCTGCTGCTGTTGCGAATCAGATCTCCGCGGGTTTCACTCCCCCACCTGATGCTGCTACACAGGTGACTGTTAATGAAGTGTCGGTTGCTACGCAATCAGCCGTTGCACAGGCTGTCGAAATCACTGGACCGTTATCCAACGAGGTTGACGTCCTGATGACGGCAAGTTCCTTGTTGCAACAGCAGATTAGAGCTCCAGTAAGTCCACTTTCAGCGATGCTCGATTCCGCTCAACGATCAATGCCCATGAACTCTCTGCACTCCCACTCTGCCGGGACACTACCTCCAGCCGCATCATATCCAGCAACCATGACCACTCAATCTAGTGTTGGTGTCGTTCATTATCCATCTGCTATGTCTTCTGGTAGTTTGTCAGACTTTGGCCGACTATCATGATGTTCCACGATTCTTTGCATATCTTCTTTAGGGCTTCAGGACTCATTATGTGCCCGTTGGGTTATCTGCTTATCTCACTTGCTTCATCAACACTATAGAAATTCAGCACGGCATTCAATCATTATCGTGACTCCAGAGTGTAAAAGAGGGTCGATTAAGCATTATCTGTACTTCTATATGATACCGAGAAATCGCATTCCTCAAAGCTTCAGATCAGATCTGGGGGTACTCATGGTCAGACTGCGGCTCCCCTTCAGAGCTTACAGTAACGTCTGCAACGATATTTGGATGTGACGAAGCCAAGAGGGTACCACCAAAACCTCGCTCTTCCTTGCGCCTTTTCTTTGCACGATTGACGTCATCTGTTATTGCATTCTCGTCATCTTCTGCCTCTTCCCGAAGATCAAGGACATCGTTTATGAGAAGTCCAAGAGTTGCGACAGTGACCGAATTATCATCAAGTTCCTGGCCACAGTAAGACAATCGTTGACAGATTGTTGGGATCTTGAGCGCTTCATATAGCTGTGACGAAAGTCAAGGAACAATCATCACACAAGACAGGCACTAACCATCACTTTGATGTCCTTCACCGTGGTCGACTTGGAGATAGTGATCCGTTTCTTTTCTACACCATCCTTGGATTCACGTATGCGCTTTGACTGCCGCGTACCGAAGGTCCTATTAGATCCATATGTCATTTGAGGATGCTGACCATTCTCCTCGGATTTATGGCTTTTGTTCTCTTGCGTCACAACATCCTTAGATGCGTTTTTCCCACTTAACAGCCGAACAGTGATCTCAGCAACATCATAGTTAGACCGCCTGTGTGGGGTATCTGTATTGAAATAACAGGAGTTGAAATAGTCAAGAGTGCCCACCTCTTTGAACGACAGTCACGACACACGGGAACATCGTGCTCGAACTTGGTGTCAAATACGTTCGGTGGGTTTTCGACAAGTTTCTTCTCCAGAGTGATGGGGGAGCTGCATGGATACCTATAATCGGAACAATCAAAAAGACATATCGTGAGGTCCAGGTACGACACACAAATCTGCTAACAGCATCCACTCCGTCATTTGTACAACCGCAATAGACGTGTCCCAATCGTTTGGACAATTAGGATCGAAAAGAAGGTGCCCATGCTCACACAGGAATTGTGAATTATTGACACCTTCAGGACGAGGTCCATCTGTTGGCCGAGTGACCCACTTTCTCCACAAACGCACGAAGTGTGCAGGCAGGATAGCACACGGGACATTCTCGAGGAGCAGAGTATTTCCTGTTAGGGCGTTGTCATGCATGTGACGTAGCCGTGCCTGGACCGTGTGAGCCGCCGAGCTCGTCAAGCCCACTTTCAACACACCTTCTCGTCTTCAGCTTTCCTCCGTAGCTCACGCTTGTCTTCCCTGGACATATTTATGGTTGCCTCACAAACAGCGCAGAGCTCTTCCTGAGTTGAGCGTGGTACCCATTGAGGGAACAAGCCTTTAATTATGCCACCAGCCTTATGACCATGTTTAGCGATGTTATCTGCCCACGAGATAAATAGAACAGTACTACCTTCGTGGATATGCTCTTTCTTGCTGTTGACACCAGCGACAGTTGACCATGTTCGCACACAACGTGACCAAGATACTCTGGGGCATCGGGTGATGCATCTCCTTGCAGCGGCGTGTGCATTTTGGGCTTCTGCAATCGCCAGTCTGTGAATGCAATCAGTAATGCACTGCACACTACCATAGGACAATGAGTACCTTTGAGCCAATTCTTGGATATCCAGTAGCCCGGTTGATCAGGGGTTTCATCACAGACCACATCGAACTGTGCTACCAGTCGAGGATGTTCGATTTGATATAGTTTTTCTATTTGGGCAATGAAGTAAAATCACGGAAAAATGAGACTTGAACTCGCCTATGAATGATTCCCTGACACAAGTCTCACAAACGTCATGCACCTGGCATACTGGAGAAATTTCAGACTCGCTAAACTCAGCGAGCTTCTTATAGGCGCTCTGAAATTTGGATTTAGTACTACTACGCAGGAGATTGCTTAATGTACTTACAGCGGAGACACGCTTCATATTGTTAGCTCTTTGAGGATCCAGAGAGTCGTGGTAGCAAAGGATGTCTGAACTTGACGAAATCTCGGGCGTGGTCTCTGGTTCCTCTCCGCCCCTAGGTTTGGTTTTTGGCTTTGCAAGAGGTTTGGACAACCATCGTTCGAGAGCATGACGGCTTATGATGACGGAGTCCTAGGAACAATCGTAAACAAGTGAACACATAAAATGGAGGAAATCAAGCACCTCATCCATAGAATTGACGCTCCAAGAGGAATAGATGTCTTTCATCTTCCTGAGCAACTCATCAAAATGTTCCTTTGCTTCTTTTTCCCTAAAACACATGATAAAAAGAAATCATTTCAGATATCGAACTGGCTTGCCTCTTTGCATATGCGTCACAGGCCATGTCATGGGCTGCATTCAGACTATTTACAACCTCCTGAGCGCGTGGGGGAGGGAAAAAACTTCCACCATCAATCGTCACGGCTCCATGCTCGGATCCTTGGCTAGCAATAGTCACTGGCCAGTTGGCGTTGTCTGGGGATGGGACATCCTTGCGAACATAAATAAGCATGTAGACGTCTTTCGATAAAAAGATATCCCTGGACGTTTTGAAAAAAAAAAAAGGATGAAATCAGCGATACTTCAACGACAAGGGTATGCAGTACTCAAGACCGTGCTGTTTTGCCTCAGGGATCTTAGGTTCCGTGGGTGGTGATGAAACTCTACCAATCATGGTTCAAAAAGACCTTGCCAGTAAATCTCTCAGTAAACTCACTCGACAACGTCATCGTCGCTATCATCGATCCGCCGCCTTTTCTTTGCGGGACGTCCACGGGAATTTCCAGTACTTCCCCTGCCGCAATCGATTAGTTCACTTTTTCCAATAACTTGACCATATATACTTCTTGGGGTTCCCATTCAGAACGTCAATTATATCGCGGCCAGTGTATCTCCTTTCTCCGAGTGAATCAATCTTTGTGACATTTTCGTCGTCAAACTGAAACCATGTATTCGATCTGTGCCATCTTCAATACGTCACACGAACACTTGTCGGGTCACTCACGCGGTATCCAGAACTTGAGCCTCATAGTGGCCGTGATATGCACTCGGTCCCTTGTGTAATAGAACACCTCTGAGCTCATAGATGTCCTTTCTGGTACTCTTGTCGCTACTCGCTGCTTTTCGGGCGGCAGCAGAACCTACAAATTGGTCCATGTCAAGTGTCGTTGGGAATAGAAGATTGTGCTTAGACTTCTTGCGCTCCATAGAGGCAAAGTCATAAACAAATCGTAAGAGGGAGAAATGAAGTACAGGAGGAAGGTTTCGCAACTCAGTATACCGTGTGGCATCCTGGAGCGACTCGCATTTCGAACACAGGTACCTGGTAAGCACGCGTGAGTGACGTGTTCGAATAGACAATCTGCATCTCCACGAACTTGTTGTCACCAGTGAGTTTCTCGTCCTGTAGAAGAGCAGCGATACGGTCCTCCAGCCGAGCGTTGTTCTGAGCAAAGGTTGCATTAGCCCACCAGAGTGAGTATGTGAATGGTATCAATGACCTCGATATTTATTTCAAGTTCAAGGAAGTCCGTAGATCGCTCGGATTTATTGTGGCAATTACCACAGATCGTGCCGTATACTTGCTCCCCTTGAAACTTTAGCAGCATAAATTGATCGGCACGTCAGGCGAGGAGAGGATCTACCTGATTAGATACAAGTGATCTTAAAGATGGTGATGACTGTTTCTGGAATTCAGCATCGAGGTGAGACATAAAAAGCTTTGAGAACCTGCTTGATTCATGAGGAAATGATTCAAAATCGACTAACAATGACTGACTCTTGTGCATCTTGCTGTTCTGAGGTTGAAAGCTTTAAGCTTTCAGCAAGTTTTTCGGGATTGAAGACGTTTTGCGTGCATTCCTGCAATGCAGTAAACGTCACTTGTAACTGAAATATAGGCGAATCCTAGGCGCAAGTTTGATTTATATGCACTCATTTATCATCTGCTCACCAACCTCAAATACGTCTTCCTTATCTTGTGATGGCTGACACATATAGACACCATTGCGAAAAGCTAGGTCTCGAAACCATACCTTGGCGCTTGTTCTAATCAGTTCGAGATGATGAGGCGAAAAGATACCTACTTGAATGAAAGCGTTCGCATAGCACGTAGCACCAAGGTTCTGAATTGCATGTATGAGTATGACTCGTTGCACGATCTCAGAGAGCACGATATTTTGTTCTACCTTTAAGCCAACAGGAAGTTCGGGATCTCGGGCGTTGAGCACCGGGTTGAACCCTAGGTCAGATGCCTTCAGGAATAGATCCCTGACTTTGTCTAGGTTCACAATGTGTGTGTTAAATTTGCGCCGTAGAAAGTCGCGTTGGTAGTTTGTAGACTCGCCTTCGTCTTTCCATGTCTCTTGTCCGAGGTAATTCAAACAATTGGGGTTGTTCTTGCACAACTTCTTACTGCATAGTGGTGGTGTATCATCCGAGACAACAATGATGTCGTCTCCCGACTCGCCATCTGCGGGTTCACGCTTGGGAGTAGGGCTGTTCTGCTTCTCTGACTTGTGTGCGTACTTGTTGGCACAGAACGGGTTGTTACTCCTCCGAGAGAGACCACACGACATAAGACGATGTTCCAAGGTGATCTGAGAGGGATGGGTGACCTCCGTACCAACCCAACCCCATGGATCGCTGCCAGGCAATTTGCCTCGTTTAAGTTGTTCCCCTGCAGCTAGTCCCTTAGGAGCCGGCGACGAACGATGTTTGCGCTTCGCAGGCATGACCGGTCAATGGAAGCTGAAGAACGAATTCGGCTATAAAGATGATGGAGGGAGGAGAAAGAAACGTGGACGAGTTGAACCCGGAGACAGGGAGCAACTTGACTTCCATAAACTCAAATATTAATCTGGTTCCGCCGAAGGTTCCGCGCAAACAAACTCGACGACGTTACGTAACTGGTGCTCTTTGCTTGAAACCACAGATCATCGACATGTTCTCTATGCTCTCACTTGCATAAACGTGTCCCATCTTCACGCGTCTCCAGGATACTTGTAACCAGTCATCACCGTAAACCCATGGACAGAATACGAGGTTTCCTAAGGCGCCCCAGGAGGCCAGACGCGAATATCGCAAGACTTCGACGGCGAAGACAGGCAGCTGCCTATATCCATCGTAATTTAACAAAATTGACGTCAGTGGAGTCTTCATTGTTCGCTCCCTCGCTGAATTTGCGTAGGACTGCCTTGTTTGTTATTGGATATGCGTGGATGCTGCTTATCCCTATACCAATGCTCTCCCAAGGAACGTACATAGACGAGAATGCGCTCCAGCCTGCGCAAGTACGTGCGCCCATTGCTTGCTTGCTACATGAGCTAATGGAGCCACAGGTCAATACATATTGGAACTGGGGCGATGTTCACACAGCAGACTTGCAACTGTACCAACTGGATGGTATTCAAGAACGAAATCTCACCAGTGAACAGTATGTCGTTCTCCTCTTTGGACATTCAACCGCCCTGACTCATTTTATCGACAGAAGAGCGGAATTCTTCAGGACTGAATTCAGTAAACTTGGCCTTGCTGCTTCCATACAAAATTATACTTTCAGTACCAGTAAAGGAGTGAGTTTTTTTTTGTTTAGCAGCCAGTTTGTTATAAATATTTGCCAGATCGTCTCAGGCAACAATGCGTATGCCGTAATGTCGTCGCCTCGAGCCGCTGGAACAGAAGCGATAGTAATCAGTGCATCATGGTTAAGCAGGGCAGGGTGCGGCACACTGAATTTGCGTGGGACATCTACCGTATTGTCTCTCGCTGCATTCTTAAAAGGTAGGGTTATTGAGTGGCTTTCAAATTTTTGATATACAACACGCTTGGCAGATTATTCCTTATGGGCGAAAGATATCATCTTTATCATCAGCGACGACTACCTCCATGGAATGCATGCATGGCTGAATGCATACCATGGCACAATACCGTCGAGTATGTCGTTTTGCATCTGTAGTATCAACTTAGCCTTCATTCTCTTGTCCACCACTAGATCTTCGTACAGACCCTCTCGAGCATACCTCGGGGGTCATTTGGACTGCTTTGAATATTGACTACAGCAGTCATTCTTTTTCGCACCTTGGTGTCTTCCATGGTGGGCAACACACCTACCATCTCATTTTCTGACTACTCAAGAATGCCTACAGAGGGCTTGAACGGACGTCTCCCAAATCAGGACCTCATCAATTCTTTCCGACTAATCTCACATTATACAGGTGGCGTCCCAATGACAGTGTACGATCACCTGGAGTATTCAGATTCTGTCGATCGATTGCCAGAGCAGAGCCTCTTTCCGCCATGGGTTCCGCCTTTTATTCAGCAGAGTCCACAACTTCAGCAATACGGGTATCGTGTTCGGAATGTAGTCCGACACATCGGCTACCAGGCTCGCGGTATGTGCAGCGGGGTGCATGGCTTGATGCATCAGTAATTTTGTTGTTCTTAGTAACTTGTATGAGAATACTGACTTGATTCAGATTCCGTATCGACGCTATCACCTTGTTTGCCGTTCCAGCAGACGGACCGCACGGGTTCCATGCACTAGGAAGGTGAGTAATTATAAATTATCTAACTCCCAACTACAGCAACACCCATTAGAATCGTCGAGTCTACCCTTAGAACAATGAATAACCTTTTAGAGCGTTTACACGCTTCCTTCTTCTTTTATATCTTAACCAGCCCTGGGACGTTCATGAAGATCGGCATGTTTCTCCCAAGCACCATCCTCGTCAGCGTGGCCATGTTATTCAAAGGGCTTGGCGAGTGGGTGACTGCGGGGTGGGTTTGGGAAATATCTGAGGCCTCTCTGAAAGGCAACGAGACTGAGAAATCCAGTCCTGCGAAAGGCACATGGAGAAATAGGCGACGACCCATGCTGTCTGCGCTTATCGTTGTGGTGACTACTCATGTTTTAGGAGTTCTCGTATTCAACCTAGTTTGCAGTCGATGGTTCGCCGAGTACCCTTCGGTTAGTTGTTTGACTACCTGTCGGTACTATACACTGACCCACCCGTCCTATAGTTTCTTGCGCCAGTTATTTTTACCACCGTGTCGGTGATACCTCCAGTCCTCCTTCCGCTACTTTCGACAAACGCCTCGGAAGCAGCTCCGACTTCGATGCTCCTGAAATCGTCGAATCTATGCCTAGCATCAACAGTGATATCTATCACGTCTCTACTAAACTTTTCCCTCGCTGCCATGCTTGTTACAACTATGGGTATCCCTCTGGCGACGTCATGTACATCCTCAAGCACAACGACCTCTCGTTTGCGATATGCTGGCTACTGTGTGCTAGCATGGGGTTGGTTAGTGTTGGTACCTGGAGAGGTTGAAAGCGCGATCTGGAACTGGGAGGTGCTGGGTGTATGGTTTGCGCCGTTCATATGTATTGTGTACGCCCCGCTCGTCATGCAAGCTGCTATTGTATGTCTATAGGGGTCATGGATCAATGACAGCGTAGCCTAATTTCGCATTACAATGTACAGGCGATAGTGTTAAAATGCAAAGCAAACACGGCGCAATGAGTGTGTAGTACCGCATTAACCAATGTCCATTGCAGCGTGATCGTCGGACCCAAACAGATCTCCCATTGTTTGATCTACTTCTTCTTGAGTAGCTCCCTCTGGATCTGTGTCCGGATCTTCTGGTGCGATACCCTCCCTCTTCCGCCGTTGTCTTTCTTTCATCTCGTCTCTCTGGGCAATCTTCATCTCGAGGTCAGCTGATAACTTGCGTAGTGCATCCTCAAATCGTTTCTACAAGTAACATGAGAATCAGAACATGAAAACAGGGTAGAAACAAATACCTTGATCAAAGGATTTGCGGAGCTGGCAATTTCAGTTTGTTTCTTCAACACGGCAGCTTCGAGGTCCCTGATTTCTTCATTTAACAGTTTCCTCTCCTGCGCTTCCTCGTCGTCGTCGTCCTCATCCTCATCCTCACTTTCATCCTCTTCGTCATCCTCCTCGTCATCACCCTCACCCTCCTCATCTTCATCACCGAGGGCAAGATCTAGCTCTGCGGCGAGGTCTTCGTCGATGTCGCCTTCGCCTTCATCCTCTTCTGCTTCCTCAGCATCCCCTTCATCTCCCCCGAAGTCTGGTCCTGGAGTAGGTGCGTCGCCTGCCTCGGAGCCAACGACACCGGGTGTAGGTGCATCCATGGGCTCATCTCGTTCAATGAATTCTGAGTCGGAAAGATCCGGGTTAACATTTTCCAGAACATCTACCAGCAAGACATTTCAAAACAGACCCAACTCCAAAGAATGATGATGATACCATATTTGACCTCTGAAGCAAGTTCATCCGTGGCCAACAACCGCTCGACCGCCTCCTCAACACTTTCAATAGTCTACTTGGCAGCATCGGAATCACGCGTATTAATATGACTATACGGGGGACGTACCCTCTTGTTAACCCTCTTTCGAAATCGCCGTTTGCGAACTTGGTGCAAAGGCGGCGTGATACCGTGCGGCCAGATGAACTCATCGACGTTTACATTACGAGTTGTTGTAAACGACTCCTCATTGGGAATGCGGTTTTCAACCACAAGCATCTACAGGCACGTAAGTGGAAGATACGACAGAACAAGCGAGACGAGTAACCTGACATATGTCTGCTACTTTGAACATTTGCTTGTTGTCCAAGGTCTTCTGCGCTTCGATGATACACGGAAGATCGACAAGCTTGAAGGAATACAAGGTATTTCCAATATGGAAGACTCCTCTGCGGGAGTCTAGGTAAAGTTCGAGCAACCCGACCACTGCAGGAGAGGGAGGCCACTCGCCTTTGAATTTAAACCATACATCATTCCCGACTTCTCTGGAGGAAACCATCTTGCGTAACTTTTCACAGTCCTCCCCAGGCGGCATACGGATAATGAATTGTTCTTCAAAAGCAAGGTCCTCATCATCTGAGTCTAACTCCCGATCATATGAGCCCAGGAATGACATTCCGGGAGCCTGCGCAGCTGCTTTATCGCTGAGCTTGAGTTTTAGCTTTGGCTGGGGTCGGTTCTTTGCCAACGAGGAGCGCGTCGTTCGCTCGAAAGGCTCGGGGGTACCCCTTAGACGAAGGGTTGTAGCCATTGCATGTTCTGCTGCAGCACGAAGAGGCCGTGTTCTCTGCGGTTGAGTTGGAGGGGTCGGCTTAGCGCCATTAACGGTAGAAGGGCCCGCTTGTTGTTCGTCAATATCGTCTACAACTATGAGGTCGTCATCCATGATGTGGTTGATGATTGCTCAAAGTTGGCCGAGCCAAAGCGCTTAGCGCTCAAACAAGTCAAATGTGGACCTCCACATATCATTTCGGTCACACCAGACGTGACCGTCACAGTGTATACTCGATGCACAAGAATCTTACTTTCGTCGACGATGGCGACGACGAGCAAACAGTATAAAGCCATCGGAGAGGATCTTTGGAAAAGTCGTACAGATAAAATCGTGAGGTTTGGACTTTGTGTCGTGCCTTTGGGTCAATCAGGCCCCAACTAACCCCCAAAACAGAATTCAGAGTTGTTTTCTCTTACATATGGCGCCCTCGTCGTTCAGTTGATCCAAGACTATGAAGATTATGCTGAAGTGAACAAGCAACTCGAGAAAATGGGATATAACATTGGAACACGATTAATCGAGGACTTCCTTGCAAGGAGCCCTTTAGGTCGCTGCTCTGACTTCCGGGAAGTGGGCGAGGTGGCGGCGAAGGTGTGCGCTTATCACTACTCCCCCGAGCTGACGTTCTCAGAGGACCTTATTTGAAGGTCGGGTTTAAATCTTTTTTAAACATCACACCAACAGTCACGCACTCTGGTGCTCCACCACCTTCCACCCGCCCGACCAGTACAGTTCAACAACAATCAGGAGTTCCTGGCTCGTCTTTCATCCTGACCCTGGATGAGAATCCCTTGGCTGAATTTGTCGAACTCCCTGACGAAGCTTTGGAAGGAGGGCTATGGTTTAGTAACGTGCTGTGCGGTGTTCTTAGAGGAGCACTTGAGATGGTAAGTCCACAAACTAAAATAATCGGCGCAACTATGTATCACGCCCATTTCAAAGGTCCAGATGCAGGTGCAGGTGGAATTTTTGTCTGATGTACTTCGCGGTGACGAGAGCACGGAGATTCGGGTGACATTGCTGAAGTACCTGGAAGAAGAAGTGCCAGTCGGAGACGACTAGATAAGCCACCTTGGATGTACTCAGGAATAGTGTATTATCTTCCACATAGAAGACAAAGTTGGGACAAGCGCGGTGTCCGGCGAACTTCCGAGGATATATAAACATACATAATGAACACCCTTAGCCACGACGATCGACCCTGTTGAGTTTCTTCGCGGTCCGCGCGTTGTTTTGGGTATTCTGGCCGCGGACAGGTAAACCCATGGCATGCCTCTTGCCAACGTAACTGCCTATCATGCGTTGGTGCGCAATATTATCCTTGACTACTCTCCTTGCTTCGCTCTCGATCTTGATGTTTCTCAGTGGATCTGCCCATGCCCTCTGTGAGAGCTTCTTCGTCTCCTCCTTCAGGACTGCGAGTGGGGTGGAGGCCGGGGGAGGTTTATAGGACGACGTGGCTAATGGAAAGCGAGGAATAGGTGTTGAAGTAGATGGAGAGGAAAGGAACGCGGCAAGTTCTGTGATTTGATGGGGTGTTAGACTTCGGACTTTGCACTTGTCGTGAATTTGAAGACGTGCACAAAGTCGATGTGCAGTTTTATGGCCAATGCCATAGAATGCAGTCAAGGCAAACTAACTTGACAGTGAGCAAAAATTTCGGAAAAAAAATAGCTATAGCGCACCCTTGCATATTGGTAGTCTGGGAGTTGCACCCCCAAGACGTGGACCATGGCTCACTCGGAACAATTAGAAGGGAACAGTGAACTTCAAAGCTTGAAGCTTGAAAAGTAATTTCATACTCCGCGACTTCGCGCTTCACACCACACAACCAGAACCTTCATGGCTACTAACAACGCCGAAGGACGTCGCGAGGATGCTTTCATCAAGCAGCGCGCTCAGAATCGTGAAGAATATGAACGCCAAAAACAGACTCTCATCAACGAAACGGAAAAATCTCGTCCATCAGTCAACAAATTTGTCGGTCAAAATGACTCCATGGAAGAAACTCTCAAGAACCAGACTATCGGTCTAGTGAGGTTGGAGGACTTTCAGCAGAGAAGGAAAGAGCTGGAGGAGGCAAAGGCACGCGAAGCTGCTCGCACCAATGAACTCAAGTATGTTGTTTTCAGTGTCCAATGCCATTCTCTCTTGTGCCGTGGCGACCGCGTGGAAAGATGGCTTATATTCCATGGAGGATTTGTTTAGAGACGAAACAAAGAAGGTAAAGAAACGCAAGAAGACAAAAGCTACCTTATCATTTGCCATGGATGACGAAGTCGATGTCGAAGGAGACACCTCGTCGCGTCAAAGTCCTGAAGTCCAAACCGGTGAACAACCGTCCAAGCGCGCCAAGTTCCGTAAGAATCCCAATGTCGATACATCGTTCCTCCCGGACCGTGAACGAGAGGAAGCGGAGAGGAAAGAGCGTGAAAGGTTGCGCCAAGAATGGATTCGCAGACAAGAGGAGCTCAAACAGGAAGAAATCGAGATTACTTATTCTTATTGGGATGGGAGTGGTCACAGGAAGTCGGTTGTGGTATGTCTTATATTGATCTGGTGGTCATTCGCTCATTCGCAGAATGCTTCAGTGCAAGAAAGGTGATACCATTAGTGCTTTCTTGGAAAAGTGTCGGCAACAGTTCCCGGAATTGCGAGGCGTTAGCGTTGACAATTTGATGTACATCAAGGAGGACCTCATAATACCTCATGTGAGTTTGACTTTCCCTGATGATGATTTATTTCAATGTATTTCGACAGCATCATACGTTCTATGACTTCATCATCAACAAAGCTCGTGGAAAGAGTGGACCATTGTTTAATTTTGACGTTCATGATGATGTTCGCCTGCTTGCTGATGCGACCAAGGAGAAAGACGAGTCACACGCTGGTAAAGTGGTTGAGAGAAGCTGGTACCAACGGTTCAAACACATCTTTCCGGCCTCTCGATGGGAGGTAAGCAAAGCGTCCTTCCTGGGTCCATATTTTGTTAATCAAGGCATAGATCTACGACCCAGAGAAAGAATACGGAAAGTACACCATCGCTTGATATCTTTACGTTCATACTGTGTACACGTTACGTTTTGAAGACATCATAAATCTTATGACTATCATTAAAAATATATGCCAGGACCGTGGATTGAACACGGGACCTCCAGAAGGCAGCGCCTATTCATTACTTCAGTCTGTTGCTCTCCCAGCTGAGCTACCCCGGCGATTCACTTGGAGTGAGATTATCTATACTGTTACATTCCCCATTTCCAGAAGACGAGCAATGAGCGGTCTGATAAGCATGGCCTTAAGGTGTATATTGCACAGAGAGTCTGCCATGCAACTTCACATGACATATATTGACTGATAAGTATCTCAGATGATATGGATTATAGTGAATAGACTAGGCAATCCTAACCCAGATGCTATAATACATGCCTTGTCTGCAAGTGAGATGCAAGGTAGAACCCCATCAGTTGCGCTTTGAAAGTCAGGGTAGATGATCGATATAATGCGACGTAATATCGAAGATTGTCCAGAGGAGCCCGTGCGTCGTGATGCTCCGCACTGCACTGACGCCGAGACCGCGATATATACGTGCTATGCCAGCAAGGACTGGCTTTGGATCTTTGGGATCCGGACCTAATGAATTTTGAGCCGTAGTGACATGACTGTATTGGTCTGCCGTACCGCGCACGAGGCGACGGAGGGTTTCCCATACTCCTTTCGGAGGAGTGCCAGCTAAAGCACGTTGCTGAACTTTGGTCTTTACTCTGATGAGAGAATGAGTTTTGTGGCAAAGAGAAAGACGTGGACTAACACATCAAGGGGATATATCAATGCCCATGAAGACACGCCGGCCAGCGAACCACAGACAAAGGGAATCAAGGATGTGGGTATTGGCAACCATGCTGGTGTTGGTCCCTGCTCTCCCGAGCGCTGGCGGCCCAATAGATGTCGCATAGCATCATATTCGAAAAAGTATAATGCAGTGCCGGCTGTATCTCGCACTGGGGAGCAGGGTCAGTCTGAGTAATAAACGATGAAGTACATCACTCGCCAAAGTGGAGACGGAACCCTATCCAGGGCCCAGACAGCCCGTGAGTTCGAAAAATTTCTCGGACAGCGTCGATGGTATTTGGGGGTTTAACCATTTGTACGCCTTTAGTTGCGGCTATGCTGTATTCCAATTGCCTTCGAACCTGTCAACAGTGGAAGATTACCTTCCCAGATAAATTGGCCAAGTAAATATACCTTGACAAGTTCGAAGGCTAGTTTCACATGTCAGATGTTTGAACTACACAGTTAAAGAGCACGCACGTGCACTAGTAAATGAAATCAATGATCCAGACAAGGCACCACTGAGACCGCCAGCGAGAGCAGCATCAGATGCTCTATCACCTGTAAAATAGCTGTTTTTACGACAGTATTCTTTTGTACTACTGTATATTGTAAATGAAGCAGCACCTGGATAGTCGTTAGGCTTGTAAAGAACAGACAGTGTGCGATAACTCACGGACGAAAGAAATCGTGACAAGCGGTATCCAGAGACCTCTATAGAAGCCGGTCACTCCTTCTTCCCGATAGACGATACCAGCAAGCGTGAGCACTGGCATCCTTGTCTTGGTGGTCTGTAGTCTCGACTTCAAAGAATCCAACTGGAAAACAGCCAGATTTGTAAGTTGTGTCAATGTAGAAAGGCCAAACCCACTGGATATCCAACAAAGGTCGAAATGTAGCTAGCTGAGAGAGCGCACACCACAGGCTTATTTCCTAGCAGAGGAGTCATTGCAAAATCGACGTGTATTTTTCATCCTACGTACGCTTTAAAACGTCGTTAAAAGCATCCCTGTTAAACCAGGGACTTATTGGCGGGCTAGAAACTTTTCAAGAACTATGACCTTGCGAGAAATCCAGATTACGAGCGTACCTTGTTCCATCCATAGCTCTTCTTGCTGGACCAGACGAAAAGTCCAGTTTCGTGCCTCTGCCAGTCTGTGTCGAGAAAGGCTGGGCGTGATCTCAGTTGGAGCCAGAAAGAAGAGCTGGAGAGGAGATAGGGATCTTCAAAGGCAATTCGGTATATATGCTTGAAGGAGCGTCGGAGGATGTCACGCGTCATCAAAATTGCCCATATTTGGCTGACGAGACACTGTGCCTATATTTAAAATTTCACGCGTCTATACATAACAAGATGGTCCGGAAAACCAATAAAAATTACGCCAATCTCGAGGCTGTGTACTACTGGCACATATTTATCAGAAACCACCTAGCCTCTTCTTCACAAGCTTCTTATTCGGAACATTTCGACCGCCGTACAGTCCAGGTAACACTTGGGTACTTGTCATCAACTCTTGGGAAGGTTGAGAAGGTTCAGGATGATTCTCATGCTCTGCGGTTTGACCGCTTTTACTTTCCTTGAGGCTCGTCGACGTGCTCATCGGTGAAGGAATATTGAAGCGAGCTGAAGAGCTCCCTTTCAAAAGTACGAGTTTATCGAGCAGTTCTCGGTGCACTGACGTTCTGTTCAAACAGGTTCAACCCTGGAGGAGACAGCTGCAGTTAGCAATGCATACGACAACTATACTACGCCTGGAGTAATGCAATAGTCAATGGATCATCGGGTGGTGGTTTTGCTTGTTACGCCCAGTCAAATGAACTATAGTTGTAAAACAGGTTGAGTGACACGGTTAAATCCTGGTCCAAACTAATCATCTAGGACACGGGCTATATCCTTACCGTAGGCACTGACTGTTCTAGTTCGACTTGTTGTTATATTTGTGTCTCTGCACAGTATAACAGACGGCAGAGGTTCTTGCCGTCATCTTCTTATATCTTTATCACCCCACTGTGGCATTCCTATGTCTTAACAGATCAGATTTCCAAGTGTCCTTCCAGGTCAGAACTGTTGGGACTTACTCGACTATGAAAATATTGACCATCAATGTCGCTCTCTTCCTTAGGATCCCTGTAGTCAGTTCCTTTCGCAATTAACTCATTTCTGGTGGGTTTCCAGACATAGGATTCTCCGCATCCTTGGACTTGCTTGATGTCTTCTTGTTGCCGATGATGAAGCTGGCACATCACATCTCGGGCGTGCCCGGGATCGCCACTCTTGCGATAATATCTATCTTCTGCTGTTATTATCCACCTTTCGAATTCAGGGCGTGTGTTTAAAGCTCGAGAAATGGCGGGTTCGGACGATTCAGAGGGCGGCTAGCAAGAACAAAAGCAACGGTTGACGATATTCAAAAGGGGCCGGGCACGTCGGGATACTTGTCAGTGCTGGACACCTACAGCACTATTTTGCCGGCATATGAGAACAAACACTCGGCCTCCGGTTTTTCCACAAGGAATCTGTCAATCGAAGAGTTATCATTTTAATCCTCGAAAAAAGTAAGTATCGTTTACACCTTGTGCTGCTTTATGTAATTAAGTTCCCGCCACAAATGGAAATTAGTGATACTAACTTGGCCATGCTTGTTCGATGTACTTAGTAAAGACGGGACCCCGCCCTCGAAATGTCTGCTGGCTACGTAGAGGCATGTAGTGTAGTTTGTTGACACTGTCCGATTTCTTATCCCCATTGAAGCAAGTTGAACGTGTCGCGAGCCCGTCCAAATTCCGCATCAGTGGCGTATTGCATAGCTCAGCCAAGTTCGTTTTATTCAACAGTGCAGAGCTCGAAAATGACCTCTACTACAAGCCAACTAGAACAAAGTCTAAGGGAACTTCAAGTGAGTGACTTCATCAATTTATTTGGCGGATACTGCCACTCATTTCGTCCAAAGATTTCAGAGTCTGACTCGCAAGAAACGTCTACTGAGGTGCAATGGGTGCCCTCTAGATACAGCTCAGAAGTATCTCAGTACATTCTCGTAAGACCCCCAGGGCTCCATGCGGCAATCGTTGGCTGTTTGGGTTTCCTATCGTCAAGAGGGAACTTTGGAACATGGGGACCATTGCTTTCAAACAAATTCAGCCAGAAAAAACTTTACCGGACAACAATGCCTACATCGCCATGAATTCCCTTACGTTTCTCAAGGTATATCTCGGTCTTCATCTTTGTACTTTGGCGTTCGGGAAGGTGGTCGGAGGTTCGAAGAATATTCCATCAGAGTGCATGTCGTTGGGAGACATGCTGTTGTTAGTGTTGTGGAGGGGCACAGAATCTGAGACGATCTGTCCAACGCCAAGTCAAGTCCATTCTCTGGAGGTGATACTTAAGCGCTCACCTGGATGGTGGGTAGAAGTCCCAGTGCGTGTGCATACTCATTTCGAGAGCCGTTCAGCTGACGCTCTTTATTTTTGTAGCCATTTTACGAATAGTGCGCTATCATTTCATGGTTGGCTGTGTTATAGGACTGATAACTCTTGCACGTCATCTGTGATACATACACTCAACATGAGACTGGACAATTTATCGATATTGTGGATGAACAGAGGGAGTCACTGTAAGACTATTTATTGGTCCGCGCAAGAACCTTGAATTGCATCCGTCGAACTGGCAGCTCTTCACATGCATCAAGAGAATACCTTTTGGGCACTCATCTATGTTCGCTAAATTACTGCACCTGTCAATTTTATACCTCTGTGCTGCAGACCAACTTTGGCCAGCTCACCGTGAGCTGGAAGTAAGCAGTAGGCGAGTTACAACAATTGTAACTAGCATCAAATTGAAGGATTCATCACTCTTTTTTCTGCCCAACTTCATATTAGCTTCTCACCCGAATCTCGTCAGCTAGCTTACACACTCATTCTCCCAAAAAATGACCACAAGATTTGTATTTGCAACTTGAACATTCTATCTGATGTTGTACACTACATCGTTATATCCCCACTTTCGATATTCCACCTCGTGATAATACCAGCCCGTCCCCTCCTGACCACGCTATCAAGATGCCCTAGTCCCAAATATCACTATTATTACGGCGCATATCTTTTAAAATTTCTTGAAAGGCTCTGAGGGACTCTCCCTCGGCGTCCAGGAGCTTAAATATATGCATGGTTTTAGGTTCGCCTTGTTTTTGTTTTGGGAGAAAGTCGGGCCTTTGCAATCTGAGAAAAAAGGGTTGGATACCAGGCCACTCCTCTACCGTCGAACCATCAGATGATGGCACTGGTAGTCTAGTGCCGGGGAAGGTTGGATCACGCGTCTCCGACATTGTACGAGGAACTAGCGAGCCACGGCGCACAGTGCCATACACCCAATGACGACCAGCAGCTATGATGACTCCCAGGTATTTCAGAGTACGATCAGCCTCAAATGCATGAAGAACCTGCTCCTGCACTTGATTATCCCAGATATATTCCCAATGGAATTTACTGCCAGCAGGTAGCTCTGGTTTGATCTCAACAATCATAATAACCCGGCGGATTACATGACCAGGAACAGCGGGGAAGGGCTGTTGTGCATGCTCGAGTATTTGCACAAAGTCCGGAATTCTGGACGATGCATCTGACGATCTAGTGGTCGGTCTGGGTGGAGTTACTGGGGGAATACCGTCTGATGGATATGGATATGGCAACGACGAAGATTGAGGCAGCGGACGGGCGCTGACAGGAAAGTTGGAATCATCTCTAGCATGAAGAGCTTGCAAACGAGTGACATGCTGTGTAATAGGACTTTCGGGCTGCGGTACACAATACGAGAAGGCTGGGAGTAAAGGGCTAGGTGTCAAGGGAGGCAGCGGTCCTCCGAAAATCGCCTGTGATCGAGGACTTAATGGGGTATGGTTGTATGGCACTGAGGGTGGTCCAGGAAGGGGGCTCCCTGGAGTCATCAAATGACGATCTGGCGAAGGGCTGCCCATGGCTATGTCAGACCAACCAGAGTTACCACTCTGCGGCAAGCGACTTGAATCATGGGATGCAACGAGGGAATACTGCGGAACGCATGTACACGCTGTTCGTGATCCATCCGCATCACGAAATATATATCTTTCCAAGACTTTGGACCACACCCCGTACCAGGGGCATTCCCTTCTATCGCCTTGCGCAGCCTGGATAGACAACGCAAGAGAGAAATCATGCTCATTCCGGATGGCCATTGGATAGGAACTCGATGGAGTCGCTTGAGTGGCCCCTCGTCCTACTACAGATAGCTGGTATTATAGTAGTGAGCAGTAGTGAGGACTAGAGTCATTATATTCACTTACCGGCGATGACATAGAAGTGGAAGTCCGGGCACTCGAGGATGGTTGGCGTAGTGTAGTCGGAGAAATTAGACTCGTAAGTCCTTGAGAATAGGTAGATGGGGTTGTGAAATGCTGATGAGGTGGAGATGGCCGCGAGGTTCGACCTCCAGGTTGACGCGATGACATGATAAGGCTCACTAGGTCTTGGAGAGTCGGTAGAATGGTATATATGGACTGCACTTGTGAGTTTGATGACGATGATGTGATTGTTCTGACATTTTAAAGGTCACAATCAATGCCTGGAAGGTTGAAGTGTTGACGGAGATAAGTATGAGCCGCAGTCACGGTTATCACTGACTCATTTTTCATCACTGGTGTAAAATTTTCGACACGACCCAACAGCGCCCACTCACCATGATTCTTACTCCATCGAGCATAATTGTTTTGTTCGACGCGCGATTCTACTTGTGACAGTAGACTTTACCATGACTGCGATCATAATTACGCATCACTGACGGGTCTCAGCGAGCGTTGCCCACCCTTGCCCTACAGTGATTTCTGCACTGCCGAGCATAATCACGACTTTGATTCGTTCTGCATGGGAAGCTGACTGTAAATTGTGGTGACATCAAATCTACATCACTTCCATCATGGATCATGCTTCGATGCCACCCACCTGAGTCGCCTACAATGATTTCTCCAATGAGTGAAGTCAGTTGCATTCGCATGATTCCCTTTACTATGATGACTCACCTTGCCACGAGCAACGGACCTTCTGCCAACCAAATTGACAAACTTCGATGCCAGATCTTTAGATAAGTTATCCGAAGTTAGTTCTGTTAAACAGCTTGCGCTCATGACAAGTCGCCGTGAGGCTTCGCAGAGTTCAGATAGGAACATGATGTACGTGTCGTTAGGATGAATGAAATAGCTGACGACATTAATGGACGCGAATCTATCGGATGAAAGTTTACCATAGGTGGACTAAAAGCTAGGAAGACTTAGGATCCGACCTCCCAAAACAGCATCATATGCATATGAACATACTTATAAACAGTTCAATGGATGAAGCTACTAGTGCCAATGCAATATTGGATATGTACTATCACTGATAATTTACTATTAGTAGTCACAGAGCTGCCTGCATCCAACTTCCAAGTCACTTTTTTTTTCGGCGTTGCCCATCACGGTAACCACACGGTTACTGTAAGTTCGCTTGCGCTCGCTCGCCGTGATATCCTTTCTCCATTAAGAGCATAATCAATGTGACCTTTGAAACAATAGCACACATGAATTGCCAGTGTCCACATCAGTGGCGTGGGTGTACGCCAAAGTACTACATAATAGTCACTGGCCAAGTTTGTTTATTTACCTCTTCGACGAAAATGCCCTCTACTGCAAGCCAACTGGAACGAAGTCTAAGAAAACTCCAGGTGAGTGACTTCTTCATCTACAATCAATTTGACGCGTACTGCTACTCATTTTGTCCAAAGATCTCAGAGTCTGACTCGCAAGAAACGTCTACCGCGGTGCAATGGGTGCCCTCTAAATACTACAGCTCAGACGCATCTCAGTGCGTTCTCGTAAGGCCTCCCCGGGCTGCGTGTGGCAACCGTCAGCTGTTTGGTTTTCCTCTTATCAAGAGCGAACTTTGGGACATGGGGACCTTTGCTTTCAAGAAAATTTGGCCAAACAGAACTTTACCAGACGACCATTTCTTCATCGTCATGAATTCCCTTACCCTCCTTAGGGCATATCTCGGTCTTCGCGTTTGTACTATGGCGTTCGGAAAGGTGGATGAAGGCTTAGATAATATCCCATCGGAGTGCGTATCGTTGGGAGAGGTGCTATTGTTAATATTGTGGAGGGATACAGAACCCGAGGCATCATGTCCAACGCTAAGTCAAGTGCATTTTGTGGAGGCGAAGCTTAAGCGCTCACCGAGATGGTGGGTGGAAGTCCCAGTGCGTATGCATACTCATTTCGAGAGCCGTTCAGCTGACACTCTTTATTTTTTAGCATCTTTGATGAATGGTGCGCCAACATTCCATGGCTGGTTACCCCACTTGTACCAACCTCATTCTTTTTTTGCGGTAGAACTTATAACTCTTGCACTGTGATACATACACTTACATAACATGAGACTGGACAATATATTGATATCGTGGACGAACACGGAGGGACTGTAAGACTATTTTTATCCATAGCGCCATGCGATCACTTGTTTTTGTCGGCTCTCAGTCATTGGTATTTCATTAAAGGATAACTCGAGCATGACCGCCTCAAAGAACATCTTCAGGCTATACTTGACCACTTGTCAGTTTCACTTGCGTCGATGAAGGCAAAATATCAGCGGGTCTGTAAAGAGATAGATAGTATGCTAGTAGATTAAAGGTATTGTATGAAAGGTGGTCCAGTTCTTCACATTAATTCCAGGTGTCATACTAACCTCGTGGCGGGACACAGATATACTATGATGTCACGCGTCATCAAAATTGCCCATATTTGGCTGACGAGACACTGTGCCTATATTTAAAATTTCACGCGTCTATACATAACACGATGGTCCGGAAAACCAATAAAAATTACGCCAATCTCGAGGCTGTGTACTACTGGCACATATTTATCAGAAACCACCCAGCCTCTTCTTCACAAGCTTCTTATTCGGAACATTTCGACCGCCGTACAGTCCAGGTAACACTTGGGTACTTGTCATCAACTCTTGGGAAGGTTGAGAAGGTTCAGGATGATTCTCATGCTCTGCGGTTTGTAGATTAAAGCCTCGAGGCTGGGTGCTAAACACTCCCCAGTGATTCTGGGCAACATGAATGGGAGGTGGACGAGGCTCGAAACCTGCAACAATCAGCGGAGGGCGCTGTGATGATGTAGTTGTCGTTTGCGTAGCGACTGGTGCAGTGGGGAGTGCCCATTCTCGGGAGGGTGCGATAGTATCGTCGCCTTTTGTGTTGTACGGATCATGATATGTGTAAGACTCAACGTCCGTTCCGACCTCCCACTCCCTCAACAACAATCGCACACCCAGCGGACTGGAAAATTCCACATCCTGTGTAGGTTCTGCAACAGCATCTTTGTCCCTGGAAGTATCAGGGTAATGGTTTATGCCAAGCTTTGGATATGGACGCAGGTGGCCAAACTGAATCTCGGGAAGTTCGTCGTCAAGTGTCAGAGCTTTTGCAGCAAGAGACATGCTCTCCACATCGTCGACCTGGATCGGAGCAACGGGTATAGAAAGAGGCTGAGCTGAAAATACCATGCTAGAAAGGGCCAAATCGAGGATAAGCTGTTCTCGTGAATTCTCCTCTTGTTGCACGAATGACCCAGGGACATCATCCGAGTAAGACAAATTGAAAGCTTCCAGAGCACCATGCATCTCCTGCCAGTGGTCCACGCGACCAAGCCCCATACGGCGGAGAAATAGCTTAAAATCGCAGGACCATGCTGCACCACTCGTGATTTCCTGGACCGGTAGCTCGTTGTGTACAAGCGTTTTGTACCCACGATTCGAGTTAATCATCCCACCAGCGAGAAAGTCCGATCGCGAGTCCTCGTCTGGCTCTTTGTCAGCGCTAAGGCAGACATCATACCTGAATATGCAACGGATCAGCGTGTAAGGACGACAGATGTTTGAACACGCCTTACAAGGTCAACATTGTCTTGTCAGAATTACTTGTCCTTTGCCAAAACTGAGAAAGCTTGTCTATCATCACGGTAAATTCACCCTCAGAGGCAGCTTGCTCTTTAACACCCCCCGTAACGAAAATTTCTGCAACGAAAATAAGTATCAGGGCATACCCGACTAAACTGAATCACAAATACTCACTCTTATACGCAGTCCGCAGGTTTAACTCTGAGAAATGCCTTGCGCTCAGTGGCCCGTACTGAGGCTGAAGCTCCTTTGCTCTTTGAGCTAGTTTCTGCACATCAGCAGACCATTCATGGCTAGTGCCACTAGCCTGTCTTGGAAGTACGTCCATGCCATTGTGATATACAGCAAAGTCCTGGCAGTGGAGACTGTTTTGTCCAGAGAGCCGCAAGAGGGAAAGGGTGGACCTATCGGGCTGGACAAAGAATGAACTTTCCGACTCAGACGCACCCATATCTCCGTCGTGAGGTAAAGATGTTGGAACGGAATGACAGTGAATCAGATTGTCATTTCCTCGAGACACATCATAAATGGTGATGAGCCCGTTTTTAAGCGAACTTAGGAAAGTCAGAGGGCCTACAATGGAAGGTGAGTGAATAGAGATGTCCAATATTTCGCTGGTCCGTACCGCTGTCTAACTGCACGGTTTTGACATTGAGCGATCTATCATGCGCTCGGTTGTGCTTAAAGCTCAGAAGCACTTTTTTCGGGTACCGATTATCCAACCATAGGAGCTCCGAGGTCGTCGAAATGGTGAGGAGATGTTCTCGCTCTGCCGAGTCAAAAGATGTTACAACAGAGCCCAACTGATCAGTAGAAAATAGGTCGACACTAGGCTGGCTCGACTATCTCTGAGTTAGTTGAGAATTTAATACATCTTCCTGGAATTCGTACCCTGAAATCGAGATGTTGAATGCAGCTACTTGATGCTAAGAAGTAGCCTTGGTCAGACGGACGAAGTCTCCAAAATTGATCCCCATCTGTGTTCTCAAAACGAACTTGGTTAAGCCCTATGCGCCGCCTGATGAAGGTATGAGCTCAGTGAAATTGAACGAAGAAGGTTACAAACACAGCTTTTGCTCCTTCATATATTTTGCAGTTGTAAAGTGCTCCAGAGGTGTTCACAGCAATGATATCCGAGTCATGGGGTGAAAATGCAGCATCTACTACGCATTTGCCTCCCACGTCATCAGAAAATATGTCTACCTCCCTAGTGGCCTTCAGATCGGTGGTTTCATCTGCCAACTCAATGCTCAACAGAGATGTTGCGGAGAATGTTCTGACTAAAACAAGATTGGTACCACGCTTCAGAGATGAATTTGATATATTTGGGGTCGAGATCTGGAGAATGGGTGTCTCAAACTTGGACGCGGCATGTCCAGGCGCGTGAAAAGTCGAGTCGGAATCAATGGCGGATATAAATGAAATATCTAGCATTTAAGCTGAGATTAGCCAACAAGGGCGAGATTGGGCACGGCGGCTTACTCAATTCATTATTGGTTTCTCCCATCGGAAAGAGGACCAGTGATGTTTGAGGGGTGCTGGAAGACGGTACAATACTAATGAGACTGCCTCTCAAAGGATCGTAGATTTGCAACTCTCGGTTTCGTCGTTCATCGGACTGGAATTCCGCCTTGATGAGCTCCGCAGGGAAATCGGCGTCCGGGAAACATGTTCTAACGAAGTTGAGCTATTAGGGGATGCACAACGTCAAGATAATGCTAGGGACATGGTTGAAGTTCGTACCCCTTCTTCGATTCGTCTCCACTGCCTAAGACGACTTGGCGTTGGATTCACAGATCGAGTGGCAGGAAAAATACAACGCCCTGCCCCAACTGGTGTCACTCTTCGAGCTGAATGAATTGTCAACTATGGCCATGCTGACTCATTCACAAGATTCAAACTTACCATTCGATGTATCAACAACGGTCGTCCAAGCTAGCCGTCCGTCGGATGACACGAGGGTCGCTCCGCCAAAGGTTCCGTAATCGAGAGAAGGATGATTCCAATGTCGAGTGTCGTGAACTTGGGGCTTTTTGTTTCCCCTTCCCTGCTTCTTCTTCACAGGCAATGATTTATGTCGTTCATCCGCAGGCCAATGTTCCATTCCATCTGCGCAGATACCAGAAAGTGTTCAAAGAATGCAGGTAATCAGCACAAGTTGTAATTGATTTACCATTTCAATGAGCGTGGAAAATGAAGCTCCGATCTCCGACAACATTTTCTTTCAGTAAAGCTGCTAAGTGTCAAGGTTGTTTTCGACTATGCTTGGACACTGGGCACTTGCGCCGAGGCCACGGCAACTCCTTTCACAATGTCGACAATTTAGTACGACCCGTATTGCATGGGCGCGGACCGTAAACCCCAGTACTTCTACGACGTCTGCCAAATGGACACCGAATTCAATACGTACTGGTCTCATTGCGCGTAAACGTGGAATGACCGCTATATGGGACGACCATGGTGCGCGCGTTCCGGTCACGGTATTGCAGGTGAGCGAGTTCGCATGTGCCTTTCTCCCGTCCTCATATATGTCCTAGCTAGAGAACTGCCAAGTGACCAAGAACATTGTCCATGTGCGTCCGGACCGCACCGAGTATCATGCAGTCCAACTTGGTGCATCCGACCGTCCAAAGAGGACAACAACGCATCAGATGAGGGGTCATTTCCGGAAGGCTCGCGTTAAGCCGAAGTATATCGTGAAGGAGTTCCCTGTTACCCCCGATGCACACGTCCCTGTCGGTGAGTTCCTCGCAAGCATGTTTTCCACTTGTCATGACAGTGAAGTTACTCAGGAACGACACTTTCCGCCATTCACTTTGTACCTGGGCAATTTGTGGATGTGATTGCTGATTCGTGAGTTTTCCGCATCATTTTTGCATGTTTGACTCAGGCCTTCCCAGTATTGGGAAGGGATTTCAAGGCACGATGAAGCGGTGGAACTTCAAGGGTTTGCGTGCAAGTCATGGTGTTTCTGTATCACATCGTTCAGCCGGTGCGACTGGACAGCATCAAGTTGGTGTCTAATAAATTGAGTAATATCCCTACTGACTCTGATTATAGGACCCGGGTAGAGTGTGGCCCGGTAAGAAGATGGCAGGCCGACTGGGAGGCGAACGAACCACTGTCCAGAATCTTCCTGTGGTCCGTGTTGACACGAGCCTCGACCTGATTTTTGTCAAGGGCGCAGTGCCAGGGGTTGACGATGCACACGTCCTTGTTCGCGATGCAAAGAAGAAAATGCTCTGTCTCGCAAATGCAAACCAAGCTAAAGGTCTTTACGAGAGTGTCCTTCCCAAGGGTGTGGATGATCTACCTTTCCCCGCCGGGACTAAGGAGATGGTTCAATCCCTCCCTCCCGTAATCGAAGCTCCTTCAAAACGGAGTAGCCCATTCATTCCCAGGGAATAGACTATGTATAGTTCACTCGCATTCTCAAGCACTCTATATTCTAATTTTTGGAGCATTGCTGGCGTGACTATATTGGCCTATTTTTTCTATGGTAGAGGTACGTGAATGAGCCAGATGATCCGGAGCAATGATTTAATGTGATCGTAAACCTGCTCAACATTTCATCCTCGCTGTCCCAGGTCTGGATTTCATGTTGGTCGGAACACCGATCTTTGACTTAAGACGTAACTGATTTGCACTCATTATAAGTTGAGTGGGAAAGGAGACTCGAGCATGATGAACAAAGCATTGACTTCTCAGACTCCAAAGTGTCATGTTCGCAATGTTCGCGCGAGTATTAAATATAGACTGGCTCACTTATCCATCCAGTAGGATTTGTATCAGCAAGAGCCTGTGGTCGTTGAAATGGGAGCAGGGTTCTACTGTTGAGCTAACAATATCAAGTCAATGAACGTTCCGGAATAACTGTACACAGCGATAGATTATGGTATGTAAAAGTGTAATGTCGGCGGTATGTTCGACCTGTTGTACTGCGGGCGCGGATACAAGTCTCAGAGGTTAAGATAGAAGTTTCTCGTCGACGATTTCTTTAGTGAGTCCTTCTTCCACATCCCGAACTTCGATGGTCTTGTTTGCTTCTGCCTGGAGTATTGTAAGCGTCAATGAGTGAAGTCTTGATAGAATTGAAGCCTCGGCACGGTACTCACGACTCTTTGAAAGTCAAGGAGGGCGCTAGCATGCAATGTCATCATGGTTGTCTCGGATGATGATGGAGCCCAGTTGATAAGCACTAGTGGGAATGATATCCTGCCATCGCGGTGTTTGAGTTCATATGACAACACGACATATCTGGGAGAGTTTCGGGGCAGCTCTGGAGTGTGGAGATGAAGAGATGAAGAATGGTTCCAAGATGATCGTACCCTCGACAAGGTCTTCGATCGAAATATCGTCATACTCCTCGTCTACGACCATCTTGAGAGCAGCCTTATCGATCTTGATAACGATTGCTGCGTGTCCCTGGCTCCTACGCTGGAACCTAAATTTTCTGAGGGCCTTTGTGACATCCTCGTTGATGTCCACTGTCCTTGCTTTCGACTAGAAGAGAAGTTATAGCGAGAAGAGGCAGATGTGTTTACTACGGCTTACCGCCATGAGTCAAGTAAGATAAGATAAGGTAAGAGCAGAACCACTTGGGGTCCTGACCGTGGTCGGTTGTATCTTACTTTAGGGACGATGGTTCTACTACTGAATTCAAACTGCATTATCAGATCATCTCCGCGAGTCTTGGATACCTTGGAGTTCTGCCAAGTTCTGTCACCCTCCCTGTAGGTGCACTAGTTCTGCCGCCGGGGGACACAACCAAAACTCCCAAGTTCTGACTAGCGATAATGATTACATAATGACACCGACTATCACTGGTATAGTACTATCAGTGACATGTGCTTGCAATGATGATTAATTTCGGGCGGCAGCGCATCTCGCGGTGCGTATTAAAATAAAGTATCACAACCTTTTTTCGATCCGCAGGCACCTAGCGCTCCACGGCCACCATGTCTCGAAGGCCATCCAGAAACACCTCTGTGATTCCCTCCGAGCCGACTCGGAGGGGTGTAAATATTCCCCAATCCGAAAGGTTAACCTTGCCTAGCGATCCAGTCGATGAACATACCCTGCACCCACATCAACAGTCAGAACCCACGCTCGTGGACCAGGACGAGTCGTTTCAGCTTGACCGAGAAGATGAGGAACATGACGAAGAAGTTACAGCATGGAAGGTAATGCCGTGGTGGAAAAGACCTTCGCCCTACTGGTCAGCGAGCGAGCCTGCTGTATCAGAGATAATACTATCATTGACCATTCAAGCAGGCTGATATTTTCCACGCCTGTGGCATCGCTAGGCTTCTCTGCAATCATTGGTCCTCGGGTGGAGATGTACACTGCTCTCGCATGTCGTGTTCATGCGCCCGGGCTCGAGTTACAGTATGAACCGAACGGCATGCTACATCTAGCTCAGCCATATTCAGTGTTATCCATGGACACGGCGAAGACTTCATACGAGGGCCTGAATCTAGATGATCTCAGTGCTCCAGTTGTGTCTGCTCAATATGCGTCTGTATACGTTCCTGCAGATACTGGTTCCCAACAGTCACCCGTCCCAGACCGCGACCAATGCGCGTCTGACCCAGTCGTGCAAGCTACCGTCGCACAATTGTCCGCAGGTTGGATTCATTGTCCTTTTTTATACATCAGAGAGGCACTTATACCGAGGTAGTTCTCAGCACTACTATGGGTATCTTGAGCTGCCTTACAACCGTTTGGTGGGGTTCGGTGAGTCACTACGTTCATGTTCTTTTTTGATGTTCACATGACCCCCTGCTCTCCAGCTCTCCGACCGTTTTGGTCGAACATTAATCATGGGCATCTCGATGCTTGGTTTGCTTTCGAGTGATTTAATTTTCATCGTCACAGCATTCTTTGTGGAACGGCTCCCAGGCGGATACTGGTTCTTAATACTCGGTTTTGTATTGGACGGTATGGCTGGTGGTAAGTCAGAGCATGTCACTGGGGATACGTCGGTGTTTAACGTATTTTAAGGGATGACCACTGGGGTTGCTGCTTCTCATGCCTATCTTGCCGACAGTACCCATCGTTCTGAGCGGTAGGGTTGAAAATCCACCCATGTTCTACTCAAATAAATAATCATTGATAGATCTCGTATATTTTCCCTAGCATTGGGTACCATGTTTATTGGTGTGGCCCTTGGTCCTGTCATTGGAGGTATCTTAATTCGAGCGACGGGCTCGACACTTTCCACGTTCTATTTATCTGCGACTGTCCACGCGCTGTACGCTGCTTCCATGTTTCTGATTGTCCCCGAATCACAGACAAAAGCGAGAGCACTTGGCGCACAGAAAAGACGGCAGGCATCACTTGAAAGGCGGAATGGTGACGCTGTATCCATCTTAAAGAGCGCCATGAGGTTCTTCAGCCCTCTAGCAGTTCTTCTGCCCGAGCGTGTCAGTGTTAACGGAAACCCACTCAAACGCTCCAAGAGAGATTGGAGTTTATGCTTCATTGTTGCTAGCTATGGCTTCACAATGTTCCCGATGGTATGGCGCCATTATATCTTTGTAGTATCTCCAATACTTACACCTACTTTTCCCGCAGGGTATGGTGACATATGTGTTACAGTATGCCGCAGGAAATTTCAAGTGGTCATCGGAAACGGTAAAAGCGCGCAAGAATGTCGTCACTAAATCTGACAACCTTCTAGATTAGCTACTACGTCGCCTTCGCTGGAGCTGGCCGTGCGCTATTCTTGGCTGTCATCTTACCTGGTCTGTAAAAATAACTCATATCCATCTTTGTTCAATATGAATTCAATTCCCTAGTTATCATCAAGCTTCTGAAACCGGCGCCTGTGCAGCTCCCCACTGCCCCAGATGAGCCACTTCAGAACTTGTCATCACAGACCCTTCCAAGTAGGCAGAGTAACACAAGACCACCCTCTCATTCTGCGAAGTTTGATCTCAATCTCGCTCGAATATCTATCGTTCTTGACATTCTTTCGTTCGCTACAATGATTTTTGCTTCTGATGGTCTCGTCTTCGCCTTCGGATCTATCTTGCAATCACTGGGTGCCGGATACTCACCTGCTGTCCAAGCATTCGCGCTCGATGTTTACAGCAGAAGAGGAGGAAAGGGCGAAGCTGGAAAGCTTTTTGGCGCCATTGGTGTGGTACAAGCTCTTAGGTAGGAGAGTCGATTTTGGCCAACTCAAGCTCTGACGCATTCGATATAGTTCTCAGATCCTGGGCCCCGCATTGTTTGGCTTTGTGTATTACAAGACCGTCGCGACCTTCCCTGGTGCAATTTTTGCTTTGAGTGTGGTGATGATGATAATTTCTCTCGCCTTGCTCGTACTAGTGCACCCGCCTACGAACAAGGATGATGCTGAAAGTACGATATTGAATGACGAGACTCAAGTTCCAGTGATCCGTGTCAAGATAACCCAGGAGGATGATCTTGTTCACAGTGAGCACGAAGAGGCAGGAGAACGTGACGCTCAGAGTCAACATAGATAATTTTGCAGTACAAGGACACCCCTTCGGTCGGCTCTTCGGTGTGTACAGTAGCAACTTAGGATATTACTAGTAGTACAATCATGTGGTTCGTTGGTCTTTGCAAATAGACACAGCGTGTCTCTTTGTGTTCTCAATTGAGCGTGAGCAAAGGGACCCGTTCGAAGGTCGAGCACAGTCCGTGCTAGCGCAATTCTTGACAACCATTAAATGTAGTTGCATACGCGGGTCGCACAGGAAACTGTCTTCGAGAACATGTGGTGAGTCAATATTCAATGGTGTCGTCAAAGTTTATGGTCACTGGGTATGAGCGCGAGATTTTGTCGATTTCCGGAGCTGTCTTCTCCAATCTGCTCTACGAAAGCCGTGTCATCCATGCTACGAGATGTCCCCAATGAACGCTGTGGTGTTTCGAATGAGATTCGTGCGAGGTGACATGAATGACGCATGCAAATTGATGTTGTGGTCGGTATGACAAATATGTGATGGTGCCGTGCGTCCACGACCATACGCAGTTGCACTCGGTGCGCTGAGGCACACATATCAAATCCATTTTCCTGCTTGACTGAAAAGGCATTGTGCAGAACTTTACCTGCGGTGATGAGCGCGCCATCGGCAAGCCTGAGGCCTGAGGGGTCGTAAGTCAGATAGCAATGAGCAAAAACACGAAGGCCAAGAGAAGCCACGTACATCTTTGACAAGAATTTGCTTCATTTCATCGTCAATGATAGGACCAATAGTTCACGTTGTCCTCGCATTCGGCGATAGACAGTTTCCAGCTTCGGCAGAAGCGGTGTTGGCACCAAGTATGAACACATTTACACGAATATTACATCGCCAGAAATTCATTTGGTTATTTGCTTCCATTTTGAAGACCAACAATGTTGTAAAATTAAGCAGAGGTCACCATAGTGAGAAAAGAAAACTATGAACGTACAGTAAGACAGCCTAGCATGACGTGGCGAGCGCAATGACAGATAGATAGTGATAGATAGGTGGCTGTGATCCATAATGGTATTACATATACACCTTGAACAATTGACATCAACGTTGACTCAAGCATCGGCACCAGATACAGCTGGTACTTTCCACCATCTCCATGCGATGAGCCCCAGAAAAAAGTTGAAAATCCCAACAATGGCTGAGCCGGCTCCAAGCACTGTGAGAAGCCACCATATAGATCCAATGATACGATCAAGCGTGCGGCCAATATACCGTTTCAGCGTAGCACGCGGATCAGGCATAGGCGTATACGACGAAGGCAACCGAAGCATTGGAGGTGCACACGTTTCTGGGGACGATGCAGTGGTGGGCGATGGAAGCAGTAGCAGGCAGACGACAGGTTTCTGCTCATCTGTTAGATGCGAAGTAAAACAGTGATAAGAACTTACATGGTCTGATGTGACGTATGACGGTATTGATGTGTACAAAATGTTGGTGATGTTAGACTTCTCAGGTGTGTCGGGGGAATCAGTATATGTCGCATACATTATTCTATCGGTCCAAGATGGGGTCCGTTTCGTACTGTCAAGGCTGGGTAAGCGGGAGAAAATCATTGAGAAAATATGACACACCTGTACCGGTCGACCTCGCCAAGCTTGTATTTATATGTGCATTTGAATGTCCAGAATGGGCCCTCATGCAAACCAATGAAAGCCGTCCCTTTTCTCCGCTGGTTCAGAAGTTGGTCAAATTCCTTCAACTGTTCGCGAGATGCATCGTCCTTCAACATCGTAAGAACATCGTACGGTTGGGAAGTTTGCACATGCGGATGCGACGGGGGTATTGTTATACGGAAATTGAGGTCGCCGAGGAAGAATAGGTGTGACGTCGAATACATGGTAGTCGGGGAAGAGGAAGGAGATGATGGTAGTGGAGGGAAGAGAAGAGTGCTAACGATGTGACGATAATCTGCGACCCGTCGAGCGAGATTGGCCTCGTGTGCGGTGAGGTGAGCACACACAAACCTGGAAAGAGTTTGTTCGGGACACAAGCCATCATGAATATGAGACATACGTGAAAACTTCTCCAGCTTTGCTTCCTCTGTCTGAGACACGGAATCGTATACCAACAGCACCTTTGTTACCCATGTAAGCTGGGCCTGTCCCAGTCCATTGAGTTTGCACATCACAAACCCGGCGCGCGATGCCACTATCTCGTGCGTACACGAGAAGTGCAACACCAACGTTCACAGCCTTCGCAACTAGCGTGTAAGACTCCTTACCGGGAGTATGCTTCTCAATCTGACTACGAATATGCGCGTCCCTATCGTCGAGCACAGCCTTGGATAATCCAGCCACTTAGTGCATGTGTTATGTCAGAATGATGATGTACGAACACGACGACATACATCCAAGGTGGAGGGGCAGAAGTTCTTGGAAGCCAATCGCAAAAATGTCTGGTGCACGAGACTCCTTGGAGAGGAAAGAGGCTACTTGGAGTGTTGGAACGAGCCAATCGACAAGATCCTGAGGCACGCCAGCTCCGCCTTGGAGGTTTGTATTATATGAACCGACTTGAACAAACAAATTTCCGTCACTGGACATCGTAAAAGTGGGTCTTTGATGGACTTTGAAGTAGTTAAAGGGATGGGTCCAAGTATGTTACAGTACACACCGGACAGGACGTTATTATTACTATGAGGGCTTGTTTTAGCGAACGTCACGTATTAGTCAGCCAATCTGAATCAACTTGTTTAAATCGACAACTTCACTCGCCGAGAGGCTGTCGCAATAAAACACTTCGTCTGTCATAGACAGAACAAAGACCGTCTCTACCAGCACCACACAGAGGATAAGACCTCCCTGAATTGCAGTAAGCCATTTAAGCGCGCAAACCTAGTAAAAGACATTCTCAAATGCTTACTTCCGAATTGGCACTCACAAACGGGCTCCTCCCCCTACTGGCACTGGAACATATCACAGCCAATGATATGGATACAAAATGATAGAATATTCGATCCCACCTTTTCCAACCCAGAATCGCTTGAAGCAAGTTTCTACGCCTTCATAACATCGAGACACCCTTGCACCATACCAGCAAGTCAGGGTCCCAGACTACCTGGGGATTAATCAATGTAACTATCAGTGGTATGCACCTATTGGATAAAAATGGTCACTATATGTTGGAGGGTGGAGCATGGTTCGGTCGAGATGACGACCACAACATCTCTACCAATGTGCCAGTGAACACCTGGCCGCACCAGGAGCATGTGAGATTGGAGCTCTCCTCACAACTATGTCGACCCTCTCCAAGAACGCACCACTACACGTTGTGATCAAGTCGTCCAAACTTTGAAAAGACCTGACAATTAACCTACCAAGACAAACAGACTCAAGCTGGCTAGACCACCCCTACAGAGAACTGATAATAGTGCTAGTTGTAAACCTAAGAGTAAGTATGTTGTGCTTTGACATCCCTCACTGGATGGGAAGCATCTGCTCAATTCTAGATCTCAACTGTGGATAGTTTGGACGCCATGTGCCGACGTGCACTTGAAGGGTTAGTGGCTTATATCATTGCGACTCAACTTCATGCCTCCTCATCGGCACCAGTCACCCGCCTCTGCCCTAACCACCCTCGAGTTTGGGTCCCGAACGGTTGTAGGTATCATTGCATTCTTTGCATAAGTACCAGCGCGACAACTCAGATGCAAATGATCTTTTGCGTATTCTGACGGGCACATTTTGATTATATTTCATACTACGTACTACGGTCGTCGCTTTACTCTTTAATTTCCGCACATGGGGGTTATTTGTGCATGTTGATGACCTGTTCATAGACGCACGAGATCAGCTCGAATTTCCAATAGGACCACGTCAAGATCAGTGCCACATCAAGATCGGCACGGTCGGAGGTTCGGCAGTTCAGTTCAACCCACACAGGTGGATCACCTGACTACTACCAACTTGCTCTCCGACTCCTTCCTCGTCAAAATCAAGAAATAGATTCCATTTGTAGGAATTCTCTACAAGGTTTGAAATTCGAGGTGCCCAAGTGACGCGGATCTATTGGTTCTTTTGAAATCTAGGGCGATATCCTTTTTGCCTTGGCAAATATTGTTGAAGATTGAGAAGCAGCGGATTTCAATCATATGTAACTGGAAAGTGTATCCGTGGCTTGTAACTTTGGCCTCCTGGCCGCAATGTTGCCAACACTTGCTGGCCTATCTGTGGAACTCTGTATTGAGCTCCATAACTTCTTATCTTCCATGAAGTGAATAGTGCGTGCAAATTGGATATCGGACCTCGCCCCTTGTACGTGCAGTGTCATAGTACCTACGTCGCAACACACTGTTGACCAGATTTTCATCAAGTCTAGACCATCTCAAATACGAAATCCCTTCGTTAACTCTTGCAGAACGACGCAGGTGTGTTTGGTACTATCAGTCAATTGGCAAGCAAACAGGCAATGTGTCCAGTGTTCTCGTACAAGTCAAGAAGGCAGGTTGACTAAATCCATATCAATGCCGTCTAACCCCTCGACTCATTTAGTCGAGTGTGAATTTCACTCAAAGTCCGTTATCTTTTGATTATGGTCATGCAAGAGACAGTACGCCACCAACGCTGCTGGCATCTTCTACCGCAGCCACGGGCATGTATCATTTCAAGTTTCTGTGCCTGTTACATCTGACCTATCTCTCTTTCGGTTCTTTCTCGGTTCTCTCTCGGCCCATTGGTCCGTTCTTCACTATGTTTTGTTGACTTTGAGGCATACTGGCACATCGATAAATATCACCTAGTCTACTTTGGTCTGCTTTGGCACGTCGTACCCTCCCTCTATTCATGGCCGCTATGGAAGGAGTTTCTAGTCTCAACGACGAGAAATCCATCGACATGAAGGAGAGATCGAAATCTTACTGCGCCAATGGGGATGTCGAGACCTCTACCGGAGAAGATATTGACGACATTGCTGTTCTTCAGAACGAGCGAGATATTGCAACTCACGTCATTTCCGTGGACGACGATCCTAGTCTGAACCCCTGGACCTTTCGGGCTTTCTTCATCGGCCTTGGCCTTTCTGCCTTTGGTGGATCCCTCGGTAAAGCAGTTGAGATCTTTCAGTCGAGGCTCCTACTCACTTGTACCGCTTCCTAGCTCAAATATATTACTTTAAACCTGTGAGAGTTCTTTATCGAACATCAAGTCGGAGGGCTCATTCATGTGGACACTCCAGCAAACTGTCAATGTATCTCTGATGTTCCTCGGCATCATATCCTATGTGATTGGCCTTGCGATGGAAACATTTATTCCCCGCTACGGACTGCTCCGATACCTGAATCCAGTGCGTCCGAGTCTTTCACGTAGCCCCTGGCCCCGAAGTTCATGCGTATTTATAAATATCAGGGACCCTTCAATAAGAAGGAGAATGCGTTCATTATCATCATGGCCAGTGCAGCTGCGAATTCTGCGTTGGCTACGGAAGTTCTCGCTGTTCAACGGTGGGTTCGCAATCCAATTCCAATTCCTCTGTCGGTAGTGACTGACGACTCATCAGTTTGTATTATAACATCACGCCGAATGCCGTGTCGTCAATCTTTTTGTTGTTCTCTTCTCAACTGCTCGGGTGCGTTGTGCTGGCGTGTTCCTTACTCCACCCATCGCTGAAGCCATAAAACACAGCTATGGAATCGGCGGTCTGATGAGAGGTATTTTTACTTCCGACAGTAGCCATACTTGGAATCTCAGCTCATGACACTTTGGCTCAGGGATCCTCCTCTATCCGTCGAAAATGTTGTATCCTGGCGTTCTTCCGTTGCTCTCCATGCTCGACGCTTTCTATCACGATGGTATCGCAGCACGCCGAAAGCTCAAGGTGTTCTATTTCGTCTTTACTGCGTGCGTTTAAACTTGATTGATAAATCATAATTTAATCTTTAATTTTCAATCATCTTAAACTCAGAATCTTTATATGGGAGCTTTTTCCAGAATGGATATTCCCCCTGCTCACCGGTGTCTCAATATTCTGCCTCGCCGTTCCTGACAATGCTGCTGTGTCTCGCGTGTTTGGTGGTTCCAATGGAAATGAGGGCCTCGGTCTATTGTCCCTGTGCTTCGACTGGCAGGTAATGCCCACCATCTCCATTTGGTTGACACTTTGCGTTGAACTCGATATGTTTAGTACATCTCGGGTGGATTGAACCCGATGACTATCCCACTGAAAGCTCAGGTTAGTTGGCCCACCTAGTGCGTACGACAATTCTTACATCTACCCTAGCTCTCCAGCTTCATTGGTTATATTCTCTGCACGTATGTGATTTCAGTTACATCGCAAAATATTGCTGAGCGAGGTGAAGGGTCGTTTTCGTCGCCGTATTCTACAACAATATTTGGGAATCTCGGAACCTCCCATTTGTAAGTAATATACCCATTGCGCTTTCTGATGTCCAGGCTAACAATGCACCGATCAGTTGGCGCAGCTCCTCTTTTACGAGAACGGGACTGTCTACGACCAGACTTTGATTATGAATTCCAACTATGAGGTGGATCCTACCTTGGTGGCAGAACAAGGGCTGCCATTCTACGCCGGCACCTGGATTGTTAACCTGCTGTCAACCAACCTCGTATGCCATGACATACTGCTGATGTAAAGTGCTTTGCTCATAGTTCAAACACAGGCATTGGCTGCGACGTTCACTCACCTCCTCTTGTGGAATAGAGATGACCTTAGTGCAGCCTGGACTTGGATCAACATGGACACACTGAGGAGTTGGCGTACTAATTTCGATTGGAAGTTCTGGAAACACAGTGGAGAGAGAGAAGTCCCCGCCAACACTGAGGACCTCGACCCGCACTACCGGGAGATGCTCAAGGTTAGTCCTTTTGACATCGGATAGAGACCTTACCGCTAACGTATTACTATACAGTATCCAGATGCTCCGAATAGTTGGTACTTCTTGACGTTCGTTCTCTCTTTCATTGTTGGACTGGTCGTCATCTACAAGGCAAATTCCACGCTTCCCTGGTGAGCAACATTAACATTCTTCATGTGATGAAAAGTTTATTGAGTCTTTTGAGGTGGGGCTTTGTCATTGCAGTCTTCTTGGGCGCTGTGTCTATCCTGTTCTTTGGCGCGTTATACGCCATTACTGGCATTGGTCTCTCCATCCGCACGTATTATTTATATGCTATAGCTGTCTTGAGCTGATCTTTCAGCAGAAACCCTAGTCCAGATGATTGCTGGCTACCTGCACAACGGAAGACCCATGGCGAACATGTTCTTTGTTTGTTTTGATGCCCTTTCCAGTCTTTGACCACCACTGATGTTAGTATTTACAGGTCCTTTACAGTTATGTATGCATTTCCATTTTCGCCTCCTCGACCTCCTTTTGATTTGTTTTCCCCCAGAATACCGTGTCTCAAGCAATGCTACTACTACGCGATCTGAAGATTGCTCAATGTATGTGCACATTATTAGTCGGAAAGAGAATATTTCTCACTGACAGATTTCTAGACGCCAAACTGCCTCCCCGCGCTGCATTCACAGCCCAGGTCATCGGCACTTTGCTCGGTGCCGCTCTCAACTATGGTTAGGGAGCCGTCTTTCCTATCCATTCTCCACAACTGACTTGTTTAGTATTAATGAATTCTATCATCGACAGTCAACGCGAAATCCTGTTATCTGTACAAGGAACAAACATCTGGTCTGGCCAGCAACCTCAATCATACAACTCGCAAGCCATTGCGTGGGGCGGTCTTGCTCACGAGCTCTTTTCATATGGTAAAAGGTACCAATGGGTTCCCTTGGCCTATCTCATAGGCCTGGTTGTGCCTCTTCCTTTCTGGATTATTCACCGTTACTGGCCGAGACTGCGCATGGATTACTATTACACACCTGTCATCTGGTACGCTCTCAATTTATCAATGATCGATATTCTAAGCTCATTATGCATACAGTGCGTACATCGGATGGCTTTGTGTTGGAATAAACTCCTCGATTTTGACGTATTTCGTGGTCGCGTTCTCGTCTCAGTGGTGGCTCCGTACTAGGTACCCGCGTTGGTTCACGAAATACAACTATTTGGTCGGCGCAGGTGAGTTCTGTGGCCTTCTTATCTCAACTACTAATATCATGCTCTACTATAGCCCTTGATGGTGGAACGCAGGTCATGGTATTCATTCTCTCGTTTGCGGTCCAAGGGGCTGCTGGGGCATCACATCTTTTCCCGGCATGGTGGGGTGCAAATCAAGGCGGAAACTACGACCGCTGCTCGTATCTCAATTAGTCTTTTACGTTAGGTTGATGTGTTTTTGCAAGCAAGGAATATAAATTGTCCTATTGAGAGTTGATCATCTACCTTGTGAAGCAGGATCCATTGGCAATTTGGAGTGGAATACAGTATTGCCTGGCAATGCAACTTCCGCGGGGTTCACATTCAATGGACCCCTCAAGCAACTAGTCCCGCATGCGCGCCGGAATGAACCGCCTCAACACGACCTCGCGTACCGAATAATGTACAAAGCATGCGGGTGAAGAGAGAACTTTTGGAGATACCCGTGATTCCGCAGGTATGGTGATATACGACAAGACCAGTGTCTGTCAACCAGTTTAGACGGATATTAGTGACGAAGGGATGGGAACTGACCTTTTGAACCTGAGAATTGACCCGGTTTATCGTGCTCAGCCATGACCACGTGAATGGTTCTGCGTTCTGTAGCTTAAATGGTGAGTTTGCTTGATCTTCGGGGTCTTCATATACAGGAATGACGACAATTGCGAATCTAAGGAGATGTCAGCGGAATTGAGACAATTTTGAGTGCAGAATAAGGTTCGCTGAGAGAACTTCTGAGTTCAGTAGAATAAAACGGAGGGTGAAGATTGAGTAAAAACACCACACGCACTCGGCATGCTGAAATACAGGGCCACGTTTATACAACAGGTAATCGACGCAGAACTTGATGCCGCTTTTGACGACCCAACCAAGGGAGCGGTAATGGTGGTATGCGACATATGACACAAGGAAGGGATTGTCAAACCGTAAAGGTGATGGTGCGTTTGGTTGTGGGACCAACGACGGTATGTGAGCATTTTGGAATGTATTCCATATTTCAGCGAGGGTAAAAGACACATTCTGTGTAAAAACGAGATGAACCAGCTAGTTTCAAGGAGGGAATAAAGGAACATACGGTTCGAGGGTGTAAGATTGTCAAGCAGTCAAGTGCCCAGACGAGGAAAAAGGCCTCTTGAAGCGAGAGTTGCAGATGCTCGAGGTCTTGTATGGGCTCCATGTCTTCCTCTTCGTCTGGTGCGACGTCTAGAGGCGATTTTTCCGAAGGCACGGGTGCAGATGTTGGTTTCCAGGTTGCAGCAGAAGGGATTATCCGTGTGCCATCCGGTGCAATACCGGGCGCGATAACGCGACCTTGTTCATTGAAAGCAGTCTCTGCTTCTGCGGCAGCAGCAGCAATCGCCTTTGCACGATCGAGCTTAAATTGCTTGCGCTCTGCACGGCGTTTGGCGGTGATCTCTTCGGATGTGAGTGCTATGCAAGTTAAGAGTTAAGATGATGTTCGGAGCAGTACAAGAGAACGACATACCCTTGCCCTTCATTTTTCTCGCATTTATTTGTCTCGCCAACCAACTAGGCTCACTCCTGGAAAGGTCTCCTTTTCCAAAGAACCCGCGCTGCCATAATAGAGTAGCGTCGCCAGAACTTGAGACCCAAGCTGAGCGGGTGAGAGGGTCAAATAGCGCGGTACAGTGAGGATTGAGTGGTCGTGTTAGGGAGAGTCCAAGAAATTTGTATGTTGGTTCTGGAAATATGATCGGGAGTGGATGAGCGTATACTCTGGAAGTTTCTGCACGCCGCGAAGAAGGCTTGAGAGACGCTTTTGAACGGGAAGTTTGGTTGATGAGCGACATCACGGTGACTTGTCAAGCCCAGTGAAGATCGACAAGAAACGGGCGGATATACGTGCTGACACAGGTCGAATAATTGTCAAGCGCTGTGGATTACCGATGTGTTTCGCTAAATGAGGAACCAGCCTATAATTCGAGGTCGTTTCCTGCCCTTCCTTGGATGTGATTCCGTCCAGCAGGTTCTCAATTAGGACATCGTCGGTCTCTTTGCAGACTTTAGCACAGTTTTGGTGGAGTTGATTGCAGGACTCTGCTTGACAACGTGCACGTGCCACGATTGCTCGTTCTACCGAATATCGTTTCTTCCCATATTCTTTAGTCTTACTCGTCCATGATGGGCGTCATATATGTCCGTATGAGCGCTACTCAGGTATCTAACTGTGCTGGTTACATGACACATGGGGTATATATCCACTCATGATGACCCCAAGTACCCATGCATGACCAACGACATAAACCAAACTCCTGACCCAAAGCCCAAAGAACACATCATCACCGAGGAACTCCAACTTGTATGCCTCTGCAAGCCACAGTGCTTGCGTTCCCATCCAGACTGCTCCACACATCACCCATTTTTTCCATGAAAGGTTAATGCGAGGTACAAGTAAAGGTATGAAGAGAGTATACCAGATAAAGTATTGGGACGTGCACACACGGTTGAAGAGCACGAATGTGAACGTCTGTACAAACCACACGAACGGCAGGCCGGCTGAGAGTTGACCGAAGACGAGGCCGGTCCCGAGGGACAACGTCAGTTGGGGTATAAGACTTGTAAACGGCGAGCGAAGCAGCTGACGCCAGGTTGATAAGTTGGCTGAGGTACCGGAATATGTGAGATAGATGAGATAGAAGTAAGGGGAAAAGTTGTGCCGATGATCACGCCGGTCTGTATGATATAGATATGCCTCGTAAAGGAAGGGGTATCCCCACCTGTGGTAGCAAGTAAGGTTCAGTGTTTGGAGATCATGCAGATGCTTACACAGCGTAGCATATAGCTCCCAGAATAATAAATGTCCCTGCGCTGAGCAGGACGAAACAAATTGCCTCTCTTCCGACCAGTCGACGTAGTAGATGAGAAAAATTCCACCCTTTGCCATCGACACGCTGCGAGGTGATCGCAGACACACAGCTAACCCCATATATGATCGGGTAGATTTTCCAGTGAGCACTGAGTCCCAGCATCACGGCGGCAGCGTTGTGTCGACGTTCGAGCGCGTAGAATAATGTCAAGAGGACAAAAGTGCAGAGAATCGCTTCAGAAGAACCACGCGTTGAGATAGTGAATACAAGAGGGTTTAAGAGGTGTGTTGCCGCTAGGAGAGATGCATGTGCGCGCATAAAGCGTTTCGAGTTCTTTGCGGAGACATCTGGTGTTAAAGATTTGGTATGGGGAAGGATGTGCGACATCAAAATTTGATAAATGAGGGCGCCATTTATTAGATCGCATACAGCAAACAAATACTTTCCGAATGACGGATGCAGCCATTCATTTGGAAGGAGAAGGATGGCTAGCAGTGGTGTATAGCGATAAGTCTCCCGAGCGTACGGACTATGAAATCACTGAGCCTAACATCACCGAACAGACTGAGAAACTCACTCTCCGACAGTAAAAAAGAGAGGTGCAAGTGGCCCTTTCGCAATATTACCCTGGTGTTTTGGGAAAAGGATGAATCTGGCAGCGTCGCTGAATACGCGATAATCAATGTCGGTGTACTTCACTATCGAATGTGCATCGTGCCATTCGCTGTATAGTATAAGCACAACACGAAGGACAGCAGAAATAACCAGCAGCGTTCCAAAACCAGGGATACGGTCCTGCCATGCAGCACTGGTGTTGGGTTGCATACGGCCTTGAAGCTTGACTCGGAGGCTTAATGATAAAGCTCAGCCACGCTAGCTGAGTTGTTTAGAATCACGTGATACTTGATGAGCGCAAGCCTACTGTTTACTCTGCAGTCCATGTTCTAAGCTGCCAGAATTCGCCGACTCATCCACGGGGATATTAATCATCTCCTGCTTGACGCAGGCAATACCAATCCACATTATGGCACCAGCAATGATGCATTAATGATGTCCAACCTTTAGCGAAGTATAGCGGGCGAGGGCGCGAGAACAATGAGAACACAACCACTCGTACGTTCAACCAAGTTGATCAACAGAACAGATCGAGTGCGGAGAGGAGGCTTCCGAGTCTCTGTAAGCTGGACTTCTGAGTAGCCTTCAGCAACCTGGAAGCAGGTCGGGGATCCTTCAAGACGGGCCATAACCAAATCAATGCCATTGCCATTCATCCTGCTGGCACACTCGTTGCCTCCGGTGTAAGTGTGATGCACAGTGTACCTGATGTGAAGTTCCGCTAGTGCCCACTAGACTCTTTGTGTATATTGTAGATGGGCCGTAATAATGCAGCGTACGTGGCACTTCAAAATGCTTTTGATAGTATAGCTCCATGATTTTGAAGAGGACCTCTGCATAACAAGAAACCAGATCAATGCACTCATTATCATCCTTTACATGGGAATCATGGGATATCATGATGTCACGCCGAGATCCGTGTCAACACTCCATAGCGAGTCATGGAAGGCGCCCCACGCGCGTTAGTTGTTTCATTTACACGTCTCGTCGAGGCTCTTCATGACTCAGGCCCCAGTTGCGGGTCTTAAATACCTTTCCCCAACGAAACGCGCTCCAGCCATCGCAAATATTGATCAACCCTATGGAAATATATGGCAACATCGGTGTATCATCAGTTCACATCCAACTCGTTGTCTATGCCGCCACTGACGCCGCCCGTCACAGATTCTTGTCGTGGCCTTCCAGTTGGGGACCTTCAAACGTAAAGTCAGATACGATATTGGCATCCAACTCGAACGTGATCTATCATCTAAATCTGTCAGGAGATGTCATCGATACCTGCCGCAATCTATCAATCTAGTATATGATATTCAGAGAGACAAGCAGCGGTCGTAATTTCCGCTTTGATCAGCACCCCACCATTCCGGAATAAGATGTGCTTTTCCAGCAGCCCCTTGCACCGCAAAGGAGAGAATGAATACCATGACTTGCGTTCCACCATCGAGGGCTATTGTACAGTGTGATATTAACAGTCAAAATAAGACGGCTACAAAACTTACCTGCGCCAACCAAATAGTTGTATTCCACGAACCAACGCGGGTACCTAGTACGGAGCCACCACTGACACAAGAACGATACCATGTAATACGACACAACTGAAGAGTTTATTCCAGCGGAAAGCGCTCCAACGTAGTAGCTGTGTTGATAATGGGTTTAGATATCCATCACCGGCGAGTTCAGAGCGTACCAAATGATAGGAATGTAATAGTAATCCATGCGCAGTCTCGGCCAGTAACGGTGAATAATCCAGAAGGGAAGAGGCGCGACCAAGCCAATGAGATAGGACAAGGGAACCCATCGGTACCTTTGACCAGATGAAAAGAGCTCGTGAGCAAGACCGCCCCACGCAATGGCTTGCGAGTTGTATGATTGAGGTTGCTGGCCAGACCAGATGTTTGTTCCTTGTACAGACAACAGGATTTCGCGTTCATTGTCGATGATGGAATTCATCAAGACTAGAACAACGACTCGGAGTCAAATATGGTGAATGGACGGTAAGATGACTCCCTAACCGTAGTTGAGAACAGCGCCGAGTAAGGTGCCAATGATCTGGGCTATGAATGCAGCTCGGGGAGGCAGTTTGGCGTCTGAGTGTTTGTCAGTAAGAAGTACCTCCCTTGACAAAGAATGTACACAGACATTGGGCAATCTTCAAATCACGTAGTAGCAGCAAAGCTTGAGACACAGTATTCTGGACAGTAACCCAAATAAAACGCTAATCAAGGCGACCATACGGATACGGACATAGCTGTAAAGGACCTGTCAACGACAACATCAGTAGTGGTCAAAATCGGAATGTACATCAATACGAACAAAGAACATGTTCGCCATGGGTCTTCCGTTGTGCAGGTAGCCAGAAATCATCTGGACTAGGGTTTCTTCGCTGAAAGATCAGCTCAGGACAGCTATAGCATATAAATAATACGTGCGGATGGAGAGACTAAGGCCAGTAATGGCGGATAACGCGCCAAAGAACAAGATAGACACAGTGGCCAAGAGGACTGCAATGACAAATCCCCACCTCAAAAGACTCAATAAACTTTTCATCAGATGAAGAATGTTAATGGTGCTCACCAGGGAAGCGTGGAATTTGTCTTGTAAATGACGACCAGTCCAACAATGAAAGAGAGAACGAACGTTAAGAAGTACCAACTATTCGGAGCATCTGGATACTGTATAGTAATACGTTAGTGGTAAGGTCTCTATCCGATGTCAGAAGGACTAACCTTGAGCATCTCCCGGTAGTGCGGGTCGAGGTCCGCAGTGTTGGCCGGGACTTCCCTCTCTCCACTGTGTTTCCAGAACTTCCAATCGAAATTAGCACGCCAACTCCTCAGTGTGTCTACGTTGATCCAAGTCCAGGCTGCACGAAGGTCATCTTTGTTCCACAGGAGTAAGTGAGTGAACGTGGCAGCCAATCCCTGCAGTGGAAATATGAGCGAAACACTTTACATCAGTAGCGATTCTTGACATACGAGGTTCATTGACAGAAGGTTAACAATCCAGGTGCCGGCATAGAATGGCAGCCCCTGTTCTGCCACCAGGGTAGGATCCACCTCATAGTTGGAATTCATAATCAAAGTCTGGTCGTAGACAGTCCCGTTCTCGTAAAAGAGGAGCTGCGCCAACTGATCGGTACATTGTTAGTCAGGACATCAGAAAGTACAACGAGAGTTTTACGTACAAATGGGAAGTTTTGAGATTCCCAAATGTTGTTGTAGAATATCGCGATGAAGACAATCCTTCACCTCCCTCAGTAACATTGTGCGATGCGACTGAAACCACGTACATGCAGAGAACATAACCAATGAAACTGGAGAGCTAGAAGTGATGTTATCAGAAGCGTCACACATACAGAATTGTCAACCACCTGAGCCCTCAGTGGAATAGCCATCGGGTTACCAGCATTACTCGAGATGTACTAAACTGAAGTTTAACCCCAAGTATTAACATATGTATCCGGACAGCGAGCTGCACCTGCCAGTCGAAGCACAGGGACAATAGACCGAGGCCCTCGTTTCCATTGGAACCACCAAACACGCGAGACACAGCAGCATTGTCAGGAACGGCGAGGCAGAATATTGAGACACCGGTGAGCAGGGGGAATATCCATTCTGGAAAAAGCTCCCATATAAAGATTCTGAGTTTAAGATGATTGAAAATTAAAGATTAAATTATGATTTATCAATCAAGTTTAAACGCACACAGTAAAGACGAAATAGAACACCTTGAGCTTTCGGCGTGCTGCGATACCATCGTGATAGAAAGCGTCGAGCATGGAGAGCAACGGAAGAACGCCAGGATACAACATTTTCGACGGATAGAGGAGGATCCCTGAGCCAAAGTGTCATGAGCTGAGATTCCAAGTATGGCTACTGTCGGAAGTAAAAATACCTCTCATCAGACCGCCGATTCCATAGCTGTGTTTTATGGCTTCAGCGATGGGTGGAGTAAGGAACACGCCAGCACAACGCACCCGAGCAGTTGAGAAGAGAACAACAAAAAGATTGACGACACGGCATTCGGCGTGATGTTATAATACAAACTGATGAGTCGTCAGTCACTACCGACAGAGGAATTGGAATTGGATTGCGAACCCACCGTTGAACAGCGAGAACTTCCGTAGCCAACGCAGAATTCGCAGCTGCACTGGCCATGATGATAATGAACGCATTCTCCTTCTTATTGAAGGGTCCCTGATATTTATAAATACGCATGAACTTCGGGGCCAGGGGCTACGTGAAAGACTCGGACGCACTGGATTCAGGTATCGGAGCAGTCCGTAGCGTGGAATGAATGTTTCCATCGCAAGGCCAATCACATAGGATATGATGCCGAGAAACATCAGAGATACATTGACAGTTTGCTGGAGTGTCCACATGAATGAGCCCTCCGACTTGATGTTCGATAAATAACTCTCACAGGTTTAAAGTAATATATTTGAGCTAGGAAGCGGTACAAGTGAGTAAGAGCCTCGACTGAATGATCGACTACTTTACCCAGGGATCCACCAAAGGCGGAAAGGCCAAGACCGATGAAGAAAGCCCGAAAGGTCCAGGGGTTCAGACTAGGATCGTCGACCACAGAAATGACGTGAGATGCAATTTCTCTCTCGTTCTGAAGGACGACGTTCTCGTCTGTTTCAGCCTCTCGGGTGGAGGTCTCGATATCCCCCTTTATGCAGTAGGGTTTTTCGCCGCTGGCATCAGGTGTCCCTTCCACCGCTCCAGTGGACATGGCTGACAAGAGAGGATACGAAATACCCAGGCAAATCAAGGTAACATCTGAGCTTTAAATATGCAACAAAGTCAACAAAACTTAGCGAGGGAATGGCCGGCAAGAAACTATGGAACCTAGTATGTTGAACCTATGTGGCAGAATGTTCAGTCCGACATCATGATCATCATTGTGATGTGCCACATGCAAAAGACAACAGAGTTTCAGGGGGTTTCTCAACCAAAAGGATCAAGAACTTGCTAAGACCTACCGTGCTAGCTTGCTATGATCTAAATTTAGTCGACCTGCCACGTCGACGTCGACGAAGTCAGGCCTTCGAGGCTTCAAATTTCAAACTCCAGACCTATCAACGGGATTCCCCATCATGATACACTGTACGCGCCTGCAATTAGTCAGCTTAATCATGGACGTTTGGTTGCTTTCCCCTTCGTTGTCAATTCATGGACCATCCTCAGGCTATGTCAGTCTCCCATAGCCAGACCATTCGAAGGCATGCGATAGCCATTTATTGGGTGACCAGGAAACTACTGTGGAATCAGTTGCCCAAATCTAGCGCCTTCGTTGCACGTGCAATTATCATCGCAGGGTTGCGAGAAAAAAGAAAAGTGACGCAGACTTTGTGGTTTGAGTGTGACATGTGCATGAAGACAAACGAATATGCCTGTTTTTCCGCTGCCCATCACTATATGAGTAGCCCATCTATCATCGTCATCGTCCAACAACCTGAAATACCCAATAATAGCCTGAAGCTGAAAATTGTGAGTGACGCACAGCATTCGAAAATCATGAGATTGTGACAATTATCCCAGGGTGCTTACGTAGTGTCCACTTTCGGCAACTACAGAAGGTCAAGGAATAAGCGGTCTGCTCAGTGTTCTGCCTGTCACCGAAGGTTTACAAAAGTCAGTGATAGCATTAGTACGTCCGAGGGAGAACATTATGGAACTCAGGAAGTGCCTATGTCGGCAGAAACCTTACTTGACCCGTAGGAGGAAACAACTCGAAAGTGCAGACTAGATCAGTCCTCAAATATTTACTCAACATGTCCAAGTCTGCCGAGCTAAGTTAACTCCAAGGGTATGAAGCGTGAAGAATAGCATATGACGGTCCACAGCGACAACAAAAATGAAGATGAATGGGGAATAGTGAAGGTCTAATAAATCCCCTCAATCGCGACGCATGGGCTCATATCTGGAAAGGTCATATATCAGTCAAAATGAGATACATGAGTGGGGGTAGGACATACGTATTGTGAGAGCCATAGGAATCCTGAGTAGCCACATCGTTCAGTCATCTATGCACCAACCGTAGCAGGTCAGGCAACTCACCTTCGCCGTACCCTTGTCTCTGGACGACTGAACACATGAATATCTCGATGGGTCGAATGTCGTTCAATGGGACCTTGCCCTGTGATGACGTCACAACTTATCAGTAATGCTCCATATCAATCAAATACAAAAACCCACCTTGCCGGTTGTCTGATACAGCCCAAGGTGATGCCTCAATTCCTCCTCGCTGACTGCGCCAGGAGCATCAATCTTGTTGCCAAGAACTAGGAATGGAACCTTGGCCAGCTCCTCGATAGAAAGCAGAGCGTCAAGCTCAGCCTTTGATTCAGCGAAACGCTCGAAGTCTGCAGAGTCGACCAAAAACACGATTCCATCGACCTCGGGGAAGTAGTCGCGCCAGAGGCGACGGGCTGAAACGCAAGTTGTTGTTAAAACAGCCCAGGTCGCGAGAAGTGGTAGTATACTAACCTTGCTGATGTCCGCCAAGATCGTACGTAGTGAATTTCACGTTACCAATTGCCAGTTCCTCGGAAGCTGCAGTTGCATAACATTAGGGAAGAAGGAGCATTGAAAATGCAGACGGCGTACTGGGGTGGAGGGTGGGTTGAAGGGTGGCCAGTCTGTCGTTTTTCAGCATATGCAGAAGCGTCTATGGAATATGTCAATAGGTCATGTAAGGTTTGCACAAGTTACGCGATACTCACTGTCTTGCCAGCATTGTCCAGACCAAGGAAGAGAATTTTGGCGTTCTTGTGCATCAGCCCTAACACCAAGTTAAAAATGGTAAATAGAACATAAAGTTGGGCTGAAAAGACTGACCAAGCTGAGCAAGAATGTCCCAGAACCAATTGACGATGAACATGGTGACTGTTGAGCAACAAGAGTGGATAACCGAGAGGGTCGCTCAATTTGGCACGTAGTCTTGCGTGTCCCAATGTGACAACATTCTGTGACACCACGCTGCTCCAATCCAATGTCTTCATCCTCTCAAAAGGCGCAAATCCAAGAGATAATCGATACTACCCAAGGATCTGATCCCGAGGATAAATGTTCCACCCCAGAACCTGAGGCTGATCATGAACAGGATGGTGCTATTACACCTCAGGCTTCATCATCCAAGCCAAAGAAGAAGAAAAAATCCAAGGCTGCAAAGGTTCTAAACGCAATGCGTGGCAAAAACGAAATACCTCAAGAGCTCATCAGTCACGTCGTGGATCGTGTCGCTGCTGAGCACGGGCCGAATATCCCAGCTGCCAATGAAGATAATGTTAGGCAAGCATTGGAGCAGATGAAGATCATGGATGTCATCAAAGGCAAAGCGGGCATCGCTGGGCGAGGGAAGAAAGCTATGGGAGAACACAAGGTATGTACAACAACTCATGTATAAATGTGGACCATGCATTCAAGGCTCGACATAGTTTTGGGCCACTCAGCCAGTCCCACAGCTTGGTATGCGTTGTATTATATATTCCAATTTTAGGGCTTGCTAAGCGGCTCTAGGTGATGAGGTTTCGCCCGATGATGGTTTCATCGAACCCAACAAATCTCGAGAAGAAGTGCGACAAGACCCATACCCTCTGCCGAAAGATTTCGAATGGGCCATATTAGACATCAATGACTCTAAGCAAGTATGGGTATCGATTGTGTCATATGTAGTCTTTGTGACTTTTCAATTCTACAGATCAAAGAAGTTTACGACCTATTATCTCTCAATTACGTCGAAGACGACGAGGCCGCATTCCGTTTCCAGTACAGCGCCGAGTTTCTAGAATGGTAAGCTATTCGGTGCATAGTGAGACGTGCACCTGACAAACATCTAGGGCTCTCAAACCCCCGGGCTACCTCAAAGACTGGCATATTGGTGTGCGTGTGTCTTCGAACAAGAAACTAGTAGCTTTTATCTCTGGCGTGCCAGTCACGTTGCGCGTGCGCGGAAAGTAAGACATTTTATCGTGATGATTTCCAGGAAGTTGAAACTATACAGTGTTTTTCGAGCGTGCGAGATTAATTATCTGTGTGTGCACAAGAAGCTACGCTCGAAACGCCTAGCCCCCGTGCTCATCAAGGAGGTCACACGACAAGTGAATTTGACGGGTATCTTCCAGGCCATCTATACCGCTGGTGTCGTTCTTCCGACACCTGTGTCCACTTGCCGGTATGTCACATCTCTGTATAGTTAGCGGAAGTGCTCAAGGGTCTATCAGCTACTTCCACCGCTCACTGAATATCCCGAAACTTGTCGACATCAAATTTACATACGTTCCCAGGAGCATGACACTTGCTCGAATGATTCGTGTCTATAAGATGGTGGCCAAGCCTCAACTAAGCGGCCTCCGTGAAATGGAGGAGAGAGATGTATCAAATGTTGCTGATCTCTTCACGCGCTACATGCAGAGGTTCAGCATGGGGCCGATCATGACACTTGACGAGGTCCGCCATCAGTTCTTGAGCGGGAGAGGCCGTATGGACGAACCATCAGAACATTACCGGAGGCCAGGCCAGGTGGTGTGGACGTATGTTGTTGAGGTCAATTTCACATTCATGTGCTTCCTGTACTATTCTAATGCACACTATGCACACTAGGAGGCACACACTGGCCGAATTACCGACTTCTTTTCGTTTTATTCTCTTCCTTCGACAATTATAAACCATCCGAAATATGGACTCTTGGAGGCTGCCTACCTGTTTTATTATGCATCTGACGCGGCGTTTGCTGAAGACTCAGAAGCAGACAGCATCCTCAAGAAACGATTAGAAGCTCTTGTGGGAGATGCACTAATCATCGCGAACCAGGCCAAATTTGATGTCTTCAATGCCCTTACACTCATGGACAACTGTAGCTTTTTGGAGAGTTTAAAGGTGTGTATATTATCTATAAAGGGAGTGCGGTTAGTCCTTATGTTTTGTGGTAGTTCGGCGCCGGCGACGGTCTCCTTAATTTTTACTTATACAACTGGAGAACAGCGCCTATGGCAGGTGTTTCAGCCGTTGATGGTGTAGAACCAGGAAAGGGTGTCGGGATTGTCATGTTGTAACATCAATGTAACATTGACCCAGGCCGACAATCTGCTCACTTTGTGAATTACATGTCTATCCTACGTACATCTTTACACACGCACACGAACCATCATCTGACCTCCTTCACTTTGTGGAATTAACTATCTTACAATCACCACCAATTTAATCACTGTCAATGTCAATCATGTCGTCATCGTCCACACCCCAATCTGGCGTCGGACTGCGTCTCTTCGACTGTGCTGTCGTTTGTCGGGGAAGCGGTCTACCTCCGGCACTACCAAGATCGTGCCCACGGAAGCTCGGTGGAATGTGGGTGGACCGAGAGGAACCTAGCGTATTACCAGCGCCCCAAACCTTCTCGCTCGGTTGCGACTCGGCAGATGGTTTCTCCTTTTCCTTTCCTTTTGCACCTGGGGGTGATGTGACTGGCCGGCCTGTGAGGGTATTGCCCGAACCTGAGAAAGAGGGCTGCAGAAATTGTGAGATCAATTTGAGGAGGAACTATATTGAAACTCACAGCTGAAGGGGGAGGGGAGGAAGGAGCCTTGGGTTCCGATGGGGTGTATGGAACGACATTAAAGCCAAAAAACAGTTTCCCGAATGGAAGATTGAGTGCAGCGGGAACCTTGGCATCTGCTTCAGCAGAGCTGTTGATAACCTTCTGTTGGCTGTTGAAATCGTTAGCATGCCCAGATGTAACAAGATTGCTTAAAACTCACTCGGTCCTGATGATCTTGCTATCTCCTCCTACTGCTTCAACTCCCCGATGACTGATACCCTTGCCTTTCGTCTTCCGACCAGCGAGAGTTTCCCCCTTGCCCTTGAAACTCTCCCAATGATCGCCACCTTTGCTTACAGCCGTTCCACCAGGAGCAACGAAGCCACCACCTAATGATGAAGACGGTCGTGAAGAACCGGGACTCGATGAATTAAGGTCGATCTTCAATTTGGATGCCATAGTGGAAGGCGGTGCAGGTTTCGGACGCTCAGGCTCTACGTAACCGACTGGGGGAGCAAAATCGACCTCTAGGTCGGTGTCCAGTACGTTTATGCCACCTCCACCAGGTGTCGCCTCCATCACAAGAAAGCCGAAGATTATTGAGTTGTAATATATTTCAATTATATCACCTTGAGTGAGCGCAGTGAAATTTCGCAGAGCTTGCTCGAGCCTGATGGATATTAGCTGAGTCAGTGATGCCGAAATACGTGCACATACACAGCTTTTGGATCTGAAATTTCAAGGAAATGCGTAGATTGTGCCTGAAGCTTGACGAACTTGCCCTTCGGGAGTTCAGCACCAGTTATGCGAATTGGGTCACCTTCATTGAGACGCAAGGTCTTCATCATCCAGTAAGGGAGATGGACAATTCCCTCTTCAGCGATAAACTCGAGTACACCTGCATGTGTAGATGCTGCCGGATTGGTTGCATTGGTAAGTTGAAACATCCAAGGTCCCTCGAGATCGAGGTGAGTCAAATGTGCGAGGGCTGATGGAGGCATAATAACTACAAGAAAATCGTTACTGCACGAGTTCAGTGTACGATAAGATCCAATTACGTACTCTTTCCTCCGTAGGAGAGATTCTCTCGCTCCCGGCCAGGAAGCATTGCTACACTGTAGGCCTTCAAGTACACGTTATACGAACGAGGATTTGGCCGGTTGACTCGAGAGACCATAGGAACTCCAAATCCTCTGGAATGACATAGCAACTGGTCAGGAAACCTGACCCAGGAGCCAGAGAGAGGTAGCGTACTGGGCGAACTGAGCGAAAAGACCCCCTGGGCCACCTGCCATGCCATCCTGATCGTCAAACTATAAGAGATGATCAGTTGCCTTGATCATTTCTGTTGTTAGATGCACCCACAAAGTTCATCTGAAAACAAGATCGTGAAGTGAAAGAGAGTAGACAAAGTCAACGTTACTTTCAAGTCGAAGCATACGCATACCCAGCGGCAAACCCCGTGACCACTAATTTAGCGGTACTCTGGTTTTGTCTAGTACGCGCATCGTCCACTGCTTAAAATCTATTGAGCCATCAACGAAATCAAAATGGCATCAAAGATTGCACCAGCGGCACCTCAAGCAGCTCGTACGGGCTCAAATGCCGCGTTCAATGACAAGGTACTGGTCACTCATGATCGTGATGACTTAATAGAATGAACGCGTCCACAGGTCAAGCCAATGGAACTTCGGATGTCTAACTTGGTCGCTGCGAAAGGTACATGAAGAGTTTTGTTTGCGATCGTTTCGCATGGTTGACTTTCTCGTAGCCATCAGCGATGCTGTTCGAACATCTCTCGGTCCAAGGGGGATGGACAAAATGGTATGGTTTGATGTTACTTCGTTGATGGTGAAGAGATGTCATATCGCGATTCATTTACATAGATTCAAACGTCAAAGGGCGAGGTCATCATCACCAACGATGGAGCAACAATTCTACGGAGTATTCAAGCTCTACATCCTGCTGCCAAGATGGTGCGTGTCGAGCCATGATGCTGCTGATCACCTACTTATGTCAATTTAGCTGGTCGATCTCTCAGCTGCTCAAGATGTGGAAGCAGGTGATGGAACAACATCGGTCGTTGTTCTAGCAGGTAGTCTTCTCGGGGCCGCGGAAAAGATGCTACAGAAAGGCATACATCCAACCATCATCGCAGAATCGTTTTTGAAAGCATCGGTCAAAGCAGTCGAATATCTCACTGAGATATCGACACCGATTGATCTCAGTGACAAGACCAGTCTGCTCCGAGCAGCAAGCACTTCCCTGAACTCCAAGGTGCCAAGGATTTTTGAACTTATCGTGGTCGCGCTTTGCTCACGCGCGCTTCAGATCGTCTCTCAATACTCATCGACACTTGCTCCCATCGCAGTAGCTGCTGTCACGCGTTTGGTTACACCTCAATCGTCCACTGTGGACCTTCGTGACATCAGGGTTGTGAAGAAAGTTGGTGGCACTATCGAAGATACTGAGCTTGTAGATGGTGTTGTCCTCAACCAAAATGTTATTGTCTCAGCTGGCGGTCCTACTCGCATGGAAAAGGCCAAGATTGCCATAATCCAATTCCAGCTCAGTGCTCCCAAACCTGACGTATGTGCTTTTCACTACTTTCGTCTCGGTTCTCATGGTACCTCGTTAGATGGATAACACCGTTGTGATAAACGACTACCGACAAATGGACAAGGTCATCAAAGAGGGTCGTCAGTACCTGCTTAACATCTGCAAAAAGATCAAGAAGGCGAATTGCAACGTTTTACTGATCCAAAAGTCCATCCTCCGTGATGCAGTCGATGATACGTCCCTCAGCTTCCTTAAGCGTCTTAACATCCTTGCAGTCAAGGATGTTGAACGTGACGAGATCGAATTTCTTTCTAAGAGTCTCGGTTGCAAACCTATTGCCGACATCGAAGCCTTCACAGAAGACAAGCTTGGCTACGCAGATCTAGTCGAAGAGACTTCAAATGCTGGTATCAAGGTCGTCAAGATCACTGGCGTCAAGAACCGTGGTCGCACAGTTAGCATTCTGGCTACGGGTGGCAACAACCTTGTCGTGGAGGAATGTGAACGCAGTCTGCATGATGCTCTTTGTGTTGTCCGGTGTCTCGTAAAGAAACGGTGAGACTCAAGTGTCCCATTTCCATTGGTCAAGGTTCTGATCTGATAAAAAGAGCGCTCATCGGTGGTGGTGGTGCACCTGAAATCCACGTCTCCCGGCTGTTGTCTCAATACGCACAGTCACTCAAAGGCATGGAAGCCTACTGTTTCCAAGCATACGCAGACGCATTAGAAGTGATACCGACGACGCTTGCGGAGAATGCTGGACTCAACCCGATTGCTATTGTCACGGAATTACGCAACCGACATGCTCTAGGCGACCGGAATGCTGGTATTAACGTTCGCACAGTAAGCGGTTGCAGCCTTGAGTTACTTCCATCATTTGACCATATACACCTTAGGGCCTAATCTCGAATATTCTTGAGGAGGATGTTGTTCAACCTCTTCTCGTCTCTACAAGCGCGATTGAACTCTCGACAGAGACTGTGTGCTTACTTTTGAAGATCGATGACTATGTACAAGCAAGATAATGAGACGTTCAAATAGACATCGTTGGCTGTCTTCAGTATAACAATAATGAACGAAGCAAAAATGGCACACTGCACCTTTGTTCATTGACGCACGCTCGAGTAAGTTCCTTCGGGCAGATGCTGACCGTGCGCAAAATGTCTAAATCCGTTATGAAGTAAAAACACCAGAAATAAATAAAATCACAGGTGATTGATGGTCTGGAGGATTTCCTTTCTGTGACAAGGGATGCAAAAAACATGCCAGGACCGTGGATTGAACACGGGACCTCCAGAACTTCAGTCTGTTGCTCTCCCAGCTGAGCTACCCCGGCTTGAATAATGTCAGGGCTTATGGCATATTAACCTAGAAAGGGACTTACCACCTGCTACTGCCATCACTTGCCTTCAGCACTCCCCACAACAATGTCTGGAGCAGGTCCTAGGGAGAATGTCTTCGCTACGCGTATGGCCTTGACAAACACAAAACTCCGTTTAAAGGGAGCTGAAACCGGGCATTCGTTGCTGGCAAAGAAGCGTGATGCCCTGACCACGCGATTTCGTGCCATACTGAGGAAGGTGGATGAGGTGTGTTACACTACCTGATGCTTGCTTGTTCAGGTTGCTGATGATTAAATCATAGGCGAAGCGGAAGATGGGTAGAGTGATGCAGTTGGCCTCGTTCTCGATGGCAGAGGTCACATATACTACGGGAGATATTTCCTATATCGTTCAGGAGCAAGCGAAGCTTGCCACTTTCCGTGTCAAAGCGAAGCAAGAGAATGTTTCTGGTGTTCTTCTCCCAGGATTTGAAGTTGATCGCGTGCCGGGATCTGGTAGTTGCTTTGGAACTTCTATACATTTTTATTCTAATGTTCGCATCAGACTTCAATTTGACAGGTCTTGGTCGGGGAGGCCAACAGGTTCTACGAGCAAAGGAGGTGTACGCTAAGGCTCTCGAAACGCTGGTGGAACTTGCGTCGCTACAAACGGCGTTCACCATCTTGGATGAAGTTATTCGCGCGACAAACCGGCGAGTGAACGCCATTGAACATGTAATCATTCCGCGATTGGACAATACCATCAAATATATCATGAGTGAGCTAGACGAAATGGATCGCGAGGAGTTCTTCAGGTGAGCGCATCAAGTCTACTGGTCAAGCTTAGACGCCGATGATGCTTGTAGACTCAAGAAAGTTCAAGGCAAGAAGAAGAGAGATGCCGGGAAGGCAGAAATGCAAGCCATAACCGACAAGGAGGAATCGTTGAAACAGCTGGATGAACAACAAGAACCAACAGTGGACTTGCTGAGTACCAAGGATGCGGATGTCATTTTCTGATCGATAGTTAGTACCGCAATGTACTATTTGTGTTCTATGCAAGCTGCAAGGGTAATTTGGATAAATCTGTACACTATTGCTCAGGGCAGCTGTCTCAAAGTATAGCAGGAGGATCATGGTGCATATCATGTGCGATAGTGCGCATAGATACATGGTGGTTTTGTGAATGCAATAAGGAAAGCTGAGGACAGTCAATACGCCCACAGGAAATCACTGGAAGATGAGGCCAAGTCAGCTTTTATGGCCGATTGTCAAATCTAATTATGGTCACTTACATCCACGATCTCGACATCTTCAGTGGCGGCAGGCTGTGCAGTCTTTGATCTGTCTTTACGATCAAGGATTGCCCGACTATGGAAAAAGCTTTAGAATGATGAACATAAACAAAACGTAGATTACCCACCGATCCTTGTCAAGCTTGATAGTGGTAATGACGACTTTGCTGGGGTGGATACCGATGGGAGAAGTAGCACCGTTGGATTTGTCGCGTTGCACACGGTCAACATGAATGACCCATTTCTTGCGGTACACCTGTGTGACCTTTCCTTCCCGGCCCTTATATTTCCCCCGCAAAATCCGTACTTCATCATCCTTGCGGATCGGTAGTGACCGCGTCTAGTAAATAGTATAAACACCCCGCGCCTCATTTCTCAACAGATCCAACGTACGTTGTATTTCGCCCGGAGTTCTTTGGATAGGGATGACGACATGATCTTGCGGCGGACCGAGGAGGGTGCGCTGAAATGGGCCTTGCGGTTCTTGCGCCGCGAAGAGGAGACGTCTGTTGTGTAGACTCATTCGTCAGTAAGCTATTCACCCCACAGATCTCATCCAAGTCTCAGAGTCTCCATCCAACTTCTCCTGTGCATAAAATTTGACTCCGAGGCGATAGACAGGTGGAATGGACACCAGTGAGTACAAAGATCGTACTGACCAGGGTTGTACTTCATCTTGATCTTGAGGAGGACGTCGATAACGGTGTCGGGCAGTTCGATTTGGGTGTATGGAACGAATTGTTTGGTTCAAAGTTTGTTCGTCGGCATTTGCCGCATATACCACGGCATTATGATGCAGCTTCTTTACCTGCACACATTTCGCCGCGTGTAGTCGATGGAGAAAGTTCGGTCCACGCAGCTCAAATTCAAAGGGGACAAAATCAAGAAGAAGCGCAAGAGAGAAAACCACGATGAAGGCTCCGCCAGCAAACGTGTAGAAGATGAGGACCCGGAAACATGGGTCCTACCGGAGAATGCAGCAGAAATTCGCGGGCCTACTTTCATTATACACCCTTCTGATCCTTCGCCGATATCAGTGAATTTTGATTCTACAAGAAACAAGATTGTATTGTCATCTCTGGACAAGGACTCGACATCTGATACCGATACCCCGTCATTACTCGATCGCATACCTACAGAGGTAGCTCAGGTCTGGGTTACAACGCACGTCGCGGGATCGGCCACTATCAACCTTCGGACGGGCACTGGCGAAGGAAAGTTCCTGTCTTGTGACAAGCACGGTATTGTGAGTGCTTTTAGGGAAGCGCGAGGGCCCGAGGAGGAGTGGACACCTGTTATTTTACCCGATGGCATGGTAGCCTTCATGAACGTGTATGAAAATTATCTCAGTGTTGACGAGGTCGCAGGAGGTTCACTCCAGCTGCGAGGTGACAGTGAAGAAGTCGGGTTTCGGGAGCGGTTTTGGTTAAAGATCCAAAGCAAGTATAAGAAGGAGGCCCATGAGGAGAAGAAGAAAAGAGAAGCGGGCTCAGAGTTGACAGTTATAGACGAAACTTCCACCAAGTACGTTTCGCTTAAGATGAACTGGTTTGTGATCTGAAAGATTCCAAAGCCATATGCACCAAGCCTGGGGAGCTGGACGTTCGGTGGTGTCTCAAGAAGATAAGAAGGAGGTTCGTTGATATTCATATTTTATGCGATTATCAGTAACATTCTGAATAATGCCTCAGCTCAAGCGAGCACGCAAGGAAGGTCGCTTGGCAGAAGCATTGCTGGACCGACGAGCGAAGTTAAAGAGGTATGTTCTAATCCATTCTGAATGTATCTCTCATCTGATTTTACCACAGTGATCGATTTTGTTGAAACCTTGTGCCGAATTATCAATTCATCTTTTGTGCATGTCGGACTCGTGTATCTTTGTAGTATACTTTTATATTTACCCGTGGGGCATTTCCCGTGACGGCTCACGCGCGTGTCGCATCCAAAGGTGGAATAAAGGGGGGTGTATAAGACATCTTCCTTTGTAGCCCTTTGTTATCATTCATCGCCAGCCCCAGACATGCGCACAGAACTTTTCTTCATCTCTCAACCCGCGAGACGATGTAAGGATGTCCGAGAGGTAAAATTAGCATCCAGGATGAATTCATGGCAGTGGCAGAGATTGCGTGTACGTACCAGATAAATTTCTGAGTATCTGGTTACTGATTTTGAGTCAAAGGCTCTCGTCATAGATGCAGCCGCCAGGTTTCTCAATACACAATGTAGATATGAACACCAGGATCCCGAAATGGTTCGTTTGTTCTACCAGGCGGTGAGCTTTGATCGAATCTTCTGTTGCATTGTTTCATTACTCCCTTTGTTTCAGGTTCACGCTACATGGCCAGAAGTTGCAGCGAAATATCCCAATTCATGGGTTCTGGTCTGGTATCTAAGGATATATCTGTTGAAACGAGTATATCGGAAACGGTGGTCTGATAAAATCGCTCGTGAGAGGGCTAGCAGCCAACTCAGACGACTTCGCACAAAAGTATGCTCTGTACTTTGTATCACCAGATAGTTAGATTCTGAAAACACCCCGCAGAACACAAATCAATCGTCCGTCCGTCAAATCGATACCGGTGCTTCACAAGCCCGTGTAGCCAAGAGAACTCGAGGGAGGGCTATTACCTGTGATCGGCCTGTTTCCCCATCTGGTCCAGAAATTATCGTGTCACCTGCAATGCAATGCTCTGCTGTCATCGCTCATCAGCACAGCGGGAGCTCATCTTCTCTCGCCTCAGCACAATCGCACAGCATAGTACCCATTCAAAGCTCTCATGCAGTCTTTCGGTTTCTCGACTCGATGACACCCAGTCTAGTAAAACTTGTTCCGGATTTCCTTTCTGCTGGGATTTATGATCAGAGCCATCTGGAGGACTTCTTTACGTGGCCCGAGAAGGCTCAACGTAACTTTCTTCTCAAGACATTTGTTGGAAAAATGAACGCGTTGGAGTTAGGAGCAATGCTAATAGCGTTGAATTGTAGACGCCATGGCTAAGTTGATGCTACAACTTGTTCTATGGTCACAACTCTGATGCTCACTTGCGATAACCTTACGAGACTTATGTAAATAGTGGCTGCGTAGTTTCTTCAACAACGTCAAACAGGAACATGCAATTACTTCATTGTAACACTCAGTACTTAGTACGCATCCGTAACATTCTATCGCACTACAGCACTAGTACTGAGTAATTCTGTCCACTTATCCATCTTTCAGGACGTTTAATATAAGATGGGAGTTGAATCACAGAGCGACGAGACTGTGTCGGTGACGCCCGAGGTGGTTCCATTCACCAATGGTCTTTCACCTCAGAGCTTATTGCTACTTTCCTTGGCGCTGGTCGTGGGTTTACTACTTGGTACGTTTCGGAAGACTTGATTTTGGAAGAAGTTCTTACCCTTTGAAGTTATCACATTCTCTCGAAGAAAATCAAGGTCCAGAGGTACCGCACTTCTCCTTGTCGGGCCTTCAGATGCTGGCAAAACAGCTATACTTTCTACTGTTTGTGACATATCAATGAAGTTACGTCGATTGTCTAACTCTAAATCAATTGTATCTAGCTCGCATTTACTGGAACGCTACCATCGCACACGTCACTGCAAGTCAATACTTCTCTCATGCCTCTCTCCCCAGTAGGCATCTTGCCGGTGATCGACATCCCTGGGCACCCTCGAATTAGAGAACAATTCCAGGAGCACTTAGTGAATGCCAGAGCAGTTGCTTTTGTAGTGGATGCAAGTACCATATCACGCAACGGGTCTACAGTAGCAGAGTGCGTATATTTGACTCTTTCATGGCCATAGTAATTCTAACGAAGTGCGACGTCTAGACACCTCCATCATGTCCTTCATGCCATAACGTCGCTTCCTCCTTCACATTTGGCACCCGCACTCCTCATCCTCGCTAACAAGTGCGACCTCATGAAGACAGCTACGTCTTCAGGCTCTCCCACTGAGGTTGCCATTTCACGCGTGCGAACGATTCTTGAACGTGAGCTGGAGAAGCGACGAGAGGCTCAGTCCGGCGGCATGGGGGTCGAAGGCTTGGGCGCTGAAGGCGAACGTTCTGATATAGGAGGCCTGGATTGCAGTGGTCCTGGCGGAATCTTCAAGTTTGCCGATTGGGAAGGCGGAGAAGTTGATTTTGCAGGAACATGGGTAAACGTCGGAGAGCTTAAGGATGATGAAAAAGAAGGAGTGGCTACTGACGGCCTGGCTTCATTGCGCAGTTGGCTGGGAGCAACTTTTACTATGACCTAACTTCCATGATCGTGATTTTTCTCATACAAGACACTCACAACTTGGGCTCAAATTCTAGGATGGTCTATTAGCAATTGAATTCCATCGGAATGATTGTCCAGTGCGGTGATTCACATAATAGACTCCGTTCAAATGGAACGCCCAAAATTGGTTTTCAGGGAGGTTTCGCATAGGGTAGCATGTAAGGTACCCAGAGTACACAAGTACAAACAAACGATGGTATAAAATCCTCGAACAATTCCTGGTTGATCTTCACCGCAGCTTTTTAGACAGTGCCCGTTCTGCCATTATTCAGGGAGAATGACGGCGATTCGGTAATGCGAAGAGTACTTCGGATAGGATTATGAACGCACGCATCTTATCTGTGTGGTGTAGTGGGTGTCAGACCTCTCCAACATCTCATCCTTATCGTCTTCGTTACGATTTGCCACTTAGTACTTAGTGTTTGCATGTATAAAATACCATGCGTGCTCATCGATCATTGCATCATACTTTATAAGAAACAGGTGTGAATAGGCACCCAAGTACATCTATCAACATCTCCTTCTCTTCACTCGCCTGCTAGTGAGCGAATTTGCGTCTTCCTCAACCGAACTTATGACATCCGAGTCATCCTCGAGCAAACTCGGGACATCATGCATGACAGCCACAGCAGTAGCGGCAGCGGCTATAGCAGCCACAGCAGCGCCCATCAAGATGACTTTTTTCTGCATCTCAACCTCGTTCTGAGTCCCGCTATGTTTTCGTTTGGATGACGACGACGACGTCAATGTTGAGGTTCCCACATTCATGATAGATGTGGCAGGCGTCGGGGGTTCAATGCCAAACGAAGAGAAGGCTTTCAAATCCGCGGTAAAAAGCACCTAAGGAAAAGAGAATGAATAACTTGAAAAAAAGAAGGCAGCTTCGAATAGATACGTGCAGTATGGGCCCAACCGGCATATCCACCCCAAATATCGGCAAGTTTAGTGGCCACTTCATTGTAGATTCGAGGCGTCATGGCACTTTTTCCTTTGGAGCCGCCTACGGTACGTAGTCCGTAATGCTTGATAGCAATCTGGTGAACGTGAGTGTCCACTGGAATTACTTCTTTCTAGGACGGCATAGATTCAGGATCAGATACAAGAGTAACCGGGCTTGACTGACTTTGTCCAAACTCATGAGAAGAACGCAGTCTGCTACCTTGCGTCCAACGCCGACGAACTTTAGAAGTTCTTCACGAGCAGCTTCGGTGCTCATGCCTCTCAATCCGGTCAACCACTCCTCACATTTCTCTCGTGACTCGGAGTTGGAGATCGAGGAACCGTGAGTATCCACAAGCATTTTCGCAGTGCGCTGAATATAATCAGCACGGTAGCCAAAGCCCAAACCCCGAAGAGTGGACTTGACTTCAGGAGCAGCAAGGAGTGAGGGCGGGGGAAAGGAGTGATACGCTGCGGAACCTTGAGAATCACTTTCACTGAGCTCTGGAGGTGGCAAGGAAATCAGGGAAGGAGAGTACTGTTTGCAAAGAGCGTGCACCATCTTGGTAATCCGGGGAATGTTATTGTTTGAAGAGCAGATGAAACTGACATGACGAAAACCTGTCAAGCCTCTGAGCCAGTTCAGAAGTAGACCACGCACGATATTAGGTTCTCCCAAGGATCTTGTCTCAACACCCGGATCCCAGAAAAGCGAGTTTTGAGTTTATTAAAGACTTGATCTCGGTCACTCCACTGGTCGTAAAGCTTCAGCAAGTCGACATCGAGTTGAAAATAGTCCTTGAGCCAAATCAATGTTTCTTCGTCGCTAGCTGCCTCCTGTTCTGCAGAGAGATGCTCGCCCGGAAAAATAGAGCGATAGAAAAGATAGTCAGAAGACTGTCTTAAGCATACTACGCGGTCCCTCAGGCACAGACGGTACTCGTGAGTAGGAGATGTGCCAGGGGACGAGGGTAAGGGGTAACATGTCCAGCGAAATGACTGGCCGCATTTCAAAACAACTGCTAAGGAGAGCTGTACGTCTGACAGTGGCAGCGCACGAAACCCAGTGAGAACTGAGGAAGCCATAATCAAAATTGCTAGAAAGCTAAGCAGATTGTATTCTTTGTCCTGGAAGTCAAGCGTCAGAGCACGACCGAGGCAACTCTCAAGGCGAACACGAGTGTGTGATTAGTAAATACTGTGGTTTCTGAATCCCCCCGGGCCTAGTAGTAGACGCGGGCCAACTTGTCATCACACAGCCACTACCATATGTATTCGCTTCATCACTAACTCAGCTATATGCCTTCAGAAGGAGATACGTTTCTTCCCAGAATACAAAGCGTGTTCTACGCCGTATTCGATTTACAGAAGGGACCCAAAATTGTGTATCAGGTTCCAGAAGGTCTCATCGCGGGATCGATAGCTAATCAAAACTCTAACCATTCGGTCACCTCTTCCCCTTCGCCGTCGATAGGTGCGGCCATCTTGGAACCAGATGTAACGCCTTCGCGAAGGTCAAGTCCTTCTGTTAATTCTCATGGTGGTCGACGTGCGAGTTCTCTCAACGTCCCGTCGCCTCATCATCGCTCTTCGTCCTCCAGTCGTGTTCTGTTCAATTTCGATGACATCTCAAAGTATGTGATACCTCCTGGAGAGCTCTGTGGACGGCTGGTTATATGCGCCACCCGGAAATACCGTATCATTGGCTTTCCTGTTCTACTTCCTGGCAATCATTACCAGCGGAACTACTTCCAGTACAACGTCTGCTTTGTCTTCGAGCGGTCTGCGGATTTAAGTTGCTATGAACCAATAGTTCGCAAGGTCAGCCGTGTACTGACGGCCTGCGAGGTCAGCTCTTTACCTTACACGAAAAAACCCTGTGTTTATGAAATTGTAGGAAGAATCATTTTTCCTCTCCTGTCAAAAATCATCGCCAGCCATGCATGCCATCCTCGAGCAGCTATACGAGGACCTGAACTCTTATTCTGAAACATCGATTCCAATTGATGCCTTCAACTCAATAGAGCTGAAGATCTTTCCTTTTTACCCTAATCCACCCCCAGTAAAAGATTGGCAGGTGCCTCTGGCTCTTATCAACCTGTCCAAGCGCATAGAAGATAATTGGGATCTAACGATGAACAAGGTAGGCCGGATTTGTTTGTAGACCGACTGTCTTAACATGCATTAAGGTGTGCAGGCATATTGAGGGTGTGAATCACGTCAGTCGCATTGCACATCTAGCCGACTGTGATATAGAGCTTACCCGTCAAGCAATATCTCACTTACTGTAAGATATTTCACTCCGACCTTCGATCCCGTCCTCATCAGTCTCGCAGCTACTATCAAGTTATCATGACTATCGACATCTTCCAGTATTCCAATATGTATACTCTTCGTAAGAATGTGCAGTGGCTTGCAGACGAGTGCCATGTCAAGGACGAATGTGGACCATATGTCACGAAGCACGCACCCGGTCTGTACATCCCTTCCACGGAAATGCCTAACTCACCTATGGAGCAGGAAGAGCGGTACCGGATTGGCCGAAACTTCTGCACTTATATTCGCGGCTCAAGTCGGGAAAAACGGTGCTGGATTGGATGGAGACCTACAATGTCTATGAACTTGGCATTGACGTTCGACGTTTCACAAGTTTCGGAGTGATCAAGGTATTTCCTAGCAATTGTTCTATGTTCTTGAATTTGAAGTCCTTTCAGGGGTTTCTACGACGAGTTCATCGTTGGCCTATCTTACTTCCTGTGGATGCACCGTCACCAACTCGCAGAAGAAGGCAAAGCCTCTCATCTTCCGCATCGAACGCAAGTCCTACGAGTTCTTCGGCTCCAATTGGGGAGATCCCTCGATTTAGTGGCCGTCCCGATGCGTCTGGTGTTGCACCTATGCTTGGTTCTCCCATGAACCAGATGGAGGTCACACGAGCACAACAACGAACGAGCGCGGCAGAAAAGGTTCTCGAGCAGCTACGTTTCAAAACACTCCCGCGGGCTGGACCTAATCCTATCATGCGACAACCTCCTATTTCCCCAGAGGGCTCTGAGCGCAATCACGAGCGCCGTAGCCGTATCCTATCTGATACCCGAAGACACTCAACTTATCAACAGCCCACGAGTCATGTGCCACCACCATCTAGTGTTACTGGGAGTCAAAGCATTGCGCACCGCAATTCATCGGAATCGCAGAACGCCTTTCCTGCAAGACCACGACTATCACGGTCCCCTTCTACTTCTCGCACTCGCCCCCTAAACTCACAAGGCTCTTTGGGTCCAATAAATATTCCTCCACCCCCTGAATTACTGCCACTTCTCGATGGAGATCATCACACAGATGAACTTTGTACGCGCTTCGAAGTCGGATGGCCTCAATTACAGCAATGGCTAGTGGCTATTGGAGGTGGCAAAGGCGATGGAGATGGAGATTTCGGGAGAGTGTCCATTATTTATCGTTGATACGCGTCTGCCACACGAATACGACATGCTTTGGTAATCTCGGCGATGCGTTCATGTTTGCTTTTTTTTATCACGACGGAATCCTAAATGAAATTCTAGGTGAATTTTGTTGGGAGTTTCGTATAGAAATTTTGAGTGATCGATCAATCTAGCACACGAATATCCCTTGCATGGCATTATAAAGCACGAATACATATACTTTTACTGAACAGCTTGCTACGCTAGTGACCGGTTCACATTCACGTAGCCAGTTCCAAGACACGAGTAAAGTAACTCAGTGTTGGAGGAATCTGTGAGATCTACGGGTGTAACATTGAAGACGGTGCCGAAGAAGATCTTGATATCACGGAGAAATTGAACACTGTCATGATGTGAGCCATAGAACCAGGAGAGTTGATCATCGCGCACGTTCTAACGGAGGGCTCTCCCATTCTACATTGACCAATATCTTCACTACCTAGAACCATCATCAACAGGACTAGAGACTGGTGTTTTCTATCAACACATCCTCCATGTCTGATTTCTGACAAAAGGGCTCTAGTTGCCAACAGAGCTATATCTTCAGGGGTTTCACCTGGTGAGGATGCAGCTTCAGAACAATGTATGGCGGACGTGGTGGACTCCGCAAGTAAGCTGAGCGCATATCCCGGCGACCTTCATGCAGGATTAGTAGAGTGGAAATATGTTCAATTAGCCCACATACTTTCCACTTTCATCTCCTTTGTAAACATCGGAGTACAGGTAAATGTCGGGAATGAAACGGTTGAGAACCGAACGTGATGCATCGATCATACGATTAGAGAACTGCGGATTAACACGGACGGAATGTCTGGGTGAATACTTCAGTGTGGAATGCCTTTCATGAAAAGGTAAGATGAACGCACGCAATGCCTCGGATTCGTTTTATCTTTCCGGGATCAACAAAGTTCAGAGTTTTCACTTCTTTAACAATAGGACAGAGAAACTGTACTTCCCCTCCACCTTCTGGAGGAGCACCACGTCTCTTTATCTGTACAGGTATATGAAGGCGCAATTTCACAGATCGAACAATTGGCTCACCCGAAGCTCCAACCCATCAGAGATACCGAAAAGTTGGAGATGCGGTAGTGTCACGGTACGAATGAGGTCAACCTAACGCCGTTAGGAGGCATTTTATTTTGACAGTATTTGGCTTACAGAAAGATCATTATCATCCGTTGTTATGCCTCGCAAGGTCAGCTGAAACGGCTTCTTTGAGAAGGGCGCGATCATGACCAGTGGTTCCAAAAAATAACCTATTGAACGTGACAATGGACAATCATGAGTAACAGGACCGCCAGACACGACTCCTGGTTTGAGAAGTACAGCGGTACCTTGAAGGCATATAAGTGAGTTCCAGCGTAATGGACAGTAAAGTAGATCATACCGGTCACTGAGATTTCAATGACGGACCCATTGGTGACTTTTTCGAGAAGCCGCAGGAGGCTGACTTCGTAGTCTGGGCGATGGCACTACTCGTCAAGAAACGCCAGACTGCAAAGAACTAAACATACCTCTCAAACCAGGATCCTTATCCTCGGAGCGTATTTTATCAATTCGAACATGCTTTCCGGTGAGAATGGAGAGTACTAGACGTTGTCGCAAATATTGGTGTCCACTGAAGTTCACCAATGATCTTGACTCCATGGATGTAAACCTCGAAGAGACTTTTACATTACATAAGGAAATATTGATCGCGTCCAATCCGCTGCTAGCTGCTGGCAGGACAAACATATAGCTTGACTCCCTTTCACTCCCCTCAATGGCCACGGAAATACATGTGAATGGTGCAGCGACTTCAAGCGACTGGCAAGATCGATATTACCATGTTGACCAGATCCTTGATAGACCTGGCCCCCGAACTGATCCATCATTCCTGGCAGGGGATGAGGTGAGCATCTCACAAATGTTAAGACAACTCAGTTTTGAAACATGCTCTAAAGGTGAAGGACTTTTTGCGGAACAAGTGCAAGATTCTTGTCATCGGCGCAGGTGGTTTAGGATGCGAGATACTCGCCAATCTTGCTCTGACTGGGTTCAAGGATATCCATCTCATCGACATGGACACTATCGACATCAGCAATCTCAATCGTCAATTTCTCTTCAGGTACGTCACATTTATGAAATTGAATGTATGTGCGGCCTAGGGATCAATTTCCTTAAGACCCGCAGACGTTGGAAGACCAAAGGCCATCGTTGCTGCAGAGTATGTGATGAAACGGGTGCCGGGAGTCAAGGTCACACCGTAAGTCGGCAATTTCTTGCGCGCCGTGCGCATCATCTCTGATATACAAGGCATCCAGGTACTACGGCAAGATACAAGACAAGGACGACGATTATTATATGCAGTTTAACCTCGTCATCTGTGGTCTAGATTCTGTGGAAGCGCGTCGATGGATAAATGCCACTCTCGTTAACCTAGTGGATTCTGAGAATCCTGAAAGTTTGAAGCCCCTCATAGACGGTGGTACCGAAGGTGAGTATGTCTCTTTTACCTTCTGCGCGACCTTAATAGCTGTGAGAAGGTTTTAAGGGGCAAGCTCGAGTCATCCTTCCGACTGTATCATCATGCTATGAGTGTTCGCTTGATATGCTCAACAAGCCAACCACCTTCCCTATCTGCACCATCGCGAACACGCCCCGTCTCCCTGAGCACTGTATAGAATGGGCTTCTGTGCTTGAATGGCCTCGCGTGCGCGGAGGTCAGTCTCGCTGCACGTCCCATTTTTATTCTATTTCACATGAAAGTAGATGAGAAACTCGACACTGATGATCCTGAGCACATCGGGTGGTTGTATTCAATTGCTGTTGCTCGTGCAAAGGAATTCAAGATTGAAGGCGTGACTTGGTCACTTACACAGGGTGTTGTCAAGAACGTCATCCCTGCAATTGCATCCACTAATGCTATCATCGCTGGTATGTAAGCACCCACTCTACTACTTGATCTGTCTGATGGTAGTGTTCACAGCTTCATGTTGCAATGAGGCCTTCAAGATTGCAACAAGTTCAGCGGCTTATCTGAATAACTACTTCATGCTCATTGGAACCGAAGGAGTGTATTCGTACACCTTTGAGCATGAAAAGCGCGATCATTGCCCTGTTTGTGGAGGTGAAGCCCTGGAGATATCCATAAGTCGAGATTGGACTGTCGAGCAGCTCATTGAACTGTTGACTGAGAAGCAGACCATGTATGTGTTCATTCGTCATTGACATCCATGGCTCACTCTGGTGTAGTCAGATTAAGAAACCTTCTCTTGCGACACCGGAAAAGCCGATTTATTTCCAACAACCACCCCAGCTGGAAGAATCTACGCGCCCGAACTTAGAGAAGAAAGTCTTTGAACTTGTCCCTGATGGTGGAGACGTTGTGGTCACCGCTTCGAGTCTGCCTTTCAGCTTGTCGCTCATTATCACTTACACGTGAACTTAAAGGTACAGTATCTTACATTTCTGCATGGTTATGTAGCAGTAGACATTTGAATGCAAGCATTATCACGATTTGTTTACGAGTAATCCTACCTCCAAGTCAGGCTTGTGGTTGTGCGTCATAGACAGGCAGTTGCGAAAGAATTTGAGAATTTCAAAGAAAACATAATGTCATAGCGCCAGAATATGCTGACATGGCGATTACGTAACATCACTCGATCTTCGAGTGAACTTCATCGACATTGTTGCTTATATATCCTAAACGCCCATTCACTGAATAAGATGCCCAAGGCAGATATCAACAAGGCTGGTTGGGAACAAAGTGAATTTCCCATTCTTTGTGAAACATGTGCGCTGTCATTTTTCAAACCTGACTAGACTAGAAACTAACGCGCTTGACCAGGTCTGGGACCTAACCCGTTCATTCGAATGGTCAGTGTTGAGTCCCATAACCAACACAAAATGCTGACCACCTAGCTTGATGATTAGTCGAAACAAGAGTTCGGTCGCTCGTGTGGCACATGTGCTCGTCCATTCACGGTTTTCCGATGGAACCCAGGCTCCGGTGCACGGTACAAAACCACTGTGATATGTCAGACGTGCGCCAAAGTGAAAAATGTCTGCCAAACGTGCCTTCTTGACCTCGAGTACGGACTACCTACTCAAGTTCGAGACACCGCCCTTGCCATTCAGAACGAAGCACCAACCAGTGACATCAACCGGGAGTACTACGCGCAGAACATGGAGAACAAGGTGTGTTGATGTCTAGCATACGCCCACGTGCATTTTGTTAAGTCATACTCAGATGGAGGACGGAAATCAATCCCTGATGCAAGTCGGGACTCGGGCTACATCTGCTGGGAAGGAAATGCTGAAGCAGCTAGCTCGGACAAACCCATACTATAAGCGCAACCGCCCACACATTTGCTCCTTCTTTGTAAAAGGAGAGTGTAACAGAGGAGACGAGTGCCCATTCAGGTGAGCTCACATACGATGTCCTTCTCGCTTCAATTCCTAATAAAGATTGCTTCACCAGACATGAAAAACCTGTTGAAAATTCGCTTTCCCAACAAAATATTCAGGATAGATATCATGGTAACAATGACCCAGTTGCACGAAAGATATTGGCCAATCATTCGGAGGCGCAAGGTCTGAAGCCACCAGAAGACGAGAATGTTGTGAGTGAGGTTTCCCCTCTCTCTGGTGCTGTATTTGAAGGCTCGGCACAACAGACCTCTCTATTCCTTTCCTCTCTCCCTGCCTCTGCTACAGAACTTAGCATACGGACTGATGTCATTAATTCATTACCTCAAATACCTTCGTCACAGTTGCGGTCGGTCGTCCACGTCGCGAAATCACGGTGCGCCAGGGTCTGCCTTTCAGTGGTGTTTCAAAGCTAAGACCTATTCTAGATGTGCATTCATCAACTTCAAAGACCGATATTCTGCTGAGAGGGCAGCAGAAGCTTGGGCGAATGGCCTGGACATGGATAGCGAACGAGTCCATGTGAAGTGGGGAAGGAGCAAGGGTCCTTCCAAGTCGGCAACGCCTACCGCGGGACCATCAGCAGTTCCTGCACCTGCGTGAGCCTTTTGTCCTTGCAGGAAGGAATGCGTCCATCAGATGACATGAACTGTGTCTGTATCATTCCATTTTGCGATCTTATACTACTTCGACTAGGCTTGTTATTATTTACTCTATTGTAGTTGGAGTGTATGATATACATTATTCGTATTGACTGCGATCAAGCTGCAATGATGTACATATGCATACGTATTACATTCGACATTAGGCTAGCCTAGAGTGACATTAAGTAAACAGAATTGAATGAATAAAAAGATATGCTGTAAAACTAATAACCCTGAGCGATTGTAGCTTTCAGCATCCAAGAGTCGTGATGGATCACATCACCTCACAAGCAAGCCACCGAAACCCATGAACAAGAGCCAAGCTGCATACTCCGCGAAACCAATACCAGCATACAGAGAACGTCCGAAGTTTACTAGAGCAGGACCAGCTGAAATCAAGGTTTGGTAATATTGCTGCCAAGGTCCACAGTCAACGTACGGCAAATACCAGCGATCCCCCAGCCAATCCCAAATATCACTGAACCAAGTATGAGCCTCCAGTCGATTTTTGAGGAGGTCGGGATGTTCCATTTGCCACCAAGCTTGGGTTGCTCTACACGTACATACCAATAGAGCAGGGTGGCCAGAGGCAGAGCACTTCCTGCAACGAATCCCAGGGTCGGGTCGAATGCCGAGGACAACGGTAACGCCAAGAATGTCAATACTTTGTGTGGATCGACCATATTGCCAAGGAAGAGGGAGAACGCGAAAGCCAACGATGTCAAGAAGCTTGCCAGATAGCGAAGAATGGACTTTGGAATGTTTGGCACAAGATTAGCACAAGAATGTATTTGTCGGCTCACGAGTTTTGAACTGTTGCCAGTGCCATTCTTGATGGCCAAGCACGTGTAAGCAAGCCACAGGGTCCCAAGGGAAAGAATTGCACCCAGAAATTGTCGTCCCTGGTTATCGAGGGTCCAATCCAAGGATCCAGATGTTCCAAGAGCGCCATGAGCGAAGTGGCTTGTAGCTACAGCAATTACGAAGAATGTGGTTGTTGCCACCAGGGAACTTTGAATACATTGAATCTACAGACACCGATATTCTAGGCGAGTTCAAAGCATACCGGAGTGAAAATCGAGACAAGCCACAGATCATATGACTTGAGAAATAATCAGACGCATGCGCATGACAGGAATACCGAGGAAGCGAACCCTGAGGTGCATCCGTTGGCTAACTATGGACCAATTGCGGAATGAATGATTACACCTTCGGAGAAAAAAATGCTAAGCATACCCTGGTCCCAATACCGACGAGCAATCCAGAAAACACCATTTGGAGAAGCGAAGACACAGTGCGGGGCTCCGGGGTGTCCGCATTACTGACGATACCGACTGCAATGCCACCCAGAACCAGACCTACGATGGAAGCCATCGCTGCTTTATCTCCTCGAAGTGAGCGGTGAACAAAGCCAGAGACCCCAAGAACAGATCCATTTAGCACCAGAAGAGAATGAACAGACAGCGCAATGCCAATCCCCCCTAAGATACCTTGCAGGGGTTTGGGACGGGACTCCGTGATCTCAGACTGGTGGAGCAACATAGTAAGGATTGTTGTATGAGGATTTGCCGATTTGTCACGACATATTTCGAAGTCCGATTAATATTGCTCTTGTGATGCCTTATGTTACAGGAAATGAAATAGAATACAGTAGTCCTGACTCTTGACAACATGAATCATCCAGTACTCACCACTACTACTTAGCATACCGGAAATGTGCTTGGAGGATCAGGACTCGTCGGCGAGTGCTCCGAAACATGACTTTATCAATTGGTGTTGAGCGTCCGTTTGATGTGGTTCAGCAGGAAGTCAAAACAGTCAGACAAAAGAAGTATAGTTTACAAACAGATACTGGCACGGTGCACTTAAGTTCAATGATCTTGTCAGATGAGGTAGATGTGAGAATGAGTCAACTAGCACGTTCTGTACGTGCGAGGTTGTAGCCACTTCATCACATATGAGAGACTGCGGCTGCCAGGTCTGGAAAGTAGCTCCTCGTGATATTGAGGGAATTGAAAGGGAGTGGTTCAGCTGTGCTGAGTATATGTCCTCCTTCGTACTGCTCGTCATCATCATATCGATCCCTTTCCAAAATGACCAGATACATATCGTGCAACAGGTTTTTCTGCTTTCCGGCACTGCGGTTCACGAGAGCATTGAAGCGATCCATTGGACATACACCTGGAGGGGGATTTTCGATGTATTCGCAGGCGAGACGCGCCCACTCGAAAAGTCCATCGGCTTTCGCAGCGAGATTTGTGAACCCTCTTCGATGTCGGGAAGCGGGCGAGAGGTGGCGAGAATCCGAAAGTTTCGGTGATTTGGGAAAGTCCTTTGTCCTGAAGTCTACCGGCAAGTATGTGGAGAAGGTTACGCCGCGTCTCCACTCCACCACTCTCATCTAGGGCTTCGATCACGACCAAGACGGGCCCTACACTTGACGCAGGAAACTTCTTTAGCGGTTCCATGAAGAAGCGCTGGACAATGTCCGTCGGGTGTTCTTGAGCGAGTTTGAATTCTTGACTGCAGCCACTAACACTCGTTTCATCCCTGGATCACGATCAGCAAGATCGTGCGCGATGGCGGAGAATTTTTTTGATCTACCTCTCTGTGCTGATCGAAACAAAACCATGAACCAAGGCCTCCGGTTTCCTTGAACCAGTTGGTAGTCATGTGGGCGATGACTGATTTTCCCTTGCCTGCAGGGATGGATAGCCACATTATACGCGGAATGGAATCTTCGCTACTGTTGATCCACTTGGTGATTTGGGAGAGAATGTCCGTGCGAGAGCCTGACAGACACTGCTTTGCAGTATCTAGTCCCGCACCCCCTGCATAAGCCATGCCGCTGAGATCGAGTGTTTCACCTTCAAGGGTATCAGTATGTCGAAAATCAGATGCGCGTATAAATCCTTACCCGTAGAATGGACAAAGATAGCTACGTCCCGATGAGCTTGATCCCGAAATCACTGCATAAGGCCATCTAAGACGTCGTGGTACCGTGTGATGATATCATCCGTTTCCGCGATAATGTTTTTTACCGACTCTCTTGCCTATTATCATAGTAAGTATGAGAGTCACGTGCGAATGCGATAGTCCGACGACTTCCAGAAGCTCTTCGTCTCCGAGTATTCCCTAATGAAAACGGGCGCACTTGAGAGTTCGCTGAGCACTCTTTCCGACGACATCGCGCATCGATTCAACCTTGGAGAGATCGTCGTCTTGGATGATGAAGCCATAGACTTCATCTAATTTTTGGAGAAGGCGATGTACCGATTCGTCGCGCTCCGCTTGAGCCATGACCTCAGCGGGAGACAGATCTCCAGGCAACATAGAACGTACTTTGGCTGCAGCAGAAAGTACACCCAATGCCATCTTTGCATGTGGATGCACCTACAACTTGATTAGTTCACTACCAATTAAGGGGAGCATCCCATACATTTGCGATCTTCTCAATGGCGTTGTCGAAAATTTTCAGGGGTTGGAGGTAATTGGTCTGGTAATCATCCACAGCAGTGAGACCTGCTGGGGCATTCTTGGCGGCGGATACCATAGACTGCGCACGTCCCCCGAATATTTTCATGTGTTCTGAAGCTTCGTGGGCACCCTGGAGTAGACTAAAACCAAATAATTTGATGCGAGTACCTTCGAAGTAGGTTCTCCGGATGTGCCTTGGTTGATGCAGCCACTGGGATTTTCAGCTGTGGTGGGATATTTGTCGTCGGTGAAAGGATGCAGTTGTGACATGCCATGAGCGCCTCTGATATAAAAACTGAACTGAGATTACGATTTCGAGCGCCTACCTCGATATTCTGATTCGAAGAAGCATCTTGAAGACCTGGAAGTTCTGGATCCCAGGAATGCGGTTACGGCAACATTTGAAGTGTTTCTGAAGAATGTCAGCCATATTCAAACCAGGACACGAATAACTCAGCAGTCTGCTCACAGAAATTTTCTTCGTGATACGTTTCGTAAATTTCCCCATGGTCCGCCGGACTCGACTACGGGTTTGGCTCTTCAAAAGCAGTGATCAATTTCATGAGCACTCATCTGCAGTAAGTGAAGCCATGAGACCACATACCGAGCTTTCACGAACAGTCGCTTCGCAGGTTTCTGGAGGATGATCTGGCCTATTACAATGGTCTTCACTCGATACGAGTGGTCAATTAGAGTGAGCGAAGTGGAGGTGCAAGAAGTATGAGAGAAGGGAGAGGAACTCTTGGCTTTATTCTTGAACCATTAATTATAGTTACCCATAAACTGCCGAAAGGGGTATAAAGGCGCAAGGCAAGAGGTTTGGACAACCCTTTGACTGTCGGACGACCCCATCATGAAAATGACGGAAATTGATCGAGATGTGTAGGGCATTTGAATGATAGTGCTCGATTGGTTCACTAGCATGCCTGCCACATGAGGTAAGTACATAGGCAATTAAATGCAAGGTTCTTGTTCCGTCTGGCAGGTTCAAACTTCAACAGAATGTTCAGAGCAGGTACTGCTTACTACATCATTGAACTATGAGACTCTCTGGTCATAGATTTATGTTGAGACGGAAATCACCGCATTCATGGTTCAGGTTGAGAAGGGTACAGATCTGACAATCTATAACAAATCTATAAGTTCCGTAAAGTAACGTAGAAAGCTGTCCTCACCTTAACTTTGAACCTCCCTCTCGAATAGGTCACGTGACAATGTTAATTAGCACGCTATACTTACTTCCAACTTCCGGCAAATATGCCTTTCATTTTCCTCACATGTTCACTGATGTGCGTGACGGCGCCGAGAAACCTATCCAACGTCAAATAGTAAGATAATAACCATCCTTTATACAAACTGGCAACAAAGTCGGTATAACTACGTGTAAGTCTATGTCCAAGAAGAGATACAAAAATGGGATGCATAGCTACGTTCTCGTCCAGGAAAATCACGGTAGCAATGAAGTAAGGGATGGAATCAAACTCTGAGGAGACGGTCAAAGACGATTCACACCAGGAAAAAAACGATCATACCGAAATGTCTGAAGCAGATATCGGGCATGCGAAACTGGCGGGAATGCTCACCACAGGGTAAACCACGAAAAATAAGACGCGTAATCCAACCTGAACAATGAAAACACAAGTGAGAACTCCATAGATAACATTTTGTGAGTGCACGGACCGTGATGTCAAGATCAATTGTAATATCTTGCACTGCTCCACCACCCACACCACATTTTGTAGCAAGATCACTTAAGATTTGTGTGCTTGAAGTCATGTTTGTACTGAATTCCAGCGAAAATGGGAAGGTGAAGTTGGTTTGCGAGTTAGAATTGAAGGTGATGTCAGTTTCCTGGCCAGTTCCGACAAGAGTATTGTTGATGGGGTAATATGCCTGATGAATTGTGAGCAATAAAACGAAGTGAATAGGGTTCGGCCTACATCTACGTTTATGGACTTGAAAGATACGCCGAAGTAATTTGGGTTGACAACACTGTAGTTCCGGTAATGAAATGGATCAGACAAAGTGCATGGTCCACGTACGTTAGATTAACGCCCAGGTTAACGGTAATGCTTCCCGAGTTCAGTTGAACCTAATAGAAATGAGAAACGTACACAAACATCAAGAAAGGCTGCCTTACCGCATTTTGAGTGGTAGACGGCCCTACATTACCAACAATAGCATCCGGAGGACGGACCCACTGCAAGAACATTTGAGTATATCGTTGATATTTCCCTTTGCAAGGCTTACCATAAGCAGTGCAAGCAGTATGCTGACAATGAGAAAGACAGCAATCATCATTGTGCAACAGCAGAACCTCCCTATGCAGCTAACTCGGCTTCCCTAGAAGCGGCACTCAGGTTCCAACGCGTCACCAAATAAGTGAGACATTAAATTACTCACCCTTGTCCATAGACCTGCAGTGTTCTCACCTCTCCAGGTCTTGAAATCCTGAGATTGGCTTGTGAAATGGAATCAGATAGGTCAGGGAGTCTCAAAGAGCTGGCGACTCACCGTTCATTTTTTTTCGCATAGTTTGGCTGCTCATAAGGGTTGGTTTCCTGTGCTGCTGGAGCATACGATGTAGCGGCAACTTGTGGGTTCGCATTGGGGTCGTCTCTGTACTCGCCCATTGTGTGGGGATCATAGCCGCCTTGGTCGTACGCCTGGTGTGGTTGCCTGGCATCGTATGATGCATCACCATACTGCTGGTTGTGACTGTCTTGTTGCTGCTCAGAATACGGGTCTCTGTATTGAGACATGGTAGATGAATGATGTGCGAGATGGCAGAAGTAGAGCTGCTGCGGGACTCACGAGAGCCGAATTATAGCTGTGCAACTTGTGACAATTGCACAGTTTCAAAGTGGTGCAAGGGGACGAAATTGGTATCACAACCAAATTTAAACAATTAATAGAATGCAGAATATAATTTCACGCTTTAGGAAGGTGTGCCGCGATGCCGGGTGTATGTATCGTTTGAAATTCACAATAAACTTTAAATCTATGGATTCTAATGAGAATAAACTTACACTTTTGCCTTTTTAGGACTACCCCACCCGGGCTCCAGCACCATTCGATAACTACCAGGACCTGTACTTGAGCTTCACGGATCCCTCACATATTTCGCATCCTTACCTTGAGTTTCCATAGGCACTGGTTTGGATGAGCTAAATCTCTGACCCTGACACTATCGCTCGCCACAGGAACAGCAGTGCCTCCTTCAAGTTATCCGATCAACGTACGACGGACAACTGGCATCAAATGCGAAAGTCCCTTCAAGGAATTTTCATTCCAAAATCCTACATTCTGTACCTGTACCATCTCATCGGACAGTAGGATCCGTAGATTTTGGAAGGAGCTACGCACGGCAAAGGTATACAGTTATCGTAGTGAATGTCTGTTGATATGTTCTTGTCGAGTCAGCTCGATTCCTACTGGTACAGCAGCTGCAACAACTGAGTGTAGATTCTTCTTCAGTCAATTACTTCCTCTTGTCTTGTTTTGCAGTGCTTGATACTGACATATGATATCATCTGGCATGATATTCCGTTGACCTACTTACGTACTTAACCGAGAGTCCCACAACACAATCAATTGCAAGTGGATACTGCGTTCATTGCATATTCGATCAAGAGGATTGTATGATAAAGTCAAGCTCATCCAAATCCACTGGTACTCCCTGAAATGAATGGCATCCTATGTCTTCCAGACGAGGTTCCCGGGACGTTCGAGGATGTCACAGTCACTGCACCTGCACCAGAGTTCGAATGTCCGTGTGAAGATGGTTGGATGAAACGGTTGGATTGGAGTGAGCGCATTTGATCGGATGTCTGGCCAGTGAAGTGTGTGCCGCTAGCGCGATGAGGAGTTTGCGGAACCGCGAATGAGCGTTGCTGAGGTCGATGTTGTGTTGTTTGAGGTCCAGCTGTCTGGGGGTTCGACGCCATTGTGGTTCTTGTATCCGTCTGGCTCATTGCAGGTCTGAAGCGACCTCGAGGCCCGGGTACTGGAGGGGGTGGAGGTGGCATGGAATGATGACCTTGATCCCCGGACGCCAATCGCAGGTGCCGGGTAGGTGCTGATTGTTCGTGAGAGAGCTGAGGGGCTTGCACGCGTGGTCCCTGTTCACCATTGTACGCATATTGTCTGATATATAACATTGAAACCAACGAGTGGGAAAATTATAGATGCTCTTACTCTACAAACCGACTTGTGCCAGGTCGTTCCGGTTGACGGCTCTGGCTGGAAATTCGTCCCTGATCTTGACGGGTGAAATTTGGTTGCTCCCCGGGCGGTAGTGTAATTCGATTTGGTCCGATTGGGGTGACGATAGATCTAGGGCTGGAGCTTGCCTTAAAACTGGCGGCGTGGTTAGATCCAAAATAAATGCAGTCTTTCACCTACTCATGGACATCACCCATCGGACGCTTGCCATTCGCGTTGGAGAAAGATGAGGGTTCCTGAGCATGAGCGGGGTCCAAGCCAGAAGTGCGCTGGCGTAGGTGCTCCACCTCTCGCTGTAAACTGTCTACTTCTCTGTTCCCAGTGAGGATAAGCGGTGTTATGAACTGTGAGTCTACCGACTTTCTAAGAGCCTTTCTCTCCGCTCGAATACGTTCGCACGTCTGGCTTAGCTGGAAACAAGCTTGCCGGTAGTAGCGAATGAGACCAGCGAATGTGTCTTGTTGAAACTGATGCAGATTGAGGTCTAAATGATAGCAAAACTACGTTAAGAAGACTCACTTTTACAGCACTTGCTATCGAATCTAGTGAATAAGGGAGAGGTCTAAACCAATCTGACATCGGAGGCTCCAGCTATAATTCCCCCAAACATAAGCCAGACGTCTCCCTAGACACATAAGTAGTAAAACATACATCTCGGTGTAGGGGAACCAGCTGGATGTTTTGGGCGTTACATCGCGCACAGCTCTGATCTGGCTCTCATTGGGTAATCAAAAAGTTAATACAAGTTTACAATGCACAAGATTTGAGGGCGCATCTTACTGAGATGATTGTTGCATAGAACATGACCACATTCTGTGATCCAAAATGGAACGGGTGGTCCGCGATCGCTTGATGTGAACGGTAGTTGGCATATGGAGCAGTGGACAAAGTCCCAGAAGTCAAACTCTGCCTCCTGCATGACTTGCTCGTTTGTGTTGGACATGATACAAAGAGTGCGATGCGGACGTAAGAAGCAACTTCAAGTTATCCCGTTCGAGCGTTATAATAGACGCCCGTAATTATGTAAGTGAAGGTCAAATGAAAACTTGAATTCGCTTCTTGCCACAGGATTCTTGTCATCCACTCAAGGACGCATTTTGAAGACGAAGGAGTTGGAAGGATTGCCATCCTTCACCATATCATGCCGAATACCACTGCTCCAGTTTCACATTCGGAGCTGCGATCAGATACGACACATAGTCCGGCCTCAGATTCGAACCCATACTATGGACGCCACTCCATTGTCAATGATGGTGCTAGATACCAAACCAAACCATTAATCTCCACCAAGGGCTGGACCCTCGCGCAGTTGATCAAAAAATCGCCTAATTTTTGTCCAGTGGACAGGGTCCGTTTTGACGATCCGATGCTAATCCAGACAATTCGGATGTACGAAGAGTCTGGTGCCCCCTTAATCATTGAAGGATTCCATGAACACGATAGCTGGCCCGCCGATCTGTTTACCTTGGATTGGCTCAGTGAGCATGGGAAACCGGGTAAGGCATTATTTCTCATGATCGAACGCGTGCCACTTGACTGAGACGCGAATCCAAAGGGGCGTTCGCACGCAACGTGCACACCTGGGCTGATTTCGACCTGCCCCTTTTAGAGCTCATCCATAAACTTCGTGCGACACCAGTATACGCTAATGAAAATGGTGAGGATGCTGTATCACGTCACTCTTTATGTCATCTCACTTTCGCCAGAAACCGAGCGACTGTATGGCAAAGATGCGGAATGCCCGCACGAGTGGGCAAATTGGCTATCAACGTCTAGCGTCCTCCCAAGCGATCTTCTGCCTCACGGAACCAATGATTACCTAAAGTACCTTTCGGTCAGTTCGTTTACACTTTGTGGCTATCCATATAATCAGCTTCGATCAGAGTGATGTTCAGACTTTGATGTGCTACCTCGGAGTAGGGGACACGTTCACTCCTTTCCACAAGGATCTTTGTGCATCTTCTGGCCAAAATCTTATGTGTTATACTGAGAATGGTGGTTCATCTTTCTGGTTCATGACAGAGAGTTCAGCTGCACCAGCCATGGCTGCATTTTTCCAGAAGATGAACGAAGAATTAGACTTTGAGACACATGTCGTAACCACGAAAGAGTTGGAGCAGTCGAGACTAAAAATCTACATTGCGGAACAAACCCTTGGCGACTTGGTACTCGTTCCCCCAAGAAGCTGTCACCAAGTCATCAACAATGGTGGCATCACGATGAAAACATCCTGGTCGCGTATGACTCTCAAAGGGTTGTCGAATGCTCTTTATCATGAACTTCCCGTATATCATCGGTATGTCTCTTTAACATACTCGTGCGTTTCGCAAATTTAGTGACATACTTATGCAGTGTATGCCGACCGGAAACATACAAGGTCAAGTTGAATATATATCGCGCCCTTCACCGCCAGACACAGATGCTTCGTGAACTTCGGCAGCAGACAAGTTCTCCTCACTCCAATCGATCATCGCTCACTGTGAACTCGGACCTTGAGCGAGTCGCTGATGATCTCCATCACTTACTTGAGTTGCTTGATGATGTCCTCGGGGAAGAATATTCACCAAAGCATCAAGATATGCTGCATGTTTCGCAATCCGATACCTGCCATCAAAATGACATCTGCTGCGACTTCTGCGGCGCGGATATCTTCCAGAGTTTCTTTGAGTGCATATCCTGTGCTCTTCATCTATCTGGAACCGATGACGAGATGAGGATCGGGGATGGTATCGTGGTTTGTCCTCTTTGTTACGTCGAGGGTCGTGGTTGTAATTGCGGGATCATGAATCCCACTCAATGTCGGCCTTTTGGCGATCTGCTAAGAGCCCGCGATGAAGCCCTACATGCCATTCGAGAAGTATGTCCTGACATCGTGAAAGACCACAAATGTCTACTAGGGAATTTAAAGTGAGTATACTCATGCTTGTAGGAGGCTACTGGTTGATTGCGTGTTCAGTTCTATCATATCAGCACGTCATGTCGGCGTCTTCATAGCTGCATGCGTCTTGTATGAACGACGACGGATATTCTCTGACATTGAAGAGCCGCTGCGCATGTGCTTGTCAAAGCATGAAGATTCTCATAGTGCGATAATCTACTGCTCACTCTGTCATGTCGGACGATGCACGACTCATATATTGGAGGGCTACCGTACGCATGCTGCGCTGGCGTTCTTGATGTCAAATGATATCAAAGTGTGGCATAGCTACCACAAGGAATCCAAGGCAGCGTTTAGGGAAGGATATGCACGCATCCAACACGACGAAGAGACTGGGGCGCGTCCGGATTTTCACTTGAAGTTGGCATACGTCGCATCCAAATTTCGTACATGCAAGTCTATCAACCCGAACGCGACGATACCAGGGTGGTACGATAAATGCATAGAGCTAACTAGTGCGTCTGTGAGAGGATTCCCATTCTTATTGTTTCCGCGCAGCAGCTAAAATATTGACAAGGTTGCATCATCGCCTTTCCGTAAATCTGCAAGCTCCAGTGAATTGGCATCGCTTCCAAGCGATTTTCAAGGTAGTTCAACGAGCTACCATGCGGCTGGTACTTTCGGCGTTCATGAATCATTTCCCACAACTCGGAAACGTCCGAGCGTACCACTTGCAAATGGCAAGAAGCGAAGGTTTGTTATGGACTTTGTATCTGTCCCCCCCCTTCCATGTAATAGGCCTTCATCCAGCATGCTCGACGATACAACGACTCATATAGGATCTTTGGTATCTGCCCCACATTCGTGTTCACGTATCAGGTATTGACGTAGGACATGTAGCCAGGTGAAGATGGTACATCTTCAAGAGTTGACGCTTATTCTCGAGCCCAAACGCGGGATGTCGATGAGGAGTATGAGCAGCTCGATACCTCTGCCAGCAGTTCGGACGGTCGGCCTTCAAAGAAGCAGCGTGTTGGTCCTCCCGGCAACAGACTGTCAAGAAAAGGGCCCCTGAGATTAGAGAAACAGTAGGTTCATCTATCGAGAGTGGGAGTGTGGCTGAGCGTATCGCTGCATAGTGCGTCAAATGGCAAAGTCTATCTCACGAACAAGCCTCGACTCCCCGTTAAATTACTCCCAGACTCTCACAACCTCGCCAAGAAAGAAGCAATACTCGATAACGTTCAATCAGTGCCCCAGAAGCTACGCTTGGCGCTGGCCGAAAATGAAAAGCTGAGAGTTGCTAACGCCAAATTGGAGACAGACCATCAAATACTGGAAGACAAGTTGTGCGCTGTACAAAAACAAAACGTGGAATTAATAACCATGTCGAGAAGCTTCCGCGCACAGTCCCGCAAGAAGCGCAACAGTCTTGACTCTATTGGACAAGGCCCTGTCAATTATCCTTTTGCATCCGCTCCTCCGATTCACAAGCACCAAGAAAGTCGAGGCTTTTTTACTAGCGCTAGCACAGCAGTGCCTCCTACCCAGTCGCGTGTCCCAGCACGGCCTATGGACGGAAGTTCTTCTACCATTATAGGCACCCAAACCCAAGAGATGGGCCACTCTTTCCATATTGGACATCCTTCTGCGGGTCACTATCTCTCCATCCAAAGCATGCCGCGTCATGAGCTGGAAGGGCCGCATATGGACACAACGCAGCAGTCCTATGCCCAATCTGACGATGAGAATGATCCACCCGAGACACTCGTCGCGGAGCCTACCCGAGCTCAAAGCCAAGTTGGTTCTTCTGATGACGAAGGCAAATTTCTCTCACTCCTGGAAACTGAAACCTTCTCGTCTATCTCCGCTGGCATGGAGCACTGAGCTTGCGCAGTATCAATCTTACCCTTAATGATCAGATCTGATTCCATAGTCAACTTTACATAATTGTCCCTCAACTGACCACTTTACTGCACATATCTCAAAGCATAATTACTCCTGCAGACCACTTCCGTCACCAATTTACTTACACACTCCTGGTAGTCTGTGAACCCGTACAAAGATAGTCAAAAGCAAGATTTGATCATTTGATCAAAGCTACGGCAGGCGTCCAAACATAAACCGAGAAAGTGGATATTAGGTGCAAGTAATGAATGGGTATATCAAAGCGTCGAAAGTAATGACTGACGATGGATGGAGTTACGTTGATCATAGCATGGAACAGAAATAGGGGAAGAACCAGAAGTTGGCGACAATCAACCGCACCGGCATGTGAGGATTCTCCAGATACTCGACTTTGGTTGGGGAGGGTCGTCATCCTGTTGCTGGCGGTAGTCCTCGCCGCGAGAAACACCTGCTTCATTGCCGTGGGCACGCACTGTACTTATTGCGGGTGGAGCAGCCCCAACAGTTGACACCATAGGAGATGCACGTCCGTATGCAGCTTGAGATCCGTATGGTTCCTCACCTGCGTCCCAGCCATATTCACCAGTAGCCGCATTCGCGTAAGGATGTTGCTGCGCACCGACATTATTAGATCTGTTTTGTGGTGTCGAGATTGGAACGTTAATCTGAGCAGCAGCAGAGAGAGGGGTAGCAGTGCCACCAGGTGCATTTCCTGCTCCAGGGGTAAGCACATTAGGGACTCTGCGCTTCGAGCCGTGCCTAACGAGCGCTGGTGAAGGCGGGTTGACTCCACCAGTCTGAGATGTGCGGCGCCAATCTGTATCCCGACGTCGTTCCATATCTTTTCGACGGTCTTGCGGCGCAGGTGTTACGGCCGCATTCTGTATTTGAGCAAGTACTTGCGATTGCCCCTGCGCAAAACGATGAAATCCTCGCATTTCGGAAATTGAAACTTCACCTACTTGCGAAGCCTCCCAACCTTTACCACCTGTATAATTTGACAAAAGATCAATAAGGAGATTACCAGACGCAATGAAAGTTGTACCATTCAATAAGTTCCAGTCAAAAATGCCATCGTCTAGGTCGTTGTTATTCTTCATGACTTTGGAAAAGAGGTCCCTCAAGAAATCATAGTCCGGAGTCTCCTCAAATCCAAGCTTTCGAACATAGTTCAAGTAGATACCGAATTCCTCTGTACGAGAGTTACTGGAGCATTAAGAAGACACTTGAGGAATCAACAAACCTGGATATCCCTCACATAAATCCTTGATGGGTGTCGTCTGCTTCTTTTCTCCAATCTTTTCGTACTTTTGCTTGTTGGTGGCAGCCTTTAGCCCTTGCCAAGGTAGGCTTCCCCGCAAGAAGTACATGAAGACATGCCCAAGCGCTTCTAGATCGTCTCTCCGAGATTGCTCTACAGAAATAAGTCAATGCGACCGATCGCGATGGAAACACATACCTCGCCCCAAATGAGTATTGATGCTCATGTATCGCGCCGTGCCACTCAGACTTTTCCGTTCCCGGTAAGGAATGTGCTGCTTGGTTTTAGGATCGCGGTATTGTTTAGCCATTCCAAAGTCAACGACATGAATGACTATGAGACACATGTGAATGTAATATCCGCCATGAACGTAGGAAACTTACGATTGGCCGCCTTCGTGCCAGGGCGCCCAATGAGGAAGTTGTCAGGCTTGATGTCACGGTAAATGAGGTTTTTGTCATGGATAGTTTGTACCCGGGACAACTGTTGATGGTTAGACGATGGAAGAAATCTGAAAAACAGAGTGACACGCACCATTTGTCGGGCTGCCATGCACACCGTCTTGATAGAAAACTTGCGGCCGCACATATCAAATAGATCCTCCAGGCTCGGGCCCAAAAGATCAATCACCAAAATGTTGTGGAGGCCCTCCTGCCCAAAGTGATATATTTGAGGAATACCAGCTACAATACGCGTGAATTAGACTTCATTTACTTGTGAGTCCAACAATTTTACGCACTGCAGCCAGCCAGAATACGGTATGAACGACATTCATCTCGGAGCTGAGGTGCCTCTGCTTTGCGTGGCTCCTGCAACCAAAGAAGATATATAAGGAATAAAGGCAGGGATCACTAAAGCAGAGCACCCACAAACTTGATGGCGACAGTCGTAGAGTTTAGCAGGTTCGTTCCTAAGACGCTATGGTCAGCCCAAACCGAAATACTGTTGAAAGAGGTGCGAACCTTCGAAGATAACACCGAATGAGCCTTCCCCGATTTTCTTGCCAACACGGTAATGCGCCCCGACTACATTCGCCGTGCCAGAGTTATGGGAAGACATGAGAGATGTATGAAAGGTTATGATGCAGAAGAAAGATAGACCGTGTACAGGGCAAGGACAAGGCCTTCAAGGCCTTCTACTGCCTCTGCGGCGGCGGTGGACAAACGTTGAGGGTACAGACCTCGGTCAAAACCGAGCTTGCCAAAACAAGCGACTCCCTATACAGTTGCATTGCGTGTGACGCCGTAGATTATCAATGCATCAGCATGTCTCTACATCTAACTAACGAGTCACGATACGTATAAATAATAAATAGCAGCACAAACTACGTTATTTGAATTCTCATCTCACCCGAAAAGAAGCTTGAGTCCGGGGACAAGCTTCCAGAGCATGGAGAAAATGTAACCAACGATGGAAACCATCAAACCAACAAGTGCATAGTTCGTCAGCGCCGCTTTCCTTTGCTGGTAAAACCACTGCTCTCCACCCACCACCTTGAAATCATCCCAACGTGGCTTTCGCATGATCCACCAGTAGAGCGACATCATACCAGGGAACGTGGCTAAATTTTTGGCGCCCGCCTGATTGTCGCCTCGATAGTATGAAAAACAAGAAAAGAATACGGTGCTCTCCATACGCTTTTGAATCCAGGTGTTGTAATAGGTTGTAGCCTTTTGGGTGACTTGGAGTGATTTCGCCTTGCCATTGATGATAGGCTTCATCAGCTTGAGAATATAGCCGACCTAGCGTGACATAACCTCATGTTAGATCACAATAACTCCAACTTTCTAAAAACACATACCTGAGTCTCAATGATGAAAATAAGGGAAGCATGAGCCGAAGCACTGTTGGGCCCTGACAAATTTATCAGGTGTCAAATTGCAATGGAAGAATCAGCCTTGAATCAGCCAACCACTAACCCACGATTGTGAACAGGTTTGGAAACCCAGGGAAAACCGTTCCGTAATAGCCACCTTCTGATTCAAAGTAATGCTTCAGAGTGCGGCCACCGATTCCGCGGAAAGCTATTTCGCGTTCGACCTGCACAATATCAGATATTAAGTACACGTGAGGGTTATTGCCAGATTGAAAATCACCAGGTAAAAGCCGGTACCAAAGATGATTGCGTCAAGTGGTACTTTGTCACCAGTCTTGAGAACGATGCCATCCTCGACAATTTCTTCGATTCCGGTCCAATTCAAATCAACGTTGGGCTGGTGCAAAGCGGCCAGGTAGTTAGAATCAAGAACCAGGCGTTTGCATCCAGGAGCTATTTAGCAGCTGTCAAGTCACGATCATCAATATTGTAAATTGCTCACGGTAGGTGGGAATCAGGTCATTGAGGTATTTCGCTGGTGCGGTGCTTCGGATGTACCACGTCAGGAGCTAAACATCATTATTAGAGATATCGGATAGACAGAGAAATTGATGTTACCTTCTTGAAGACTGTATTGAGAGGTGAATTTGCCAAGAAAACGCCCCATAAAAGATCACCCTGGGGTTTAAAAAGTCAGTTTCAGCCAAAACGAGAAATGTCTGAAGTTGTACCGTTATCATCATGAAACATCTATATGCGTACATGAGAAACGGAACATGGGCGAATGCCCACTTGACCCAATTTGAGTAATGGTAGTTCGACTTGAGTGTTTCACCATTCAGCACGATATCGAGCACAAGCATAAAATCATACCCTGAGTGCGATCCATTGTGGGGTGCGACAAAAGTTTATGACCCGAGTGGTAGGTTCGGCAGCGATGGCCGGTACGAACTGAGTTCTGTAGGGCAAAAGTTATTTAAGACGTGGCATTTGATAAGCAGCAATTTACGCAGAACAGCCATTGCCGATAACGCCGACAGTCATCCCTTTCAAATCTACGTCATGCCTCCACTGGGAAGAATGCCAGAGTGGTCCTGTGAATTTCTCCTTTCCAGGAATATCCGGATACATCGGCGCTGTAAAAAATCCGACAGCCTGGATAACAACTTCCGCTTGGGTTTGTATCATCTGACCAGATGTTACATCCTCTAGGGTTAAGTTATGCACGCCCTTTTCTTCATCCCATTCAACAAGCTTAACGCAAGTATTGAATACTGTGCGGGAAGCCAGGTCGTGTTTTTGATATATCTCCTCCCAGTATGTGCGTATCTCGGGCTGTGTAATGTAGTAGTTCTCCCAGTATGGATTTGGTTCCGTCGAAAGGGAATACCAATGCCCAGGAACGTCAGACCCACAACCCTGGTGGAAGATTAAGTAGTCAAGTTTAATGAGAGGATACTATCATACAGGATATGTGTTGTCCTGTAAGGCACAATGAATTTAATTCTGCGCAATGCTGTGAATGACTAGTGACTCACTCGCCACGTTCCACCGATGGATTCCGCTTTTTCATAAATCTGGAAAAGGTCAAGTTCGTACCCTACAGGATATTGTTTAGGATGGCTTACCACGAAGTTATCATGGTGCAACTTGTTTCTCAGATTCACAGCCATGGTGATCCCGGCAATGCTGTCGTGCTCAATTAAGTATTATAGCATTTGACATGACAGCAAGAACATACCCTGCACCAACTATAACCACTCGGGGTGTGTTGCGATTCATGTTTGACAGTTGGTCGTGAGTAGAAAGAAGGTTGCGCAGCATGGTAACACGCCCATGGGAGTATAGGTCAAAGGCTGTACCTTTGTTCCGACCAGGTCCGGACAAATGATTGAGACCCAAGTCATTGTACGGGAGAATCGTGTAACACAACGTTGAGTTTTACGTCTACGCGTATCCAAATAGGATATTCCTCGCCTTGGAGGATTTGTGGTTCACTCAATCATCAATATTCGATTCCCCTTGGCGATGCTTGTCAGTACCAAATTTAGAATGACGTCACCGAGAGAAGATAAGACTGCATGTCATGTAGAACACATCAAATACAGAGAGTGAGTGAAAGATGATATCAGGACAACAAGCAGGAGGGTAACTAAAAATTAACATACTCAGACAGAGCCTTGCCACAAATGAATTAAGTCCAATCCAGTATTCCGTGCGTAGTGCGTTTTTACCATACAAGCGAGGCAACGCTCAACCCCTGAGCTTCTCATCGAAACTCAAAGTTGGAGCTAAAGCGTTCCGGGACGTGACTGAGTGACAGCTGTTGATATCTAGCAGGGTCGGTCAGAAGTATCAAACTCAAAAATGTCATATACGTACGGTTCAGAGTTCTGATGGAAGTAAAATCCGCTCATTGTTGCAGCAGGAGGATGAGAACGTGGACCAACTGATAGGCCTCGACCTCCTCGTCTGACGCTGGAATCTCTCCGCTTCCGTACAGTGGGGATTGTCTCCGTTTTCCCGAGAGATGGGGAATGGGACAACGGCGAATCATTAATTCCGTCCTTCTCGAGCGGAACAGACTGTGTGACTGGGCGAAGCGCGGAGGTCGATGAAGGAGGCTGGGGATTGAAATCGACACAAACATAATAAAAGCCTAGTCGCCGTAGAAGCACGTATTGTTATATCAGAAACTGCAGATCCTTGTCGGGCCGGCCACGTTGTGACCCGCGCCAAATAAAAAGACAGGCGCTCACCTGCGAAGCTCGCGCCATTGATATCTTGTACTCTGTGATTGGGTACCAAGAACCGTTCCTTCCATCTCATGAAGACCGCGCCACGATCACGATCGGGGATGGTCAGGTTAGGTTTTTTCAACTCGTTTTTTACATGTCGGAATGCAGGGAAGCGCTGCCAGTGAACCATGTCCTCTTGTTCATTGGCACCCCAATTTTGGGTCAAGAATCCATAACGACTGCCTATGATTTCTGCGTCAAAATAAGTGGTCAATTCAGGCCAGTCATCTGTCAAGCCGCGGATGCGGAGATATCCACAAAGAAACGAGGAAGAAAAGTCTACATCCTAGTACGAAAATGAGCATCGCTGAACATTAAGATTAATCCTCAGCCTCGACGTACGACGATGTTGACATTCACTTCATAGCTATTCCTGCCGCTTTTCTGTGTACCTTGGAACACAGCACCAGGATATAAACAATGATGGCCTTGAGAGCGCACACGAATATGCGTGATGTCAAGAAGGGGGTTTGGAGAAGAGTAGGAGGTATTTATACGCAGAGAATGAGAATCCGTGGAGACGTTATTGCGGAACTGGTTGGACAGGGGTCTTGACGATGTGGTAGCATGAGTGTGGATGGGTTTTGGGGTGACGGGTATGGGCGACTGTGAACACGTAGAATGGGGGAAAGATGGAATAGAAATTGTAGGACAGAGAGAAGAAATTGTTGAACTGGGTGTAGGAGCATCGTCTAAGTCCATATCGTGACCAAAGATGCCTTGCAAGTCTGCAATATGACCGAGCGGTGCGCTATTCAACTGGCCAGAGACGGTGGTAAGCGTAGTTCGGGTAAATGAAGCGCCGGCATCATCATCTGCAAAGGCATCATTATCTTGTTGTCCTTGTGGTTGCATATCGCGACACCAAGCACACATAGTGTTGGAATCGTGGTCGTCCTGCATGAGCACAGCATTGGATGAATCGAGTGGGTTATTGCAATACAAGCAATATTTGGTTGCCTGAGCAGCTTCTGTTGGTGTTTGATCTGTTATGAGAGAGTATGTGTTTTCGACTGGCATATTGTTGAAGACTGAACTTGGGAGAAGTTGAAGTGGGTGCGAGGTCTGGTTGTCAACTTGAGTATGTGTATGACAGTTTTGGTACCTGAGCTGTTCACGTGCTCCTCAAAGAATCCACGGCTTGTTCAGGCCAACTGGGGCTGACAACAACCGGCGCCAAGGGACTCATATCATGAGCAATAGTGTCGCTGAGTCCTTGCTGAATTTTTAACATATTCTTTCATTTACGCTCCAGACAAGCGCTCAATTGGAAGACCACGCGTTTGTTGTTGATCCAAGCATGGTTCATTAATTGACGCTCATCGTGTCACGGTTGAGTTGGAAATTCGAATCTCGCGCGATACTTCTCAGACGCTCGAGCCTCGAGAATAGGTCGAGTGGCATTTGGCACTCGGTGCATGCGGCACATGGCAAGCTGTGAACGTTCCACCCAAGATCATCGTAGCCAAGGGGCCGAGGCCAAGCTTCGACTTGCGCGCTTCTGTTGCAGGGTCATCTACCGTGACATACCGTCAACTTGACAGCTGCAACACGAGTCCACGGATCATTTCAGGTGCACCATACCCGAAGATCACCGCAATAATTCGTGATATGTAGGGTCTCCATTAGCGCCTGGATCCTAGTCAGGCGTCTGCACAACAAGCTGAATACTAGCAATAAAGGCGCACGACGCGTAATCCTATTGTCGTTGCTGGCGCCTAAAATATTGCTTCGTTGGCTATCTACATGATAAGGCTATGGATGCTTATTCAGGCCATAATTCTCTGCCAGTACGGCATTGAAGACCCTGTGAATTGACGAATGGCAGTCAAGACCCACCTAGCGCCCACCAGTTGAGCGTGCTCGAGGGATCGATCAACGCACAGTTCCGATCATCCTAGGCTTCCTAGCAAGCGCCTGCACGTTGTCGCACATGGTGCAAGCCAGCCTGATCGGTATCGTTTGCTGTGTTTTCTTTCGTCACGCTAACGTTCCAATTCTAAATCGACGATCATCATGAAGGAACCTAAAAAAAATCATACTGGCACTTGAATTCAACGGCCCATTTGGAGATACTTGCCGGCGTCTATGTGTGGTGCCGCTGAAAGCCGATGAGGGTAACTGAAGCTGTGAAGGCAAGTTTTCTGTCAAGTCCGTAAAATGCCGAATTACAGCTTATCGTTTGGAAGCTGCTGTGGTGGTGGTGGTAGTAGTAGTAGTAGTGCAATTGTTGTTTCGCGTTTAACCCACAGCAATCAAGCGCTATCCATCAAGATATCTTGTAAACATTCGGAAGTTTACGTGGTATGTTTCGCAGCATCATGATGCCCCTGTGTATGTTCTGATGGTCCTCGGAGGTTATAAATGCATGTGGGGTAAGTCAGTGTCGACGGGGGCAATACGATCCTGGTCCCTGGAGGCGTGGTCGTCGATTATTCGCTTACGAGCCCTTCTAATCTGATCGATTTCCTTGTCCGAATTTCTTATCTATAAAGATACCGCCAACCGCTATTGCATACTACTAGTGCCACAATCATATCAATGCGCCATCATGATCGTCGGTCCTCCACTCGCCGACTTTGCACACAATATTCTTCCACAACGGCTCCCACTGCCAGCAAGGTGCGAGCGTCACTGACATTCAACCTAATCCGAATATCAAGTCATCAAGCTTAATGATTTCAGGTAACTTCTACTGGTAGTGTCACCCGTCTGCAATCCGCGCAGCGTCGCGGCAGGGCTATCAACAAAGATCGAGAACTTGAAAGGGAACAAGACGCTGAAGGCGAAGGTTTTGATGATCTCATCCATTGGGTATGTTAGCGATCGCTGTGCGTCGACAACATGACTAATCTGATGGTCTTTCAATCAGCAAGATGGTGATGCAATTATCAGATTCAAAAAAGTGCTTGATCACGCAGATCCCGCTGTCCCCACAGCAAGTGAAATTTTGCTTCCCAAGCTAGTTTTAATAAAAGTATACAGAGCTCCAGGACGTTGACAAGGCGTGAACCCTTTGTTCACAGAGAAGAAAGGACAACACATGATATCGTGACTCCACGGGGAACGTGCGGCAATACGATTCCCGATGATTACGTGAAGGATTTCCTGAGCTCCTTGCGGCCCAACTTGGAGCCCAAGATTCAGGAGTTCAAGAGAATCGGCCTTGATTCAAAAACTACACTGGATGCCTTCGTCCGATGGCAGGCATCTGAACGGGAGGGCTGGATTTTGTCTCAAAATCTGTACCTCCAACTTACACCGTTGGAACTCAGTGGATTGATGCTGGGCATAGAGAGATTGTCAGATGGGGGCAACGGGGCATGATCGCAACTGTATTCCGAACAGTCAGCTACAAGTTCTATTGCCACAACTTGCAGGAGAAGTAACCGTGTGTGCGGTCCGAAAACGTTTCATGAATGTGGGTAATTGCATTTGCGCTAAGCAGGAAAAAGAGTAAGAAAGAATGTATCGATTGGATTGGTGGCTGATCCATGAGAGATTTAATATGAAAACCACAATATGGGATGAAACGGTCGTATCAAAGCGTAAGTATATGATGAATCACGAGATTACAGTTCATCGTCCTCTTCCGGAAGCGGGACAGCCTCCGCCTGGCACAAGTACGATTGAGCGATTAGCACTCCATAGACAGGAAAATAGTGACATACCTTCTTCAACTCTTCCTCGTATTGTTTCATCAACTCAGGGTCAACGTGAGCCTCGGCCGGGGCCAGGGCAGGGGCCGCTACGAAATCTAGGTCATGGTTACTGCATGATGTTTATCAACGAAATGGAAGCGGCGCTAGTTGAGAATGGACGTACCCAACCAGCTTCCTTGCAAGCCACAGGAACGGTTTCTCGAAGTTGTAGTTTGATTTGGCGGAGATTTCAAAGTAAGGCAGGTTCTTTTTGCGGTTAAATGTGACAGCGCCTGTCTTCACTTTGCGCTCCTGAATTACACGATCGAGTCAAAAGTGGCCACGCAGAAGATATGATCCTGACTGACCTTGACATCAACCTTGTTTCCGCACAATACAATGGGAATGTTCTCGCAAACACGCTCAAGATCGCGGTGCCAATTTGGCACATTCTTATAGGTGATTCTGGAAGTGACATCGAACATGATAATGCCACACTGGCCCTGGATGTAATATCCATCACGAAGACCACCAAACTTTTCCTGTCCAGCAGTATCCCAGACATTGAAACAGATCGTGCCGAAATTTGTGGAAAAGGAAAGTGGGTGGACTTCGACACCGAGAGTGGCTATACAAAGAGGAGATCAACCGGAACCGGATTATTATAGCTGCTCTGCGATTTCAAGGCGCATAGCTCACCGATGTACTTCTTTTCGAATTCACCAGTGAGATGGCGCTAAGTATCGGGCAAATCAGATTGTGATCGCTCAGACGCGGAACTGTATTACTCACCTTCACGAACGTGGTCTTGCCGGTACCACCATCACCGACTGATTTTTCCCATCAAAGACGCGACAGATAGTGCAATACGAAGCACGCGATGTTTGGAAAGAAACACAAAATCAAGATCATCAAGAATGAGCCACAGAACATCAGCATCATGATCACTGCAAGCAAGATGAGTGCAAACACTCACCAAGGACCAGCTTAAAGGTAGGAATCTGAGCTTGTGCCATGGTAAGACTGTCGTCGTTAGAGAAAGAAAACGATGAACAAGAGTCGAAAGACAGAAATCAGGAGATGAGATAAGGTTTGGTTGCCACTTTGACGAGAAATTTCCCATATCTGGAAAGTTCCCACGTTTGACAAAGTTGTTCACAAAATGACATCCAGGTGAGGACCGAGCCGCATCGAAAAATTACATCCAATTCTCAAATTCAAAGTTGTTATAACGGATCAAAGTAGCATCATGGTTTCATTGGATATGTACAGATACAAAGAGTAGGACCAAATATTTCTGATAGAAGGATATGTATGCGTCATGGTTTCACCCGACCGTCAAGGCCACATAGTAGCAACTTTCCCAAAGGAAAGCGGGTACGGAAGATACAGGAATATGACGCCGCACCATCACAATAGCTCAGCCCTCATCCTCTGCAACAAATCAACACCGTGAGGTGGACTCAACCGCAAAGGATATAACGAGAGCGAACCAAGCAACAACGCTCAATCTTGTGAGCACCCCGAAGAGCGCCTCGCTCCATCAACCAGAAAGTAACAACGCCATCCAGAAGAACGAACCTCTGTGCTGTTAGCTAACGCTTCAGGCGGTTGAATGGACACTGAAGAATTTCACGCTAAAAATTTGCAGCTCATTATATACATATTTTTGAAACTCCGCTAGGTCCCGACTCGCGTTTGCCGATAGGCGACGCGTCGTGTCGTAATAATTTTGAAGAGTGGTGTACCACAATGTCAAGATCGTCGACGTTACCGAGACCAAGAGAATCTGTGTTTACAGGTGGCCTTGACCCATATCGTGGTGATGTCAATGTCGTTTGTCCGCCAAACCTCCGCGAGTGCGTCCTTGCTATGGAAGATTGCTGCGAAGAGGTGGGAGAACTAGGTCGATATCATAACGCGCTATAGTTCACGTCACCATCATCAGGCGCATGAAGCTCAACAACTTCTTCGAAACGGGACATTTGATCTGCCCCGCATGCGCAAGGTCCTTGAAAGCCAAAGGGTAACACCATATTAGCTCCCTACAACTACACACCGTGTAACTCGTTACAGGTATTCCTTCTAATCGACGAGGGCACAGTGCACAAATATAAAGCTGATCTTGCAGACGAGATTGAGCCTCAGATCAATGAACTTATCGATCGTGCAGAGAAAGGTCTCAATGCTTTAACTCGTCGAGAGGGCTTGATTCAAAGCAAGGTGAGCAATCTACCTCTTGTCTTGCACAACATGACTTGACGTGCGAAGGTTGAAGTTGCACAGGCCATGCAGTCTAGAGTCGCGACAGCACCCACCTCAAATAAGCGCGAAGAAAGACGCCTGCAAATGCTCTCAAAACAACGTCGGCGACTTGAAGACGAAGTAAAAGTTCTGGAATCAGAGATACTAGCCCACACCCTCGGCACGGGAAACAAGCGGAGTGCTTCGCGTTCCTTTGCACCTTGATTTTTTTTTGGTATTGTGCATGCAAAACTGTACTTATTCTGTATATTTTTTTGATATGGTAAATTTGACTCATTTAGTATGCAAAAGTACTCTTGGCACCTCAGTCTCAGTCTTTTACTTACCCTCACTGTCGCATGATGTGGGAGCCAGAACTCCCGCGACCGTTGCCAGCGTGCATTCTGCAAGAAGTCTTTTCCACAGCGCCGATTTACGACCTCATTTTATGTGATCTGAGCCCTCGCACCCTCGTGTGGCTTTCGCGCACATGTCGTCGTGCACATGAGGCAGTAACTCACTTTACCCGCCGTGCGTACAATATCAACCGACACTTGTCTCGTTATTTCCCGGATCCCCTTGCATTTCGATCCCTCCAAGCACGCACCGGACTAGTCATTTCAGGCTCCAATGCGTTGCAGTTCCTTGATAGGAGCTTTTATCCCGAATCAGACCTTGACCTCTACGCTCATCCTGGTCACGTTTACGAGGCACTAGAGTGGCTCGAGTCTGTTGGGTATAAATTCCAACCTGAGTCGTGGCAGCAACAGGATTGGCACGATGAAGTTTCAGCTGACTGGGATGGTACAGCAAGAAGAGTCGACCGACACGGAGAGATGATGATCAATCATGAACCAAACATGGAGTACTCTGATGTCGTTGGTGTTTACACGTTCACGCGTTCTGTAGCTATGGACACAGAGACGGTAGTGCTCAAGGTTCAAATCATCGCAACAAAGTGCAATCCTATCCAGACTATCACGCAATTTCATTCAAGTTTGTCAAATTGTCGCTTTTCCTTTGATTATTTTTGACACTGTACTCGTAGCTTGCGTGATGAATATCATTACGTTCAACGCAGCTTATTCCTTTTACCCCGTTGCAACCTTCGAGGAGCGAATGGCTATCCAAATCCCCGGCTCGAACCAATTGGATGCCGTCGCAAAGTATGTGCAGAGGGGTTGGAGAGTCTACGCAGTGTTCGGGCCGGAACATGCCGCTCGTCCCCAACTATTTCTTTTGGACGAGAAGAGGTGGGTGGGCGATCGTCACTGTTGGTCCATTCCTCTGGACACTACGGGGGTCACGCCCCGCCCACAATTGTCCATATCCTCAGAACACTTCTCCTGGGACCCCTCAATCGAGAATGGTTGGATAATGGAGTGCGGAGGTTATTCTACCGCTACCCATGTACCAAAAATTCGCACCCATCTAGTCATGATCACCATTTTCCGTTACAACTATAGCTATCCTGATGCCAAGCTTGCCCAAGCAATTCGTGACTGGTCGCTGTCCCAAGGCCAACTTAACCACACACAATTAACAAGACAGAATTGGATATGGTGTGTTCATCTCTACCCAAATGGTGCATCGCATTAACATATGTGTACCAGGTTCGACGCTGAAATTCCAAGGTTCCGGGGTGTGTGGAGTTCTCATGGGCAGAAATGTACGAATTATCGGAGAAGATGAAACGTGTATTGTATTTGTTGGTCACAAATTTTTTATGACAGTTGGCAACTGATTTTCAAAATGCCAACATTGAACGCTGAGCTTTGTTGGTCGGGCACGAGGTGACACCTTTGCCACTGTACATCCGACAAGTCGGCTTTTGATGAAATGACGTTCGCGACGGGCTCCGAACAATGCAGCCCAGAACCTGAACAACCAGGTCGACAAAGACCACTGAGAATTTCAAGTGCAGCTCAGCGCTCATTGCTATCAATTGTCCATACCGTCGATGCATTCACGATGCTACACTGATGCCCCTCCAATATTTCAACAGAACGCCTTCTTGTAAAGAAACATTTTCAACCTCAGCGTCTAGAGGCTTGACTTGTTTGAGCACGGATAATCATTGCAGAGCACTGAGCGCTCATCCAACACGGAATTCTAGGAGATACCGATCTGCGCTAGATAACAAGCTCCTCCAATCTATACAGCCCAACACCGAGTGCAATCTGTTGTTCTTGATGTTTGCGTCTTTTTCTCCATTCGTTCGGAGTTTCCTTCGGCGTTCCTTCAGCCCTCTCCTTCACTATTCGGTTCTGAGCTTTGGCGAAGGGTTCCAATGCCCCTCGAAGGTTCCCCACACGCTCATGAAGTCCTATCTCGGGTTCTATGTGTGACATGATACTTCGTAGCAAATCGTGCGACGGAGGGAATTGCAACAGGGAAACAAACGAAGCGTCCAACAAGACTTGCAGGAAGGATATTGTCTGTAGAGCGTCAGACTTTATCTTGGCCACTGGATGCAAGCATACCTTATCGTACGGCGGGGCTGCACCGCCACGGTGTTCTATTGAAGTGTTCGATGCCACAGATTTTAGAAGGGTACGAATGTACTCCTCGGTTCCACCGACTGTCCAGCCGTCCAGCAATTCTAAGATGAAAATGAGATCTTGTGCATCTGGCAAGTGTTTTCTGATGGCCAGACGCAGTGCAGCAGGAGACGTTGGATATGAAACACACATCAGCATATACGCCGATAGAGTTGGGGTCCAGGCCTTATTGCTATCCACATTCATGACCTCTGGATCGGGCTGTGGCTCTCGTTGCTCATCAATAAGCGCCTTGGCTAGGGAAATCATCTCGTCCTCAGATATATCGACTACTGAGTTGAACGACAACATGATGCTTTCCTATTGCACGAGCTATTATTGACTTTATCAAGCTAGAGACAGGAATCACCCACCCAGTCGCCGTATCGTTTTAGTGCTGTGAGAAGTCTGCCGTCTACCATGCCTGCGCTGACGACGCGACTCTCAATCAAGTGCCGCATGACACGCGGAGAATATTGAGGTTTGTCAGGGTACTCCTTTGCAAAGAAGAGGGCTAAAAGCTCTTTGACAAAACCGTAACCATAAAGAGCTTCCAACGCCGCTCCGTCCTATTGTCAAACTTGGTATCAGAAACTCCGATCGAGGCTGTAACTGCGCACCGGTGTCGAGATTGACAGTGCATTACTTGAGGTTGACCCACTAGCTGAGGTGTGTGCCTTGGCCCATCTGAAAAATGCTTCATCCGCCTTATGGGGTTCATTGTGCTGCAAATGATTCGACATGTCGACAAGCAGTTTAGATCTAGGGTCATTGTCCGCTAGCGTTTCAGCTTTAGGATTCGGTACCAGCCATTCAGAAGTTGCGTGGGTTTTTCCGATTGCACCAGCGATGGTAGATTTCAAGTTCGGTTCCAGGGGAATGATGTAAACTATCGAACGATATGGAGACTCGGAGGTCGACGAGGCGGTCCGTGAAATATTTGCAGGGCACAACGTTAATAAGACTTGCCCTGCATCTGCGAGCAATAAGCTCATATCAATGCCCTGTTTGATGCTCGGCGCAATAGTGGATGGGATTGGGATAGCATGCGATGCAATAACTACACCGTAGCGCATGTCCCAGAGAAGGATTGATATCTCTGACGATGGCGTAGCGGTCATAGCAGCGATGAGAACCAACGAGGAACCCAGTGAAAGGAGACACATGCCGCGTCCAAAAGAATGGGCATTCGGATGTGATAATTGGGCCAGAGCTAATGTTTCGCCAATCTGTGTTATAGATGTTGTTAGGTTGTTTACCTCGAGCTGATAAGCAGCCCAAGTATGGGATTCATCTTGACGGTATGAGACAACCTCAAATCACAATAGACACAGAAGCTCACTTATGTAGCTCAACACCCCACAGGGACCATAAGAAAGGGCAATTACGTGGTGTTCTGTTTTCCGTCCCGGTACTCCATGGGAGATCGAAACCTGGTTTTGGCCGATGATGGTCATATCCTTGCCAGTAACAGATACAATGGACAGAAGCAGCATGGAGTCAGAGCTCGAGCAGAACATTATGATGGTGTCTGGAGGGTTTTCATGAGGCGGCAAAAAATTACATGATGTGCCAGGGAAGAAAAACACGTCCAGGAAATTTTGTTGATGTGGACATACGAGAGTGGACTGTATGTTCAACTCATCATCTGCGACACTGATATCACCAGTGGAAGATACGAGTAAAATGTTTGAACTTTTATCGTCTGAGTAGATACGCGCGACTTCGTGAGGCAACTGACGATTCCGTCAGTGTAGGATATGATGTTTTAATGAGCGAGACATACCACAATTTCGCGTTTGTCACTTTTACCCAAGGTGCCACCTAAGATTTTCTGCTTCATAATCCATACTGTCCGGTCCCTGTTCTTCACAGCAACCTCTGGTGCGGAAGAGACGAGTGCATAGGTTGTGCATATACGCTCATCATCCTCTAGTGTGCACCGGCTGCTCGCAGGTCCAGAGAATGCGACATTAGATCCACAGGTGTGCGAGGCTACTGTATGAAGTTCAGATAGCTGAAAATAGAGAATTTCTATCAACGCGTCTCTGCAGGAGTCCAGAAAACTCACATCGACGATATGTATACCTTCTGCCTGGACGGTCACTGTTGCATGTCCGGGAAAATCGCGGCTGTATGACGCATATGTGGGATTGTGTACTTTTTCGTGCCTTATTTTCGTTGGAACAGGGTAGCTCGATACTTGGAAGGGCTCTCCGATGAGTGAGCTCATCGATGTCTGTGTAGAAGAACAATTGTATTTTGAGGTGTCCGGGGAGCCATTCATCCGGGGTCTCAGCAAAGTGGTCCCAATTTGCCAAGAATTTCTATATTCTTATACCACAACAAACGTGTTAAGACGCTTATAGCTACAAGTCGATCAGCGTACGAGATAAGGGTATACTTGGTACGAATAGAGAATTTATGTTTTTGATGATTTCGGATCATCGCCTCCGTTCGCCAAGTCCGCACGTGCACTGCGACCCTCCGCCTCCTCCGTCCTTCTCTCCGTTCCATTCCCACACTCTCTTCTCTCCCTCTAGCCTGCCCCTCCTCAACCTCATCTATTCGTCTTCCTGATTATCCTTGCCTGATCTTCTTGAATGCATCAGAGTTGGACTCTTCCATAAATTTGACCAGTGCCTTGATTCCTTTCTCTGCACCCATGGTCTCACTTGTCATGAGGTTGCGAGAAACCGTGCGCAGGTAGATGCGCTGATGGGTGAATGGGACAATCGCAATTTCCGTTCACTTCTTTAACATGTTACGTCGTCGTGCATTCGCATATGTTGGCCCCAATTAGCAAGACCTTCAAGTTTGTACACAAAGGGAGACAAGTCGTTCCTTCTCATAAGCTCTGGTCAGTCTCAACAGTACTGATGTAAGTAGTGCAGCAATATTTAATTATCTTCCATCGTGAAGCGTGGTCCTGCCAGGGTCTGGATCCCATGTCAGTGACCTGGCTGGTGCTGCGATCTTACTCTTTCGGCCGCCGACCTTCACTAGCATATACTGCTCTCCCCCTTGCTTTTGGAGTCGCATTTGTTAGACTCCGCATATGCTCAAGATCATAATACTGAGATCGAGCTCTGGACCCTAACCCAATTTGAGGGTAACAGCTGCATATGTGTTTGCCGTGGTCCTCTGCTGCTGCATATCTGGCGCGTGCTTCCTTCATCCCGGACCGAGTTCGAGTAGTGCTTATTGCACCCGAGATGTTCCATGACCGGTACCAGTCGGTTAACATACTTAAATGCTTAAGCGCTTATTGATTCTATAATAACTAGACAGACGTCTAGATGCGTTAGTTTCTCTAATTAATAACTGGACATCAAAGGAACAGCTAAATTGTTGGTTTGAATCCCTCTGACTACGTGTGGCGCCATTACATAGTAATAGAGATGATCAACTGCGCAGGTTACTATGGTGGACGCAGGGAGCTAGTCTGCGATAGTTAGGTTGAACGTGTGAGTCCTCTCGAGACACCTAACGGTGCGCAGGACAAGTAAAAACTGAAACAGTTTTAGCTCATCCCGCGGAGTTACGAGTAGCACTACGACCTTGGCTATACCGTGGAAGGATTCACATATCATGCGTATGTTTTACTGGCCGGAAACTAAATATAGTTCCGAATAACTGACTAAGACCTAACATGTAGTTGGTGCGTGTCGAGCGGATGAGGCTCTGCCGGGAGCGACTGAACACCATCTCACGGCACGGACGGCCGTAAATAAGCGATCTTCATAGTAAGTAATAAGACTTTCTTGTTACTACTTACCAATCTTTGACTTACTGTAACCATCTAGATGTAGTCCTGACTCAGCCAAATCGTTTTGCTCAGTAATACAGGCACTGCCTCGGCACAACTTTCGAGCATTCTACCCTTAAGTATTACACTACCTAATTATGAACCCACTTTCTTTTTGCCCGTTCTCTGTTGACGCTGTCAGTCTGTTCTTGAAATCCACTCGTAGTGCACTCGAGTGACGAGACTCTCACAAAATGACAACGATCGCCGACCCGTCATCTCCAGTCAAAGAGCCCAAACAAAGCCCAGGCGCATCATGGAAAAAGGATGAGGAGCATATAGTCCCAAAAAATCGCTTGGGAATCGTGTTCTTCGGTTTGATGTGCAGCACATTCTTGGCAGCTTTAGATCAAGTATACAAATTCTTATGTTGTTCGTGAAAATCTGACTCACATCTCACCAGACTATTGTAGCCACCGCCTTGCCCACAATCGTAGCGGACCTTGGAGGGGGGAATAACTACAGTTGGGTAGGAAGGTTCGTCTATGCAAATTAAGGTTGATGCCATCACACCAACATCTGTTCGTACAGTGCGTACATGTTGGCATCCGCTTCTTTGGGCCCGTTATACGGAAAATTATCCAATATTTTAGGCCAGTGCTATTTCAGTGCTATATCGTCGCTTGGAAATTAATGATTGGCATCTGCAGGCCGCAAACCCGTACTATATGGATCCATCGTCATATTTTTAGTATGTCCCCACCACGTGGATCCCATGTGACATTGACATTATAGATCAGATTGGTTCAGCGTTATGCGGCGCAGCCAAGACTATGACATGGTTGATTGTCTGTCGTGCTGTACAAGGAATTGGCGGCGGGGGCATCATGCAACTCGTACAGATCACTATATCTGACATTGTGTCATTGCAAGAGTGAGTATCTGTTCCTAACCCTGGTTTGTTTTTGATCTTGTCTATTTTTCAGCCGAGGCAAATATGGCGGTTTCATCGGTGCCACCTGGGGCATAGCAAGGTAAGACTGACTAGTCAAGTCCTCAAAGGCTCAAACCTTATCGATTTTCTCAGCGTTATTGGTCCATTGATCGGCGGTGTAAGGTCCCCGCATCCTCTGAAGTGATCTGAAAATTGATCATTTTTCTGTACTCTAGGTTTTTACCGATCATATAAGTTGGAGGTGGTGAGTATTCGCATTCTGTTTTTGATCAAAATCTCAATCGATGCGTACCAGGTGCTTCTGGATCAATTTGTGCGTTTGATATGTATCTCTAATTTTTGTGCTCAGATCGGAAGCTCATTATTGAGACAGACCAACTGGCGGCTTATCTGGGATACTTTTATTCTTCTTCTTAAATTTAAACCCCCATCAAGGAAGACCATTCCGTGACCATCTTCGAGAATTTGATTTCGTTGGGCTTTTCGTGATTGTTATAGGTGTCATTTGCCTGCTTATAGGTTTCAACTCAAGCGAAACGACATGTAACGCTATGCTTTCTGTTCTAAAGAACTAAATCTTACCGGTCTTTAGGGCAAAGCGGCGAAACCATTGCTCTCCTTGCTGTGGGAGGCACGTTGCTAATCCTTGGTGGCGTTAATGAGATATACACGAAGCGATCCCCCATCATCCCACCTCGTCTTTTTAAAGTGAGTTGTCAAGAGAGTCATTCATCTTGTCTCTCATGGTTTTCCAGACACGCACAACTGGCTTGATATTAGTTTCTGTAGTCTTGCATGCTGTGGTATTCTTCACAGGTATGTGCGCATACCTGTCTTGGGTCTTACTAGTAACCATGCATATCGTTATTCCAGGTTCATAGTGAGTATTTTGTAGACAGAGTTTGTATCTGACATTCTCATGCGGTCTTCCAGCTACCTTCCAATGTACTACCAAGGTAGATCCGTCTTACAGCCTTCGAGTATGCATTTTGCTGAGTTCAACACCAGTTCTTGGCGCATCGGCAACGAGCTCTGGCATTAAGTGAGCGTTGAATATGTGTCATTGTTTCCAGGTTACTGATATACGCAGAATGTTACCTTATTCATTGACCACTTCGCTCATGTCAGCGGTTTCCGGAATAGTTGTAACCAGAACGGGATCCTACCGTCCTGTCATGTGGTTCGGATGGAGTGTCATGACGCTTGGTTGGGGTCTCATGATCATGTTGGACAATACGAGCACTATGTATGTTTATAGTCACTGTCGAAGTTAGGTGATCACTATAGCTCTTTAAACAGCGCAGAGCAGGAAATCTACCCCTTGATTGCAGCGCTTGGTATTGGTGGCTTGTTCCAGGTGAGTTTACTGCATCATCATAACGATCCGTGCTCAGCGTCGCTTCTGTGATAGACCCCGCTTGTTGCTGTACAAGCAGCAATGCCTATCAAAGATATGGCCACCAGCACAGGTGCTTTTGTGTTCCTCCGGTGAGTGTTACTTCACAATGTGCATTTCACTGGTACTTATTGGTTTTCAGAACTCTTGGGGGTACGATCGGTATTACGATCGGAGAAACTATTCTTTCCAGTGTCCTTCAGCAGAAACTGCGGGGCATCCAAGGCCTCACCATGGACACTTCTGCAGCGGCTTTGAATGATAGTGTCAGGCAGATCTCTTCCATTTCTGTCAGAAACAATTTCATGATCTTTGTTCCGGCTTACTTACCGATCTTACCAGAATCCAGCAGTGCGTAATGAGGTCATGCATGCTTACTCGCGGTCTATCAGTACTATTTGGTTGGTCAACACGCCACTATCTGCATTCGGTCTCTTTCTGGTTCTCTTTATTCGTGGCTATACGCTAGAGCGCACAATCATCCGTGGCGGCGAGAAGAAGTCAGGAGACGTCGAGAAGGGTGTTACTCAAGTGACGATAGAAGAAGACTCACCAGTCACGGAGTCAGGATATATTGAGAAGGAAAAGAGACAAGACTCCTGTGACGACACTACTGAACCCACATGAACGGACACGAAAGATGATACTATTGGTGTCAAGTAGACGATGGAAGCATAGAGTGAGGGACATCTGATACCCCTGTCTCAGACCTGAAGGTGGAGTACCTGATTATACCTTATCGATGGTGGTCTCTGGCGGTGCATGAAGCTTAATGGCTTGCAAACGGAATAGAGCTTTGTATGTATTGCAGATCGATGTCAATCATCTAATATACTCATGTGTGGAGCATTAGCATGTTGGCTTGCTAGAGTTCTCATAATCAACACGGATACTGTCTTGAGATACTGAAACACTATCACCACGACTGCCTTGTCTTGACTCAGTTGCATCAAGACGATAATCTGGATCATACTGTGAATAGAATAAAACGTTTGATGAACCAGAACCTGGATGAGACAACCATGACGGAGCAAAGCCAACGCAACAGCACTAGAATATTAGCGGGCTGACTCCTGACTACTGCAGTAGTTTATATTTAGCCACGAGAGCAAAAATACTTCTACGTAGCAGGTCACGTGAGATGATTTTTCGAAGTAGTAATTTCATTTTTGCGATCCTTCACTGGTACTAGTCACTCTCGTCGGTCTTTTGTCCATCTACTGCTAGTCTAGCGCAGGCGATCAGTGTGTCTATGGCTGCTCGGAATAACGAAGATGCGGAGATGATAGAAGCTCGCCCTCGCAAAAGGATTCGCAGCAGCACAAAACGCAAACGTGCGACAAGTCCCACTCACCTGCCCAGAGTGCCTATATTGTTTGCACCATTCCGCGCTCTGGGTCTAATCACAAACCATATACCATTCTATATACAAACCCGTTCTTACAAGGATGCAACTGAGGGGCCCCGGATACACATTTTGACCTGTCTCGGCAGATCATGGGCGTTATGGGAGGGGGGTAAGATGGGCCTGTTATTTGTGGGTAAGTTATTGGTACGTTTCAAGTCAGAAGGCATGCTTGATTTTCCTGTGTAATGGTACACAGGTCCGGAAGTTCAAGACCCTATTTCGTGCCTAGTTATGGATGGAGATGCTGTTTGGGCAGCGTCTGGCGTACATGTAATCAAATATGTCCGAGGAAAAGAGGTAGGAGCTTTCAGATGTTCCACGTACTTTTTTTTTTTGACTTAGTTACAGGTTTCACGCGTGTCGAATCCGCTCCAGACCCCCTTAGCATTTGTCATTCTATTTGGTACTCAGTTGCTTGCATTGACGGAAGATGGTGCGCGGATGCTAATATGGGAGGTATCGACCAATGGTGCGCTTTCTACTCGATCACCTCCAGTATTTGTTTCATAATTACTTCAGAACAAGCCCTATCTACAACTATTCAGTTTGATATTGGGTTCACTGCTACATCAATTCTCCATCCTGCTACATATCTGAACAAAGTTTTGGTTGCCAGCAAGGAGGGCGATATGCAACTTTGGAACATCCGTACACAGTGAGTTGAATATCTGCAATCTATTACTTGGATTCAATGGCTATTACAGGACTTGTATACACAAATTTTCTAATTCTCAATTGCGCACATTACCATCTCAGCAGCATATGAACTCATTGTCAAGCCCCATCACAGCATTAACGCAGTCCCCTGCTATTGATGTGGTTGGCGTTGGTTTTATGTCAGGAGAAATATCTGTGTACGACGTTCGTGCTGATGAGCGGCTGATGAGAATGTACATGGATAATGGTGGAATCAAAGCTTTATCTTTCCGGAGTGGTACGTTGCTATAAGCATGAGCTAACTCAATTCTGATCTTGCTGCATACTAGATGGTCACCCGATTCTGGCGTCTGCCTCGTCATCTGGACACATAGCCCTCTGGGATCTAGATTCTGGAGGCCGGCTTCTGCACCTCATCCGGGGTGCACATGATGGTGCTGTTAGTGCACTTGAGTGGGTCCCTGGACAGCCTGTCCTCATCAGCTCAGGTGAGGATAACAGCGTCAAGGTAGTTATAAGAACAAGCAAGTCTATTCATCACTGATGATCGTCAAATAGCAATGGTTGTACGAATCCCCTACCGCTGTTCCTCGACTCCTGAAATTCAGATCTGGTCATCATGCACCCCCACATCTCATTCGGTTTTATGGCGAAGATGGTAAACAATTGCTATCTGCATCAGCAGACCGTACCCTACGGTATATTTCTGTTGTTCGAGATTCGAGGTCATACGAAATGTCGCAAGGTGGGTATCGAGTGCACAATGGTGTTATTAATGGCTAACCTGAATTTGCGCAGGATCTCTCGCACGGAAAGCTACGACTCTGTCTAAACCTCTTACTTCGTTGAAATTCCCTCCTATCACCTCCATTTCTTGTTCCTCGACACGATCCAAGGACTGGGATGACGTTTTAACTGCACATGCTGATGAGATGTGTGTGCGGTCCTGGACAGTACTCAACAAGCGCGTTGGAAAGCACACGTTCAACTCCGCCGAGAGTTCCAAAAGGAAGTCTCCCTCAGGTGTTGTAAAGGTACGTCGTCTTTCTTGCTTCATTCTGTATCCTCATCCTGTAATTTAGTGTGTTTGTGTTACTGCTTGTGGAAATTTCGGTCTTGCGGGATCTTCAACCGGAGAGATACACATGTGGAACATGCAGTCTGGGTTGAAGCGAAAGTCGTTCAAGGTTGGACCTTGCCCTCAAGCCGTGATTGATCGTCTTGAGCTTTCGTCCATGACGAAATCAAAAGCCAGCCAGCGCAGTATTACTGGCCTGGCATCAGATGCTCTGAACCGCGCAGTCATTGCCACTACTTCAGATGGCACTGTGAATGTGAGAATTCTTGCTGCTTTCACCGCTTCCGACTCGAAATGACTGATGGTTATAGTTCTTTGACTTCCACACCTGCACTCTGGACCAAGTGATGGTTTTACCAACTCCAGCTAGTTCGATGATGTTACAACGAGACTCTGGATTACTTGCAGTCGTCTGCGATGATATGGTCGTTCGAATCATTGATATCGAGACTCGTCGAGTCGTCAGAGAACTAGCGTGTGGCGTCCATGGTCGAATACTTGACATTGTGGGTTGCGGACATTACGTTGGATTTCAGAACTTTGCTGAAGCAGTAACAGGCATTTTCGTCAGATTCTCGCTGGATAGTGGTCACATCGTTGGACTCTGTGATACGGACATTCGATATACCCACTGGTCAGCTAATAAATGCGTTCCGCACACCTAGTGTTGCCACGAGCATTGCGTTCTCGCCGACAAATGACTTTTTGGCCACTACACACGTTGACAGCGTTGGCATTTTCCTCTGGTGAGATGCTACGTACCAACTTCTTATCTCAGTTGATAACTCTGGATAGGGCAAATCGGTCTCAATACTCTGAGGTTGCATTCCGTGCAATTTCAGAAGACGATATTGCGGAAGTTGCGCTTCCTTCGATGCAAGGGTCTGAAGAAGATGAAGGTGAATTATTCGTTTATTCGATTTTATGCATAATCGCTGATTTATATCCAGCATTAGAAGCTTTGGAAAAACTGGGGGTAGAAGATAAGCCCGCAGACGTCTTCTCGACGCCATCTCAATTAGATGGAGATCTTGTGACATTAACGTTACTCCCTCGTGCACGTTGGCAGACGCTGCTGAATTTGGAGGTTATACAGGTTTGCACTCGTCTGTTTGTTGTTTTGCACTAGAATTAATTATTTTGTAGCAACGGAATAAACCAAAAGAGCCACCGAAGAAACCTGAACATGCACCGTTCTTCTTACCTACGTTACCGGGCGTCGAGCATCGCTTTGCGATCGAGGAGAAGAAGCAAGAGACGCAGGACAAACACACCCGCAGACTTGACAAAATCGCTGCGAACTCGCAAAGCACGTTACAAAAGTTGCTGGTCGAGTCAGATAAAAATAGCAGCTGTATGATTCTTTCCGCTCGCAAGTCGTTCATATTGATCACTCAGGCTTCTTCCAGCGAATGATGCGTTGTTCGACTACATCAAGAGCCTCTCGCCGGCGGCAATTGATTTGGAGTTGCGCTTGTTAGCGTTCAACAGCCTCAAACAATTTCTTCGTGCCATCAAGCGACGCCTGCAGTCGCACCTTGACTTTGAAGCTGTGCAGGCACTACAAAATGTCGTCCTGCGAATCCATGCAGACGTGATTATCGAAAATGAGGATCTGCGGACTGAGTTAGAGGAACTCGTGAAAGTGCAGAAGAAAGAGAGTGGGCGAGTGTTGGATTTACTGGCTTCGTCGCTCGGCACACTCGGTTTTGTTCGGGATATACAATAGACAGTGTCCCCTAACTACAAGCACACAAAATAAACAAGAGGCAGCGAATTGTACCACTTTGATAGCAAGCTTCAAATTTTAAAGTTGATCCAGATTCCACAAGTCCATTTGATATTACGTAAATGTGGACTTGCACGTGCCTGTGTCGCGAACGCGTCTGCATTTTGTTGATCATCAGATGCCACGTTTGGTCGATGTACCATCACTAACAGCTCCATTTTGTCTATATGCCCGGCTTCAAGCCAACTAACACATCCTCGCCCGCGAAGCCTCTCGTTGCAGCTCAACGCTCGTCAGTATCTCTCCAGGCAACAATATCCGATGTCTCCCGCGGGTCGGCGGTCTCAAAATCTGAACTACACAACCTGACGTCTGCAGAAGTCGAGTTTTTTGATGCAGTTGTCAAAAGAATACCCCCAAATGCTACCTCGTTTCTCTCTGGACTAAAGGCGTACAACGATGAACTGCACGATCGGGGCTGGGATAGCCAGACGGAGACAGTGCATTACGGGAGGCTGCTGGAGCTCTGCAAACTCCGAGGATCAAGCTGGAATCACAAATGGGAGGGGGTGAAACAACAGTATGGTTATAGCGGCCCCTCGAGAGTTCCAATCCCTACGATGTCTGCCAAAGTACCCATTCCGACTTCGAAGCCTGCAAGATTGACTGCCCGTCTCGCAACACCTGTCCGCGACGAGGATGACGATGTGTTTACCCTCCACTCTCACCAAGACCAAGACCAGGAACAGGATTTTTCTGCAACAGAAACAGAAACCCCTCTTTCTGATGCCGAATCCGAACAGGCCCCTCCTCGCCCCCTCACGCGCCTGAGCCAGGCTACACGTCCCAACGCATCAGTACAATTGACACGGGTCACAAGGACGCATGCAAGCCGCCCTTCGAACAGTATCCTTCCACCTGCTCTTACACGTGTATCTACGCCCCGTCCTCAAGCAGCCGCTGGTCATCATCAGCCAGCTGTGTGGGAAGGAATGTCAGACACCACTGACGGTGGTGATGTACCAGGCTCTTTATCAACTACTCCGCCATCTTATCGCGCTGCTGTTGCAACGCCTGTCCCTCAAAAAGCACGGGGTCAGCTGATACTTCCTGCATCGTCACCGATTCAAAACTCCGTAGCAGTCAATGCGATTGAATTTACAAAGGGTCGCACGCGCAAGGGAAGCGTGATAAATGAAGATGAAGCGTGGCAGAAAATTAAGGTGTCACGAGACGAAGAAGATGCTGATAAGTTCCGTGAAGACAAACTCCTTGAACACTGTTGGGAAATTTGGGTTCTCGGTTACCAGTGGCTAGTGGTAGGTATTTTTAATTGTGATTTAATCAGATGGTAATACTTCAATCTAGACAACGAACGAACAAGTTGCTCAGGCTCGAGATAATGTAATCCTAGGTTCTTCATTACGCTCCTGGCGGAATGCTACTGCCACGCGCCTTGAAATGCACGCTCGCGCTGCCTCCATTGCCGATGCGCGCTGCCTTCGTTTTGCCCTTGGTGTTTGGGGTGCGAAGCATAAGCAGAAAAAGCAGTTACAGTGGCGTCATGACATGCGCGCCAAGATGAAGACGGTTCGCGAAAGGCATGAAATTAAACTTGTCAAAGATGCATGGGTCAAATGGCAACAGTCCCACCGCTCTATTCTAAACGAATTGCAGTACAATGAGCGTATAGTTGCACGGTTCTTCCTGCGATGGAGAAACTCTTTGTTGAAGCTAGATCGCATGGATTCCGCTGCAGACGAGTTTGCTCACAGGATCAAGGGGAGCGCTGCTCATAGAGCGTGGAAGCACTGGAAAAAAATCATGGCTGCCAGAGATGCTGAAAAAACCGTTGCACACAAAACAGCACTCAGAATCAAAGGAATCATGATGGACTTGTGGAAGAAGCAGACGTAAGTTGATATGGTTTTCTTCACGTTCAGACAGCCAACACCTCTTGTAGCCGTGAGCGCCAGACAGCGGGTGCCTATCGCGATGTTGCTATCTTAAAACGAGCAATAAGCAGATGGAAAACTACCAGAGATCGAATGCGTGTACGTTCCCTCACTCAATAATTTCGAACAATACTCATTTTAGTAGGTCACGGAAAAGCGTGCCGACAAATATCTCGCTCGTCAAGATGTTTTTTTGCTCCGAGCCGTCACCAGGGTCTGGAAGGCTCGCGAACGCGGGAAACTGCTCGAAAGGGTGAGAGACATGCGTCTAGTGAAAAATTCAATGGCTGTTTGGAAAGATCGCATAAGAGAACGCAAGCATCTTGAAGGTGAGTTTAATTTAGCAATCAGATTATCCCAGGGATCTTTAACGACGAGATAGATTATGCTCTCGCATTCTCCATGCGCTCCGATTCATATACTGTCTCTTCTGCTCTGCGAACTTGGCATCAGGTCTATACAATTTACCAAAACCGCCGTGCCTTCGCTGTTCAACGCAACCTTGCTCGTGTGCAGTATGATGCGCTACTCAAGTGGCGCATCCAGCTGAGGGCGAAGATGAAGCTGTTGAAACAAGCTCGATTCGTGGAGAACTTCATTCTTCAGCGAAGGATTTTGAAAGCCTGGAAGGTCAAGTTTGAGGAACGCCAAAGGCAGAAGAAACTCGAACACCTCGAGATTCGTCGACTTCGCACTTTCATGACAGGTAAAGTTGACGCATCTTTGATCTGATTTAGTTGGTTTCTAATATTTTCATTTCACCTGAAGCATGGCACCAGAAATATCAAAGAATGCGATTCCGCCGGCTGGCAGCGCAGCAAATAGATGACCTCGTATCTCTGGCAAGTCAGACGATTTTTCAAGCTTTGAAATTCAGTCTAATTGTATTATAGCGAATAAAACGGGATGCTCTAAGACTCTGGACCAACCGTGTCATTGAAATCAAGTTGCGGGAACTGGAAGTCAGCCAGAAGAGCGCCCACGCACTAACAGTGTACGCGACCTTCTGCATCTCTATAAAAACGCATCTGACCTTTTCCTCAGCTTCGCCTTCAAGAAGTGGAAGAACATATGTTTGCGCCACGTTGAAGACCTGAGCCTCATGGAGAGTCATCTTGATATCAAACGGGCTGGTCAGTACTTAGTTCGAGGTCATCTAGCTGGTCGTTTAACTCTTGCACTGTAGAGAGCGTTCGCCGGATGTTCCATCGCTGGCTGATGGCGGCCCGTGCTCGACGTCACAAACGCGTTACTTTACGTGAAAAGGAACTCGAATTTGACCGGGCAAATGTGCAGGTTGCTTGGAACAGGTGGAGAGAACGGTATATGGATGAGAAACTTCGACCCCTTGTGAGTTCTGTGGCATCCTCAACAAAGCATACCTCCATAACTCCGAAAACAATAGCTACGCCAGATAGCCCTTCAGAATCAAAAGAATCTTCTCTTCCGTACGTTTGGTATTTGGCATTCGAAGACTCGGGTATGTTTTTTCTTTCTTTCTAACAATAACACATATGTTAACACCCTTTCAGTCTCTCCCAGCCATCCGCTTCCAAGCCTCACGAACCAAGATGAGGTATTGGGCTATCTGGAGAGCTGCTATGCCGCAGGCACTTCTGGCTAAAAGAGCACGAGAGACTCATAACGATGCCGTCCTCAGTGAGATTTTATTTATCCGACGATCATATGCAATGAATGACCTTCGTAATCCAGATCGACTATTCGAAAAGTGGCACCAAGCCTACAAAACGAAAACTCACTTGAAGGAAATAGCGTGAGTTCTTTCCTCCACATGACTGCGCAGTTTTGTTCAATGCCTTCAAATAGCCGTGCTCGCTATCTTCGTTTGCCATCCGTTAGTCCCGGGCGAGCCAACCCGACGCCCAAGCCCCCGGCACGCACGAGTCGCAGTCCATTTCCTCGTCAAAATACCCGTGTAGAGAGCGAAACGGAAGGCTCAGAAGTGGGTCCGAGCCGCCCTGCCGCTACACGGTCTTCTGTTTTGGTTAGCAGACCTAGCATTGCACGTCTTCTTACAAACCAAGCTCGTCCCGAACCTATTGGCCGCCAGAGTGTCAAGCCCTCAAGTCGGGGACTCCGTGATCCCAGTCCGACGAGATCGAACAAAACTTCCATACCACCATCCCAGGCACCGTCCTCACCTGTACGACCCAGGTTCACGGTGAGACGGGCCATCAGCCCTGCAATGTCCAGAAGCTCTCGTGTTAGGGAAGTTAGTCCCACTAGGTCAAATTACACCTCCACACCTAGGGAGGAGCCCGAGCGCAGTCGACTCTGGCAAGAGCTGAGACAAGTGCAGAAGAGGCCAAGAGCCCCAACGGAAAAGTCACGAACACCTGAACCTCCATGATGATGGGATACCGATGTTGTCCTTTTACTTATAACTTATTCAATTTCATGCAATTTCCTCGATATGCACCACGTTCAATGGACACCCATTTATGCACATGTAGTACGCCATCACAGGCTAGACTTTGCAATACTTGTATCAAAAGTTTATGCTCGAATATCTGGTGCCGTGCGTTGTGTGTGCTGTAATTCTGCCTTATCTCTGGATATGCTGGCGGTCACATCGAAAATGAGTTGAGGGAAGGTGGAGGCAAACAGCAGCAGCACTCACAATCAAGAATTCTGGTAGTACTGCCAGCCTACCCAGTTTGCAATTACAAAGTATGCGCCCATGGGAATGATGAATAGGGCAAAGTACTTGTAATGGGTGTCTTGTGCGAGGACGTCAAGGGCCTAACAGGTCAGCAATTCATATCTGTGCCACGACGACATCTTAACCAAGAACGTACATGAATACCAGAGAGCGGTAGAAACGTGTTGAATAAGATCACATAGCTTGCAACGACAAAGAATGCGGCCGTCAAAGTCGTTATGATATGGCCGATGTTCAACATCACACAGTAGACATGGTCACGGTAATTGTGAACGTTAACACCGAAATGGTAATAAGCAAGGAAACGTGTTTGTGTGTGAGTTATTACAACTGGGGTTTTCGCGCGAAAGATGCTCTAGAACTACATGGGAAACTACGAGTGGACAAGCCACAGAAAAGTACTGCAATGAGAATATGATCCGTATCGTACGTAGCTAGGGTGGTGATTGATAAGTTTTCTGAATATGATTCCTGATAGTGGTACAAAAATTAGAGAGCGGGGGTAGACTGATCAGGTAAAGTGAATGGGCATATGATCGATGAGTATCGAGAAAGCGAAGCGAGAAGCGAAGCAATATGCATGCAGAAGGCTAGTATGCATGCAGTGGAAAAGTCCTGAGAGGCACGTGAACTTCATAAAACCGAAAGGCTGGAAACGGAATGCACATCGTGGCATAAAGCTTGTCAAATCATCTAGACGCTGAGCCTCTGTCGCGTCTCCATGGAAAGGTCAGAATACGAAAACGGCCGCTTGTGTCGTAATTCATCAAAGTCAGAACGAGAATCCGATACAGGAAAGTACTCCCTGTCGGTGGTCTCCACAGGGTCATCCATCATGTTGGTCTGGAGCTGATAGGCACCAATAGCATCATCTATGACGCCAAGAGACCGAGGCAACGGACGTGATACCGAAAGCGAAGCTGGCGACGCCACATCAGGTGACATCGCATTCGCTATATCGGATTTAACACCTGACTCCATCGCGTATCCCAACTGACCTGAGCTAACCACCAGCTCTGCATGAGTTACGCTGGAACCGGCATGCGAAGATATTGACCCAGTAGCGCTCGTCCGCCTCTTTTTCTTGGGCCGGCGAGGAGGTTCCGTAGATACCGGAGGAGAATGAGAATATTCCATTGCCTGAAAGGTTGGCATGTACACAGGTCCTGAAGGGGGGCCAGACGGAGGGCCTGGTCCTGTATCTTTGTCTCCGTTGGTAGAGCCAAACGGATCAAGGGAAGAATGTTTCCCACGAAGGAATGGACTGAGTCCAGTACGTTTCTTTACCTCCTCAATGATGATGTCAAGTCCTTTGCCGGTGACGTTTGGTGATGACTCCGCCACGTGGCCATAGGTAAGGGAACTAAAGGCGTCGTCATCAGGTAAGTCTTGGAGCACTCCGCCTTGCCTCAAGCGCTTTTCCAGGGCGATTGCAACTGATTGCAGACGCTCGTCGTGATCTCTTAGGACAGAAATACCTTCAGAGCGACGAGCCCAATACGAAAACTGTGTGTTCGACCAACCAGATAGAACTAGGATGGTGGAGCGGGTCAGGGTGACAGATCCTGACGGAGAGCCCGGAAATACATGTGCTAGGGACTTGAGCGGATTGTACGGATGTCTGATAAAAGAGCACAGCAAGGCGAAACATTTAATTTTAATTAATTCACCAATGAGATGATGGCGAAACTCACGGGACGTAGGTGCGCAGCACTTCTTTGACGACTTCGACTTTGATGAGAAAATCAATTGCTGTGGCGCCAGGACTAGAAGTACTAAGTCCACCGCCTCCGGTGCCTTTGGTTTTGACTCGCATCTTAGACTTGATAGGACCGAGTCTACGTTCGAATAACCGTGCATAAAACGTGTTCCATTTTGGTTCCCCTAGCTGGTCGCGCAAAAATGCGGACGCATAGGGGTCGACCTGTGATGCCGCGCCGGAGTTTAGGCGTTTGTTGACGGAACGACTCTAAGGAAACCATCAGATGATAGGCACATCAGAATATACTAGAACGCACATCAGTTTCATCCTTTCTAGCATTGGAGGGACTTGAATGGACAATGGGCGGTAGCATTGCGTGAGCGTATCTGGCAACTTTTAGGGGTGATGATGGAGTATATGGAGTTGGAGCATTATCTGGAGAACGTGACAAATCGTGGAGGGCGTGTGCAAAGCTAGCTGAAGATGAAATTGAGGGAGAGGACTGAGGTTGTGACTCAGGGTCAGAAGGAGGACCTAAGGAAGAAAGATTCTGCGATTGTTGGAAGTGCTTTGTTTGCAACTGGGGATGATCATGTATAAAATCATTGGAGTGTGGATGTGACATATCCGAGGACAGGATATATTGAAGGTCGAGTTGAGCATCCGGCACATGACCTTGCTGCAAGGGGTAGGGATATGGACCGATGTCCTGGAAGGACGTATCGGCGTAAGAGTTATAATACACATTGTGGGATCCATTAATAGATACAGGGACGGTGCTGCCAACAGAGTTGTGAAAGTGAGCAGACGGAATGCTGAGGTCGTGAATGTCGGCGTCATTTGTGTGAGAGTCATGGTGACCTAGAATATGGTCATTAGCCGCCAGCACGTCGTGACCGTCAATGACGGTTGACATCAAATTTGGCATGTAGTCGTCGTCAACGACAGCGCCAGCGAAGAAAAGGAAGTAAATGGGTCAAAGGAAAGAGGGAGCTGAAGCTAAACGCTAATGTCATTGACCCACTTGTAATTAATAACTCCGAATGACAATTAGTCATGGGAATATATTTCCTTTTTAAAATATACGTGAGAATTATATACCGATGTTGGATAGTCATGGGTTTCGAGGGTTGTGGCTGATGATGATCATGTTGGTTTGACATTTCTCTCTTCAGCATGGATTCAGTAAACACTTCTAGGTGCGATAAAGAGAGCATATGCAAGTACATAGATTCGCTCATCTGAATCGTCAGCCTTTCAATTGATCGCCTAGAGCCACCGTCTCAACGGTACAGACTTCGTTCAGAAACTCCGAGTCCTTCTCCTGCTCTCCCAGAGATTCCACCAGCGGAACTTGATCTCACTTTTTCCTTTGACACGATCATGGGTTGTCCAGAAATTTCAGAACCACAGTGAGTCGGATCATATCCTCGATTGCCCAATACAGGGACGGTCAGTCACGGTAACCTCACAGGGCCGAGAAAGTCCAGAAGCGAGCTAGTAACGTGATGAAGTTGAAAGAAAAGCTTAGAGCCATGACTGCTCGCTTAGAAGCTGCTGAACGCAAACGTCAGGAGTTAGCTAGCAGAATTCCGAATCAACAACAGAACAATACGGCACAATCCAATAGGTCATAGAATTCGTCTCTCTTTCATTCATTCTGCATATGCTGGCAAGACCAGGACTCCAATACTCAGTTTAACCCCTCATTTCTTCCCACATCGTTGCTCTCCTTACCCTGTCGTTGTTATAAGCATTATTTAGACATACTATCCGATTTACATCCGATGAGGTACACGAAACGTGCATGCCACCACGCTTTATGGTCCGAGTTTACAATGGGACCACGGTCGTGCACATACCGGGTACCGGTGACAGGGTGCGAATAAGCAACAGCGCTGCCGGCGTGTGTACCGTAGTGATGTCCTGGCGCCTGCCGTCTCGTTGCAATTGTTCCTCGTACTATATAGTGCGTCTGCGCACATATTACTAATTGGTCCTATCTTCTCCACACTGCTATAAAGAGTGCAGCTTTCCACTTACTCCATCCATTCCGATCCCCCCGTCGTTATCTCAAAATCGACAGGATGGCCTCCACACGCAGACTTTCGTCAACCCTTGAGATGACCTCCACAAAACAGCCTGCCTCTCGTCGAGGCTCAGAACGAAGGCCTCCCGATAGGCGTGGATCAGGATATTCACCTGGTCAATCCAGACGCCCTTCTATCGACCCATCGAGGCTGATTCCGATGGATAAGTCAGTACCCTCCAATTTGTATGATCCGATCACTGATATTTCTCCAATAGAACTACGCATGTTGGCGGCACCAATGATTTCAATGTCGTCTTTATCGGTGCAGGAAATATCATGTTTGGTGAGTTCTGCTAGTGTCATATCCGTACCTTGCGGGTACCTGACTCATCCCCGCTACCCCAGGATCCGATGAAGGACCCTGGAATCACTCTTTCCGCTTCGAGCAGTAAGTCCTCCCCCTTGTCTCCACATGCTCTGCCACCTAAAAACCATCACAGTAAGCTCGGTCTGCGTCTTAAAGTAGTTGCCCTCATCGATCCTGCGATCGAGCGTGCAACTGCCGTTCTCCAAAAGAAATGCGACTCCTTCGTCATTTCCGCGTACCAGGCAACGCGTGTGTTCAAGACCCTCGAGGACTTTGTTAAGAACATGTCCCAAAAGGACCGTCCTCGCGCCATTGTCGTCGGTTCTCCTCCAATGTTCCGCGGAACCCTCCAACCGGGTCGCGACATTGAGATGCAAATTCTGAAATACTTCCCTGGCGTGGCCATCTTCATGGAGAAGCCCATAGCGACCGGTCCAAAGCATGAGCTGGAGCAGTCCTTCCAGATTTCAAAGGCGATCTCCGACTCTGGCGCCATATGTTCCGTCGGGTACGTTTATAGACAGTTGGCTCAACAAATGAAATGAACCTATCCTGCACAGGTACATGCTAAGGTACCTGAAAGCTGTTCAGAAGATGAAGCAGATCATCCAGGAGAACGGGCTTACTGTGATGGTCACAATTGCTCGTTATGCGTGTGCTTACGAGGCGATCGCGAAACCTGACTGGTGGGATAAATCCAAGAGGTGAGCTGAGTTCTGGTCTAGAATGTGTAAGTCATTAACTGACTTTAATTCATTAGTGCTGGTCCCGTTATCGAGCAGGGGACCCATTTCTGCGATCTCTCGCGGTACTTTGGTGGGGAAGTTGACATAGCCTCCGTCGCCGCTCATTCCCTTGACTGGGACGAGAATGCTGGCCATCTCTCCAAGGTGCAAGTTGACGAAAGCAAGATTGCCCCGGAGAACAGGATTCCCCGTGTTACTGCAGCTACTTGGTAAAGATGGGTTGTTGTGTTCGAGAAGCTAGATGCTAACATGATAATAGGAAGTATGATTCCGGTGCGGTTGGCAGTTTCATTCACACTGTGACCCTCCAAGGGCACAACTACAGCTGTGAGCTCGAGGTCCATGCCGATGGCTACTCCCTCAAGTATGCTCCTATTCAACCTTACTGCATCACCCTCTCATGATATTCCTAGGCTCGTCAACCCTTACGTTCAGCCTACGTTGTATGTCCGCAAGCCCGGCGATGATCACGAACAAATGTATACCTTCCCCGATGACGACCCATTCTTCTCCGAGGTGAGTAGTGACATCCTTGAAGAGGAACTCGAGGCACATACATGACTCAGGTATCCAACTGGATTGACATCATCGAGGACATCGAAGAGGACCCTGAGGCTGCTCAGATCCTGAGCTCCTACGAAGGTACATTTTCAGGTAGACTTGTCACTCATTCACGATCTGACGTTATTCGTTGCAGACGCTTGCAGAACTTACGAACTTACGTGGGCCATCCGGGAGGCCAGCGAGCGTTCTCGTGCTACTAGACTTGCCGCAAGCAAAGCTGCTGCCACTGTGTTTGAAGAGGAAGGCGAGGCTGAATAAGATGGCACATACCTGGACTGGGAATCTTGGAGCGAAAATATCGTTCTGACTCGTTGTAAAGTAGTATTGTAAATAGTATAGATGGTGGTGTGGACAACTTACATAATGCCTTGTGGTTTTATTGTTCCTTTCCCGACCGATTTCATGACAATCCTATAGTAGCACCTTCTCAATGCCGTCAGGAAATTTGTAGCCTCCCTGGCGGCGAACCTGCGACGCATGGATCAGACCAGAACTTGGACAGGGGAACCCAGTTATGCAAACTCACCTCATCGAAAACTTCCATTTCTAAAATGCTCTTGTCATGACTCCACAGTTCACTCTCAAGCTTCCCGTCTCTGACGCATCGTGCAACCTCATCGGCCTGGAAGTGCCAGCCCGAACCGATGTACTCAAACGTCCGGGTATCCTCGCGCGCGATTTCGCCCGGCTTGCCCTCTTTGAAGTATTGTACGGTATACCTGAGAGGACAAGGTACGGGCGCGTCGATCATGATAGTCCCTTTCTCAAATCGAATGGTAACGCCTGGGTTGTGGGACGCTACGTTCATACTACAGCTCAGGACTGCCTGTGCAGCGAGAGTAGAGCCTGTACTGGAGTTGGGAGAGAAGGTGACAATATATGACGTGTTGCAGTCGACGCCGGTGATCGGTGTTTTGTACATTGTACCGGTGATGTTTGAAGGTTTGGTGCGCTTATTGGCGGGGTGCTCGTAGAGAGCAAGAATTGTCTGCATAATAGACTTAAGCAGAGGATGCCATGTAGTCAACGGCACATACCCAGATTAGAGGATACGGACCACTGTGTCACTTTAGGTTAAACTGGCGCTCGATGGGAACATATCGCACTCACAGGTCAAGAATCGCACCCCCACCGAGCTTGGGGTCGAGCATGCGGTGAGTCAGGGGCAAATCTGCAAGCGACGTTCAAGTTGAAACGGATGTTGCGATACAAGCCGCAGGGTTACTCACTGTCAATGCCGAAGTCGACGGAGAAATCAGCATGGACAACCACAGGCAGGCCAAGTGTACCGGAGTCGATAAGCTCTTTGACTTCCTTCGCGAGTGGCTGAAAACGCGTCCATAGTGCCTCCATGAAGAAAACCCCATTCTCTTTCGCTGTTGCGATGAGCGAACGCAGTTCTGCAGCGTTGCAGGTCACTGGTTTCTCGCATAGTACATGCTTTTTTGCCTTGAGCGCATCCAAAGCGTTTGTGTAATGGTACGTGTGGGGTGTACCTAAGTAAGGCCGAATATCGATTTTGTTTGTGGTCATAGTTTGGATAAGTCATACCTATGTAAATAGCGTCTACATTCTTGAATGATGTCAAGAGGCAAATAGACTCGACGAAAGTGATCCACGAACCTTATCTGCATAGACTTCGTCATACGTTCCATACGCCTTCACGGTCTTGTCGCTGTTCACAAACTCGTTGATAAACTTTTGGGCCTTCTCAACGCTTCGGGAGCCTACAGCAGTCACTTTGTGCACCACATCATTGGTATCACGCCTGAGGAAACTCATCAGTCCCAATTTCAAAGAAAATACATGCGCTCGTACGTGGTAGGATCAACAAGCAAATCCTTGATGGCAAACAGGGGTCAATAACTCACGCGATCATGATACGAAGTTCTATTTTCTCACCGAAACAACTTGTTCTGCGATCCAACCCGTAGAGATGATGCCCCAGCGAAGTGTGAAGGATGTCATAATTTCTGTCAAAGCTGATGTTAACTCATTTCTCTTGCAGCCAGTTTATATATCTATCGGAAGGCGGGGCGCCTGGGGATCCCATGATACTGACAGCCCGACCAGAATCGCAAAAAATAGACTTTATCGGGTGAAATCGAAATCTGAATGATATGCCACGGCGTCCGACGCAGTATCTCGCGCGAAGTTCGGAAAATCGTAGAATTAGAGTTACAGAAAACATGTGGTACGAAAAATTTCGAGTCAATGACCGGCTTACTGGATGGCGCACATAAGTGAAGTTCAGTTTTCACTATGGGGTCCTCGCTCCTCATCGCTCCCACGGACCAATTCATACTGCGGCGAATCGTCATCATTCAGTGATATTTGGGATGAAGATGTTTGTGCAAGATCATCGGAACGTTTCCTCTCTCTTTCTACCTTTGCCTTCTCTTGAAGGAACAGTTTGTCGAATTCCTCTTGCAAGTGTGACTTCAATTTAGGCATGTTCGAAAGGTTGCGATCGCATTTCCAGCAAGAGAGATCTTCCTTCAGTAAAGGCTCATATTCACTCTTCTTGAGTTGAGAGGTCTAGAGTCATGGCAGCAGTCAACGCCGCAAAGAATGTACGGCAGCGAAGTACAAACAACTCACTGTTTTATAATACGACGGGTCGGCATCGAACCAAGAGAGAACATCGCTCAGATGAATAAAAAAGCCGCGCTTCGGATGGAAGGAATTGTAGTGTTTCTTCAACTTCATTCTCGGAGAACATAGGTCAGCAGAAAGTACGTGGAGATGGAGGTGTCTAGAATCACATATATATATGAGTGCGTCAGAATATTAACCAATCGAGACTTACTCCATGCTAGGTATTGCATGGAAGCCCATCCATATTTCCCACTTGAATCCATACTTCTTGAACATCTCACTTTCAATCATTTTCTTGACATTGTTCGCTTCTCGGCTTAGATCTGTGAGGAGTTCCTTGACACAGTTTTTCTCGCATTTGAGCAATGAACGTAGATTGGCGAGTTGGTACACATTGAAGGGTGGCCTGACACGAGGTATAACGAGAAAATGGAAGATCGATTTTGGAAATGCATCAAAAACCGTCAAACACGTCTCGGAATGTGAAAAGAGAACTGATGGAGGCAAACTGGCAGGATTTGACTTTTGCGCGTAGGCGCGAAAAATGGTCATGTTGGCGCTGGACATAATGTGCCTCACACTCTCGGCGTTGCGTTAGGGGAGTTGGTGAGCCGGCTGTCACGAAGACACGTATGTCACAATTCATGAATGTTGTGACCGTGACATACTACAGTTTTACCTCAAGGCCTCACCCCTCGACTACACATATTATTTACAAAGGACTCAAATGTCGGTCGCTTCGATTGTGCAAGCGAACGAGCAGGCGTTGCAGCCAATTGATTCACCGATTCATAAGCTGGTGCAAACAGTCTTTGCAGAGGTTCTGGCCGAATTCAGTGGCTGGAAAATCAAATACTGCGAGCATTTCATCCGCTCTCTGACCCAGGTCACATCAAGTCCACGTGTTCCGATACCAGATGACGATAGCACACCTCTCCATGCCGTCGGTAAGGCCGGTGGGGGTCCGGACGGAAACACGGAAAGAATGGTTGCATTGACCTCTTACTCTGAAGATGGAACTCCAAGATCAACTTCCACGATATCTCTTCAAGTAGTACATACCGAGCTTTTTGAGCCACACAAACCCTATGAATATTGCACTCCCATCTCAAGGAATATCTTTAGGGGAGATGATGACGATATGATGCCGTTCATCCCATATGCGGATGATCCAACCTTCGACCACCTAGATCATACACTGTGTTATGACTCTTTTGCATGGCAAGATGATGACTATGATCCAGACTGTGAGTACTTACTATTCACCGGGTGTGATGAAGCATCATTATTGTGAATAGTAGAAGTTATTTCTTTAGAGGCAGCCTATCGCCTCCGTACGGTTCACAGTCTGCTGTATCAGGACACAGATAGCACGGGGGTCCTTCCCTTAAAGCTTTTCTCAACTCCAGGAAAACCTGGATTGTTTACCCTGAGTCGTCGTCGGTATGGGGGTTCCCGATCATTTTTCGTGCTCGCATCCAAACCTTGAATAAACGTACAGTGATCTACTCAAATGGAACGGGACCACCATTCCTTGTCCCTACAGCTTTCCTTCTTCATTGCCATCTCACGGTATTCTTCAACATCGGCTTGAGCTCACTCATGCATTATTTTGTCCTAACCTCAACTGTATTGAGCCCCTGTGCCCTGTTCATGGTATGGCTTCCAAATTGTTTTTCTTTTTTGACGCCCAAACAGTTTAATTTGCAGTTGAAACAAACCCTGTGTCGCCACCCCGTAAGCAGACTATCCAGCTGTCAGAGCTACTGAAACGTGTAGAACACCCCTGCGATGCTGGCTGTTTCTTGCAGAGCAGGACGGTCGAGGCACTCCCTCGCTGGAGTGAAGATGACATCGATTCGTTCAAGAGCATCTTAGATATTGAGCCAGATATGATACCTTGTGACCATGCTGAATTATGCTTCAAGCCCTGCCATGAGGTTTGTCCACATGAAAATGATGAGAGCTTTCCTTGATCTGACTGTGGTTCAGATCCTTTATTATCGCCGATTACTATATCCAGATTTCGACGAGCTTCAAACTGAGTGCCCAAATGGGGAACGCAAGGGGAAGTCGCGATCTCTGGAATTTCAAGGTAGGGGCGATTGTATGTGGACACGTGTTACTTTACCGACGCTCCGCACGAGATAGATCGTGATCCGCTCAAGTTCACACCGTGCGTGCCCTTATTGCGTAAGTATCGAATGCTGTACTGGATACTTTCCACAGGAACGAACCTTGTCATCACTCTGGACCATGCGATGTTTTATCTGACTGTTTATGTTTCAAGAACAAGGCTCATTGCCAGCGAAACTGCCGTTGCCCTGGAAAATGTATGTTTATGTCTGTGTTGCTACCAGCACGAGGTTTGATGCTACCCTTTATCAGGTGCTCGGAGATGGAAAGGTTGTCGCTGTGCCAAAGCACGCGATGGGATGAGCTGTGTGAAGGTCAAGCGATGCTCTTGCCTCGAAGCTCGACGTGAGTGTGATCCAGAGCTTTGCGTCAAATGCGGATGTCGGTGCGTGATGCCGACTATCTTCTATGTTGTGATTTGCCCATTAATATCTTGCTCTTGGCAGAGGTATGTTACGTAGCATTCAGCAAGGGTTGGATGTGTCTAACTGAGTTGAAGACCCGGAAACGAGTACTTGCGGGAACTCGCAGATTCAACAAGGTCATTTCAAGGTATACATCTACATTTAACACACCAGATCGTACGAATAACTCTATCCACGATTATAGAAACTGGAGGTCAAGGAAAGTCGTTGGGGCGCAGGTGTATTCCTTCTCGAACCGGCCAAACAGGGTGAATTGATCGTGGAATACGTCGGGGAGCTTATATACGAAATGACATTTGACAGCCGCGGGTGAGCAGCGTTCATCCCTGAAATTTCCCTTAGCTCACTGAGTTGACAGAGAGGTTGCAGAGCACCTTGGACGAAGCTATGTCTTTGGTCTCAACGACGCGCTATCCCTGGATAGTTCGCGTGCAGGCAACATGTCGAGGTTCATCAACCATTCGGGCTCTAGTGGTGTCAGTAGCGAAACGCAGTGTAATTGTCGCGCTTTCGGTGTGTAATGCCTGTATCCCTTGATGTCCATCTCGATAACTCATCTCAAACATTCGACAGCGCGACTTGTGAATGGAGAACACCGTATAGGAATATTTGCGAGTCAGATGGTTTCCCTACTATCGTGGACGCGGAATGCTGATAACTGACACAGTTATGAACATTGACGCTGGAACCGAGATCCTCATTGATTATGGCCCAGTGTTCTTCCCGGACCAAAAGAAGAATGCAGAGGCCTCGTAAGTCCTGCGCGCTAGTCACATTATCCCATAGCTAACTTTTTTGCTGCATTTTGTAGCCGTTCAAATTAATCTGGTTGTTATCAAACCACAGCTCGTACTTAAAACACCACAGGCAGCATACTTAATTCTGGCTCAACACTGGGCAACCCTAAATTATTGCTCTCATATATGTGGCATTACGAGGGACGGAACACCACATCGGCACCTTCATGGCCAAACGCACTAAACTGGAAGTTCCAATCACCAGCAGGAGTGGCACTGATTTATATGTATGCAAAATGCTATAAGACTGACGTGCACTGGGACTTGCAGATTCAAGCAAGGATTTGACGGTATTATACACGTGCATTACAGTATCAGTTATGCCGCACGACTACACTACATAAATCAATGTTCCCACTCGTTCGATTCAGCGCCCAGTCTTTAACAAGTCCCTAAGGTTGTCGCTCAGAGTAGGCATGGCTACCTTTGACAAAGACGCCTTTCCTTCTGAGGGAGATGTCCCTCGTCGCCGTAGCACACTACCAGTAGAATCAGTGGCTTCCTCCGCTCGCCTTCTGTCAATGTCTGCAACGAGCTGAGCAAATGACAGGAAGAGGACCTCTGCTTGGGCAAGAGTAGAATCGAGTTCAATGGTCATGCTGAGTTCATTGCAATACTTCAGGATCTCGTCAAACTGGTTGGATACCCGGTAAGAAAGGAAGTTGCACCGCAGGCAAGCAAAGCACGCACCTCTACGAGATACCGTAGGATCATGTCCCGATGGGACTCCAAGATTGCTAAAGCGACGAAGATAACGAATTCATTGCTGTAATAGTCCGTCCACAACACTTCCCATAGACGCAAGACATCGTCGAAAGGGAATTCACGTTTAAAAGCGATGAGGATCCATCTGGGATAAACAGCGTCAAGGACGTTTTGTCTGCGGTTTGCTGAAGACTTACCGGAAGCAAAAGAACAAATTGAGCCCGTCAGTTTTTTCTGTAGCAAATGAGAGTCAGGGTAGTTATAAACACAGAAAATAGATTTAGTGACCTAAATGTCGATATAGATCAGGATCCATGACACTGATAAGTTCTTGGAGCGTCGAGAGTTGTTTCTTCATTCCACTCTGATCCCGAAGGAAATTTTGAATCTGCTGTGAATGTCAGAGACAGAATCTTCGTCAAGTTTCAGATGTACTCGCCATACGATTCATTACTTCCACAAAGCACCAGAAGGTCAGCTCCTCGTCGGAACCCATCACAACGTACAAAGGAGCGCAAAGGTCCGACATGCCCTGTACATACCCTCATTCCCTCCATTAGATACCACATACAAATGTAGTATTCCAGATGCGCTCACCAAGCTCTTTATTATAGAAATTGTATGTGAGGAGAATGCCTGCGAGACGATCGATATGTTCATTACTGGGAGATTGTGCACCGATGTCCGACATCTGGGGAGAGATCGTTGTGTACCGACGATCCCCATTTGAGCCATTGTCAGCGGTATCCTCATAGGAAGTAGAGAAAAGTGGCTGAGTGCGGTCTGTGCGGCGACAATCTACATCAATGCGGTGACGTTCTTCGAGGACATCCGGCCTGTCAAAGACCTCGGGCACACCACACCACTCATCCTTGATCTCACAGTATCGCTTTCTACATAACAGGTCAGAAAGTATGGATCTGGTGGTGAAGGCAACATTACCTCTTCTCCTCCCATTTCGCTTCCCTCTCACTACCAGTTATGTCCCATTCGTGGACACCAAGTATGAAGGGCCACATTTTCTTCCTCAGGTTTCCATAAGGAGTGATGCCTCTCCTGAAAACCTGGCACTTCATCTCTTCGAGCCTGACTGTCGGTCGTCCGTCTTTATCAAACCACTTCGCCCAAAGCGCCTCGTCTATTGGGTGTGCCGGGTCTCGAGAAGTTTTGGGAGAGGGAAGGTTGATCGTGGAGTGAAGAAGCTCGAACACACCCAGCGGGGATATTTCCTCAACCACATCTGAGGAGGAGGGCAGTGCCTGAGCCTCTCGTTTACGCGCTCGATCGCCCTCTTCAGCAACTATGCGGGCCCAGCGAGCAAGATACACCCTCGCACTCTCAAATTCACCAACGCCCCCTTTCTCCACCCAACTACCCCATTCCAAGTCGCCGTTGGCATTAACTAGACTCTTGACAGGGTCTGGGAGATGCGGGACGATAGGCTTAGCGAGAGGATGAGAGAGAATGTTTTGCGCGGCGTGGCGTGTCGCTCTAGTAATATTTGAAAAGGATTGCAGCAGCGCCATCCGTGCGTGAGAGCTGGATTGTGTGGTGGAAATGGAGGGTGGGTAAAGAGAGCGATGCAAAACGGATGGACGAGTGGGATGTTGGTTAGATGTATTTGCAGGAACACTGTATAATGGACGTGGGCGTCTGTGAGCAGGTACAGGTGAGTGCGAAGAAGCATACGATGACTGCGCAAGGATATCATCCACAGCGTCGTCGTCAAATATCTGAGTGGTGTGCGTATCAATGTCGGCTTTAGATGGGTCGACGATAAACAACGAAGGTTGTAGTGTGGAGCGGAGTAGATGGGCATAAGGTCGTAGACGAGAGAGCAAATCCTCGCCTCCCCATGAGGTTGAGGTTCGAGAAGACGATGGTAATGATGTGGGAGGATATGCACCAGTGGAGCTGCTTTTACTGTATCGAGACGGTAGTGTCATTGAAAACGACTCGTCGTCATGGAAGTGCAGAGTTGGGAGTGTGGAACTGTTTATGAGGTTTATACCGATAGTACCATCTGTTGTTGATTAGCTTAGTCTTGTCAATGTCCAAAGACAACATGAGAACGTACGCCATGATGAAAGGGTAGGTGGATGGACAAGAAGAGAGTATATCGAAGTCAGAGGAACCGAGAATGCATAGGACTCTGGTCTTTGTGTAGGAAGGTCGATAAGGACCGCATCTTCCAATGGTGTAAGATTTCCGGGGTTCAAACAGAGAAAAAGACTGCGGACCTTCATCCTCCTCATCCAATATGGCCTTCTCCTCGATCCTCACAAACTTGTCCCATTCGTCAGTTCCCTTCTCGCACAGCAGTGTCTCTGGAATCCATGCAAGCAGATAGGTAGGATTGACAGCCTCCTAGACAGCAAAAATGCATATGAGAGAAATGCGAGACGAGACCTGGCTACTCACGCGTTTGACAAGAGCTACGAAGCCCGGGATGTTATCTCTAGCGTATGCGGTTGGATTAACGTAGACTCTGGATTTACTATAGAGAAGGCGATATTTGCTCTCCTCCTCTGCAGAAGGGGATAATGAACCACTGCTCTCGCTTTGGGTACGCTGAATCTCAACCATGGAATCGGACTAATGAAAGGGGCTTGGGTCAGCATACCACAAGGCCAACTAGCAGCAACTCACTGAAATTATGGACAAGGAACCGTCAGAGTCACAAGTACGATGATTCTCGCCCATACGCATCAGTACTTGAACCGCGGACTTCTATTTAGTGTTCGTTGTACTGCGGCTGCGTGATGCACTGAGTGTGAATACGCCAAATCTCAATTTGTAGTCCTCCCGCAGTTTGCCACAATTCCAGTAGTACTAGTACGTTCACTGAATTTCAAAAAAAAACGTTGTTCACTTCGTTTAGTCTATCAACGTCGACCACGCTTTTCGAAGTACACCACGGTAAAGAAACGTTCTTCCAGAGCAGGTCTTGTTACTGTTCAAAGATCCCGCGCAGGAAGAATATGATTTCCGTCTAAACACCGATAACAGTCGAGCCAAACAACTGTGACAGTAGTGTTGTTGTTGTATATACGGAGTGTGGTGAGCAGCGAGGTTAGTATTAGACTGTAGAGCTGTCTGAGACACCCTTTTGCAGGTTAAGATGCAAGATTATTGCAGTTTTGTTCGTTAAACACCAAATCGTTTTGGTCCACGCGCATACGTAGTGTGCTTGCACTTAACATGGGCATAAATGTGTTCATCCCACAGGTTACAACATCAACAGAGCAAGTAAAATGATGATATGACGAACGCTCTAACACAACAACGTTTATTTTTGGTACGACCACACATTCCGGAGCACTATAAGAACAAACTATCAGTCCAGTCCAGACCAATGAATCATAGAGAACAAGACTTACAACCCGCCTTCGTTGCTAGCCGGTTAACAGAGTCATCGCTCTCTCCTTGTGATCGCACTGGTCCACAGAGCGCAAACGAGGTGTAAGTGTTCAGGGCACGGCCGTTGGCGTCAACATCGGCGACGTTGATCTGGACCGAAGCGTGGTCCTTGGAGGTAATTAGGCGGTCTGAGCCATGCATGGGTTAATGCTCTAAGACGGTGTCTGGCTCAAAAACATACTGGTGGCCGCACACTTGCGGGGGACGTAGAGGTCAACAAGAACGCCCTAATACCAAGGTAAGCGGTAAGACTAGGATGTAGCATGGCGACGTCAATACAAACCTGGTCGTTTTCCATTGCGAGATCGAGATTTTGGCTATGGTGTGCGATGTGCAATCTACAGGGATGATGCGTGGGATAGTTCGTGAAGCAACTGTACAGTTTGTGCACGTGACCAGATATTATGTAATATTTGCATTTGGCGAACGCACCATTTAATGTAGGTCGAAAAGATACACATACATATAATATTGTTTGTCTATCGTATCGTATCGTAACGTGATATGCAGTTGGAAAACGAAGTGATAGCATCAGGAGGATTCGAGGTACGATGATACTGGAAAAGAAAATTGAAAGATGGTAATGGAGATATAATGATAACAGAGATCAGGTGCAACTATCGAAGTAGGGGCAGGAGCAGCGAGCAGAGGTCGGTGGTGCAGAAGCGCAGAGAGCAGGTACAAATAGATACTATTTCAGATACAAAGAAGGCCTGATAAGAACAGCTATCGCTGATCCAAGGCAGAGCGTAGTCCATGGCGAAAGCGAAAATAAAGATCGTGCAATGGATGATTGAGCAGATTCGTGGCAGGATACATGGTGTTCGTTGAGATGGCGCAGTGAGAACTGATGGGCGCGAGTAATCCCCACTATTATAGGAAGATGCAGGTAAGATGGCGGTACAAGTGCTTTGCAGATGGTAGAATATCAGACGACGGAGTCGGGAATGCATGGCCACGTATGAGTCAGCGCAACTACGAGAGGCTATTGGCAGCTCCATGCGGAAAGACTGGCATGAGGTTGTAAAAAGTGACTTGTGTGGGGTCAAAAGGTATCCTAGGGGGCGGGGTCTTGAGACGTTCCCGATCACAGTTGGGGGACTGGAAAGGAAAATTTTGTCTTGATGGCGATTCCGGCTCTGAATTATTTCCAAGAGGGTTTGAACGGAGTGATGACTTGCGGCGGCGCACCGGTCCAGACGCAGGGATTGCGTCTGAGAATGTGGGTTCTTCAGCGCCAAGTGCGGGCAGAAGAGACAGATCTGCTGTGTCGCAAAGATCGAACCGCGGAGGGTACTCCATGGCGGAGATCCATGGGAGACGATCAAACATAGGAACACGGCTATATACATCGAGAGGCGACTCGATACGAGGGGGAAAACGACGGCGTTTATTCATGGAGCGAGTGTTACGGGTAGACCCTCGCCTTACTGCAGCACCACAAGGCATCGGTGACTTTGATTTCTAGGAGATACGCATCAACACCGCTCGAATAAAATAAAATAAAAATGCGCAAAAACTGACCCGAGACAAAACACGAGGTTCATTGAGTGTGATTGGCGACAGCAGTCGCGGGGGACTTAAAAGCATTCGCGAGGGTAAAATTTCCTGACGCACAAGTCAATTCGATTTGAGAGCTAGAGAATTGCCAGGGGACCTACAGAAATTACTGTTGATGGGACGTGGGACTGACGCGTCTCCGGGGAAGGAGACTGTAGCGCGTCTTGAAATAAGGCATGGGCGACGCGTCGTGGTGATGGGGCAATTATTGATGGCATTCTTGAAGATTGTGGACAATGTCGTTGGTGTCGTTGGAGGGCAAATAAAGATACAGAGGGCCGAAAGAACGTGGCAAAGCTTTATGTTTGGCCAGCGCAAGGCAAATGAACCATTATTGTGGTACTAAAATGAATGGGAACAATGGAAAAGCTGTAAACAGGCGATTAGGGTGTGTTTCGAAGCCTCGAGGTTACCGCTCCTAACCTTCCCAAAAAGGGAAACCTGACTCGCCTTGTCCACACGCTTTGCCACTTTTCATCACACACCAAGGGTACCGGTATGACTCGCGTGAGTTTCTCATCTCATTCTAGTCGATTATATTTTTATTTTTATGCATTTTAGGAACGTATGGGTGTGCGATACTACTCCAACTCACTAAATTCAACGATAGTACCACTGGTCCTGTCAAAAAATTCATGCCGTGATACCACGATACAAATTTATGATTATCGAGAGTCATGAGGATCCTACACGTCCCCCAGAGTATCGATAAGAGGCGATACCTGTAAGTTTGTGTTCATGCCCTTCCAAGCTGATAAGACGACGGTAGATCTGCGTTCAGGCTCCATGAAGAGTTTTTTTGTCACTTTGGAAAAGAAATCAATACCTTTTCCTCATAACGGAAGGATCATGATTCATCTGTACGCATGAATCATCGCAGATCAGGAACACAGCAATTAGTGCCCCGTCGGACAGCCCTGGGTCAATCACGGTAGCTCTGCGCCCACCATGGGGATTAATTACGATACTTGACATAGACCTCCGCGTTTCTCCAGGTAAGTGTCATTCCGCGGATATTTTGGGTCACGGTGGAACAGCCTCAGGTTCTTCTCCGATCTCAGTTTTTCGAATAAAACCTGAAACCTAGAAGAATCCAAGTTTGTCAACACCCTATTTGCTGATTGCGGCAGAGCCAGGCTTTCGTTATGCGCTAATTAGTCCGCTCGACAGGAAATCATCGTTGACGTTGACACCGCCCGCTGATGTTGATCCCACCTTTCCCCCACTGCCAATGGCGTGGTACACGTTTTGCCTTTTGCTTATCATATTTTTCATCTAGTTGACCAACGCTTCATCAACGTTATGATCCCCGATATTCCTCGCTATTCCATACTTGAATATACAGCTTTTGCGAAATCCCCATAACGCATTCCTATTGATGATCCCACTGGAATCCGCTCATGCACCGGAGTCCATTCTCTGTCTTGTCTTTGACCCCTATTCGCCCAGGACACCGTCTCCGCAAACCGTCGTCTGCAATGCGACAAACCGACAAAACTGTCATCTTGTGACCGCACGTATCCTGTGCCGACACTGAAGCCATTTCCAAGCGACGAGCTAGAGTAAGTACTCACTCATCGCGTGTACCACAGACGTAACGCCCAGACACAATTCTCGCAACCTTGGACGACCGAAACTCAAATCCAGCCGCTTACACTCATTCTCCAGGCCTTGGGCTAGACGATGCGGTCGACGGTGAGATAACTAACTGAAACTCTCACGCCTGCTTGCCGATTCCCACGCAATGAAACATTCTCGTTTCCTGCCAATTCCCTGCTGTCACATTCCTTACTTTGTCAAAGGCATCCGAAGTGTACGTTCCATTGGGCATGTCAATATTATGATGATTACAGTTGCCGACACGAGGACGATGCGTTACGTGTATCGAGATTGGCTAGATAACCTTTCGAGTGAAATGCTTTTTATTCATGAACATACTAAAGAACTTTTAGTTATTGTCTCGTAAATGCGACCAAAAAGACAGAAAAAAATGCAGCGACGACCATGACGATGATATGATGCAAGCTAATTAGAGTACACAATTATATGGAAAAACGTTGAACATCTAGTCGATCTCCTCCATCGCCGATGTCGACACGGCTTCCAATGGAGGAGGCGCACTAGAGTCTTCAGCCGGTGCCGATTCTTCGTCTTCTTCGTCGACATCGAGACCCAAGCTGATCATACGGTTGATGCGCTTGGCGAATGATGTGGGATCATCGAGTGAGAAACCAGAGGTGAGGAGTGCGGTTTCGAACAGTAGGAAGGTGAGGTCACGGACAGACTTATCAGCCTTGTCCTCGGCGACTTTGCGCTTGAGTTCTTTGATGATGGCGTTGGAGGGGTTGAGCTCGAGGGTCTTCTTGGACGCCATGTATGAAGACATGGAAGAGTCGCGAAGAGCTTGTGCTTTCATGATACGCTCCTGTAGACATGTGAATGAGAATTGTCCTGGTGTTTTAAAAGACGATACATACCATGTTAGATGACCAACCGAACTGGCCGGTGACAAGGACGCAAGGAGAGTCCGTGATACGGTTAGAGACGACAACCTTCTCGACCTTGTCGCCAAGGGCTTCCTTGATGGTCTGGCAGAGATCGTTGAACTGAGCAGCCTCTTCTTCACGTACTTTCTTCTCGTCATCAGTCTCCTCAAGTTCGAGGCCCTCTTTCGAGACGCAAATAAGCTTCTTGCCCTCGAACTCTTTCAGCTGCGTTACAGCGTACTCATCGATGGGGTCAACGAGAAGTAGGACTTCGAAGCCCTTCTTCTTGAGCACTTCAAGGAAGGGTGAGTCGCGGACAGCGGCGAGGGATTCACCGGTAAGGTAGTAGATGGACTTCTGGACCTCGGGCATACGAGTGATGTAGTCTGAAAACATTGTAAGGGAACCGTCCTGACAGAACACGCAAGATACACTCACCCTTGAGCGAAGTCTGTTCCTCGAGGGACTTGGTGGAGAAAAAGCGGAGGAACTCAGCGAGCTTGCTACGGTTCTGAGCGTCTTCATGGATACCAAGCTTCAAGTTCTTGCCGAAGGACTCGTAGAACTTGTTGAAGTTGTCCTTATCCTCGGAGATCTCGGTGAACAGGTCCATGCACTTCTTGACGATGTTCTTGCGAATGACCTTGAGAATCTTGTTTTGTTGGAGGGTCTCACGTGAGATGTTAAGAGGCAAGTCCTCGGAGTCGACGATACCCTTGACAAAGTTGAGGTACTCGGGGATGAGGTCTTCACAGTCGTCCATGATGAAAACGCGGCGAACGTAGAGTTTGATGTTGTTACGCTTCTTCTTGGTCTCGAAGAGATCAAAAGGCGCGCTACAAAGTCGACTGAGTCAAGGTAATTGAATGTAGAAAGACAATACTGACCGCTTTGGAATGTACAAGATTGCCTTGAACTCAAGCTGACCCTCGACAGAGAAGTGCTTGACGGCGAGGTGCTCCTCCCAATCGTTTGTGAGCGATTTGTAGAAGGCACCGTACTCCTCGGCAGTGATGTCCTGAGGATTACGCGTCCAGATGGGCTTGGTCTTGTTGAGCTCCTCGTTGGTGGTCTCGGTCTCCTTGACCTTCTTGGTCTTCTTCTCTTTTGGCTTGTTCTCATCGTCCTCGACCTCTTCGATCTTAGATTCTTCTTTCTCGTCCTTGAGTTCCTCCTCGTCATCTTCAACCTCCTGCATGTACATGAGCCACAATCAGAGACACCTGAAATCGGCTTACCTTCTCGACCTCCTTGGTGACGGCGAGTTGGATGGGGTATGAGATGAACTCGGAGTGCTTCTTGACGATCTCCTTGATCTTCTTCTCCTCAAGGTACTCAGTCTGGTCGTCCTTGAGGTAAAGGCGGATCTCAGTACCACGACCGAGGGGTTCGCCGTCTGTATCAGGAGTGATTGTGAAAGTGCCACCTGCAGCTGACTCCCAGATGTACTGTTCGTCATCGTTGTGTTTTGAGATGACCTGGACACGCTCGGCGACAAGGTAAGCGGAGTAGAAACCGACACCAAATTGACCAATCATAGAAATGTCGGCACCGGAGCTGAGAGCCTCCATGAAACCCTAAGTGGGGTGGGTCAGAAATCAGTCAAGACGAATGATTTGAGGAAGGTTACCTTTGTGCCAGACTTGGCGATGGTACCAAGATTGTTGACCAAGTCAGCTTTGGTCATGCCAACACCGGTATCACGGATGCAGAGGAGCTTGTTCTCCTTGTCCGGAGTGATGCGGATGTAGAGGTCCTTCTCGGTTTCGAGAACCGAGGGCTCGGTCAAGGAAGCATAACGGATTTTGTCGATGGCATCTGAACAGTTCGAGATCAACTCACGAAGGAAGATCTCCTTGTTCGAGTAGAAGGTGTCTGAGTGGGACAAACAACATTGAGAATAGCATGAAGCATGAAAGATATAAAGTACGGACTGATAATCAAGTCAAGGAGTTGACTGATTTCAGCTTGGAATCCAAAGCTCTCGGTTGCCATTTAGATCTGAGGGGCATGATTAGTTTAAGAAGGCGCGTCAGAACAATGAGCTCACGGATTGGTGTATGAAAGAAGTGGAAAAGATGGGAATGACTACAGTAAAGAACGCGTTTATCTGGAGGTCCTTAAGTATCTGATTTTTTTGATATTCGAGAACCTTCGATACACAGAAATTCTCAAACCGTACACATTCCAGAACATTCGAATACTTACCTTTTATAGGGGAACTTGGATTGAACAAAGGCTGTAGCCTATCTCACTGCCTGACTCGCTATTCAATTAGAACTTTTCACTGTTCACGGTCGCCTTGACCTTCAGAATAAGCACTAAGTATTAGTCTTCAACGTCGTGTGCAGACTAGAAGGATTAATAGATGAATATGATCGAGTCACCTAGTACCCGCTTAGATCAAATGCTCGCTGACATACCAACGCTTTCCAACTAGCCATCATCAAATATGAAATACTTTTCTACTCGTGGAGGCTTATCAGAGCTCACTTTCGAAGAGGTAAGCAAACTTATCAATGTCCAATCCATTGATCTAGAATTTTAATAGACAGTACTTGCTGGTCTCGCCCCAGATGGTGGATTGTACATCCCTGCATCAATACCACAACTCCCATCTAACTGGCAGGATTCTTGGGCGAACAAGACTTTTCCCGAGCTCAGCATCGAGATCCTCTCCCTCTTCATCTCTGCAGATGAGATCTCTCAAACAGACCTCGCTGCCCTTGTGCATGCGACGTACAACGATTCTGCATGGCGCCATCCCGATATCACCCCGCTCCAGCCACTCACCACCAACAAGTACATCCTCGAGCTTTTCCATGGTCCTACGTATGCCTTCAAGGATGTTGCACTCCAGCTCCTAGGCAACCTCTTCTCCTACTTTCTCCAGCGCCGCAACAAGGCAAAATCTCCTGGAGAGGAAAGGGATACGTTGACCGTCGTGGGTGCGACCAGTGGTGATACAG